TCCATAATTGCTACGTCGTTCTATGATCTCATCTCGTTCTCTTTCTCTCTCTCTCTTTCTTTTCAATGCAGTCAGAGATGCTTAGTTCGGTAAAGATTCTAAAAGGTGAAAGTCCAAAGTAATAGAGGCGTGGCCTACGGTCAGCTGCGTTTTTACCCTTCTCAATGAAATCGTAGTATGCAGACGTACGTGCCGGTCAGTATTCATTTCTACACCGCATCGTAAGCATTAGAAGTATAACGCATCTGCAGCAGCAAGTGATTGCCAGTGAACAATTTTTTGAATTATCGTGAATTATAAGCTATTTAGTGTTGTGTAAAATGTTCAGAGTGCCCGCGATGTTTTTCGACGATTACATCGAGAGTCGTCGCATGGAAGCGAACGAGGACGTAAAACACGTGGGTTCTTTTAACCAAAAAATAACTTCGAAGAGAGCGCGTGCAGAGATCAACTGGGAGAGCGAAAGAGAGCGACGCCACTTGATCATTGAACTTTCCGACTTGATCAGAAATTCGAAGGATCGACGTCGGCAGCTGAACCTCCGGGACATTTTGCGAGCCGACGAAATCGAGTCTCTCCTGGAAGAAGCCGTTTATTTCTGGGACGAAGACGAATGCCACGATTATCGCAGGGAATGCATCGTGCTCTTCGTCGAGTCCTTGGCTCGCACCGGCTACAGGGACATGCCCAGACTCGGTTGGGACAACCGGCCGTCGCTGCGTCGCACCACACCGCTGCATCACGCGGCGAGACGCTGCAGGATCTCCAACTGGGCCAGCTTGATTCGCCATCTCTTTACCATTTACGATCGCTACGACGCGAACTACACGGACGAGCACGGCTTGACGCATTTCCACGTGGCGTGCAGGTTCGGCCTCCGGGACGTAGTCGAGAGATTTCTCGAGCTCGGCCAGGAGCCCAATTACCTGGCGCCCCGCAAATCGCTGGACTCGCCGCTTCAGCTGGCCCTGGCTCACGGTCACGAGAAGGTGGCGCGACTGCTGCTGAGGAGAGGCGCCAATCCGAGCCTGGCCTACAGAGAGGGCCTGACGGCTCTGCACACCGTCTGCAAGGGGATCGAGGGCAACTGCGCCCTGGCGGACATGATGATGGAGCTCGCGGGCGGCGGCGGCAAGAAGCGCAAGCACGCGGTGCGAGTCAATGCCCAGGATGACCTGGGCAGAACGCCGCTGCATCTAGCACTGGACTACGGCGACCGGCGGATGTCCGAGTGGCTGCTGAGGAAAGGCGCCAACGCTAATCTGGCCAACAACGACGGGTCGACGCCTCTGCATCTTGTGAGTGAAAGGGACCGCGACGAGCACGACTTGGCGGAAATGATATTCGAGCTCAGTCACGACTACTACAAGCCGCTGAACGTCGATGCCTGGGACGAATCCGGTAACACGGCCCTGCACTTGGCCATAAAGAACGGCTTCGTGAATTTGGTCGAAGTACTGCTGCGAAACGGCGCCTGTCCGAATTCCTTCAATAGACGTGGACTAACACCTCTGCACGTTTGCCTCGAGAAGGAAGACAACGACTTGTTGAGGCTATTCTTCAGGATCAACAGCGACATTCGTCGGATGGTGCAGGTCGACGCCCGGGACGAGCTAGGCCAGACGCCGCTTCAATGGGCCATGACGAATTTGAAGCCGGACGTGGTCGATATACTCGTGGATAATGGCGCTAGTCTGTCTACCTTCGTTATACCCACCAAACATTATTTTCGAGAGGGGATCGAACGACGACTCTTGGTACGGCTTCAGATTGAAACTGGCGTCCGGTATTTTGGCCGTAGTCGAGCGTCTCACTAAAAGAGGATATCGACTGGACCGCAACGACGCCCTAAAGTTAATGAACATCTTCTACATGTACGAGTTGTTCGAGAAACCGGTGGATCTGAAAAAATATTTATGCAACGACGAGACGTTCGCGAGAGAAGCGAAAAACGTCACGATCCGCTCGAATCTGTCTCTCAAAGATCTGATCTTGCTGGCACCCGAGAACACGGAAAAATTCATCACCTACACGGACTACTATCGATTCGCTCGCTCGAGAAAATTGTCAATGCTCTCCTACCAGTTCAGAGAGCCGTGCGCTCTACATCTGTGCGAGAGGATGTCGAAGGACTTTTTCCGGGAATGGGCGGTGGATCCTTTGATGCGGCTTACGCGCTACGAACTGCCGCCTCTCTGCTGCGAGAAGATCGCCGATCACTTATTGAATCAGGACTTGTATCACATTTGCTTGGTGACCGCGAGACGAAGATCGTGGCGGCGGCGCATGAGAAAGATCTTTTTATGGTGTAAATAACTTTGCTGATTTTGTTTTTATTTCCAATAAATAGATTAATTTAAAAAATTTATTCTGATATTTTTATTGATAAGCACATCTATTGTTCATTGAAACTCCATAAATATTGAAACCAAATTACTCCATAGCGCGATTCACCCTTTAAGGCCTAGAATGACCATTTTTGGGCAACATTTATAGAGATGAATTACACCAACTAAAAATTGTTTAAAAAACTTTTTTGAATCTGGGGTCAGAATTTTCAAAAATTTATTTAACAAAAAGTTATAAACAATTTTGTAAAAAAAATTTCGAGAAAAAAATCTCGTTCAACTCAAATTTCAACACGGAAAGAAGGTTTGCTCGTGCGTATCACGCATATAGATAAGAGGCGGGAGAGACTGTAACGAATAATATATTTGTTGCCAATCGGAAGCAGGTACTGGGGCGAGGGACGCACGGCTCGAGCGATGTGCGAAGTATAGCATTATAAGCCGCGGTACGTACGTGGATGCGTGACCGCCAGGGAACCCATTCCGTCAAGCGCATAGCGCCCTCACGCATCACTCAGCTGTGTTTGCCAGCGTCATCATGTGCTAGCGGGAGATGCCAGAAAGGCACCACCGACCAACTCCGGTATGGGTTTTTTCTCACTGACAAGGAGACCTTCTCACCTTCGGGTCATGGATTTGGCCCAAACTTTTTTTGGTGATTCAGGACGGTTAGAAAACATGTCCTGTTATGTTACTTTATGTGAATATGCCCCAGAAAAGCCTTAGATAAAAAATGATGAAAAATTTTTAAAACGTCGCTTATGGAGATATAACTACAAAACTTCATTATTTCACTTTTATAATCGATTATGACATCTAGCGGTGAAATTCGAAACTCGCCGCTAATAAGCGCATCATTGAAGTTCTATTGTTCCACAGCTGTACTTGATTTTTTACTGTACATATTAGTCTAGGGGCCAGTGGGTCCACCGTGGCCACGAGTTCTTTGATGGGTGCACCAAAGTTTTTCTTACGTATTTTGGGCTGCTGAAACCGAATTTCTATGGTGCATATCGCTAAAATTGGTCATAAAAAAGTTATAAACAAATAATTTTGCAATGACTATAAAATTGAATTTTTTGCTCCAAAAACATTTTTTTTAGTATTTTTGGATCATTTTAAACAAAGAAGTACTCTTGTCATTTTTTCGTAAACTCAATGGTTTACGAGAAAAAAGCCATTCAAATATGAGAAAAATCCCGGTATTATCTATGTGGCCTTTCAGTGTCGCACCGAGCGGCAGTATTCAGTCGAACCGTTTAATTTTTAACTCGCTCTAAAAGTATCTAAATGCACCTAGAAAAAAAAATTAATACATGACTTCGATGGGAAATTACCTCAGCTTTCTGATGGTGAGGTCAGATTTCCAAAAAGTTTCCATTTTCCTCGAGAAAATTGCCGGAAAACCTTCAAAGTCGAATATCTCAAAAACGGAATTTTTAAGATTTTTCTAAATAGTCTAGATCGAAAGATCAGGAAATTTTCCATCGATATACGTACTTTCTATTGAGAATTTTTATGATTTTAGCGAGATATAGCGAGAGAAATAAGAAAAAACGTGGTTTTTCATGGGTATTGCATAGTTATTTGTTTATAACTTTTTTACAACCAATTTTAGCGACATGCACCATGGAAATTCGGTTTTAACGGCCCAAAATACATAAGAAAAACTTTGGTACACCCATCAAAGAAGACGTGGCCACGGTGGACCCACTGGCCCCTACACTATATGCATTCATTGTTTTATCACAATGCAATCAATAAGTGTTACAAAATACACAAGTATATAGTAAACTAGTGGCAACCACAGTTTCAAAATGCTGAGCGACTGAATGGTAAATAACGAAATAGCTTACGACATGATAATAATAGTTGTTTCAGCCATATGAAATTAATAATAGTAGATTCAATGAGTATCATAATAAATCAATGTTACAATGAGTTTTTTGTGTCAGCTAATTTGGTAAAGCCGTTAAAATTATTATTGGTATAATTTGAAGTAGAACACAAAAATAGGGCGTATTTTTTAGTTTGATGTTCCCTACATGTATATTAGTATAGGTATACATGAATACAGATTTTCGTAATTCGCACGTACGAAAGAGATTTCACTTATCGATGTTTTGTGCTCAGCGTGTATTGACAACGTTGCGACCAAAGGAATTTGCACATGGCATGCCAACACATATAAAACTGTATGTACGCGTTAAGCTGGCCTGGTGTGCCCACGTGACAATATACATAGATATATATTTGACTACATGACTAACCATGCATATTTATCACACATAGATTATATAGATGTACGATACTCGCTCGTTGTGTAAAAATGATAAATCATATAGATGCGACTGTAGTCACGTATTTGGCGTTAGTGTAATATAAAAATGTATATAAACCCTTAATTCGCTCACGTTAACTTTGTTTCATATTTTGCGATTCATGGAGTGTTCAATAATTTATAATTTCTTTGTAATAAGATACAATTCAAAGAAAATGGCTAATTGTTTATTACGAGATCAATAGTATAATTTCTCCAATAATAAATGATAAGTTTAGAGTGTCTCTGTTGACATAAATTTTCTCAAACTTTCATTTCACGATTTGTAAATATTATTACACTTATGTTACCTAGCTCGATGTGTAACATCTTTACAAAACAATTAGTCGTTGATCAAGTTCCGAGTGATAAACATGGACTTTAGTGATGTATATAACTCTGATGTCAGGTAATTTTTGTTTTGTGAGAATGAAATTTAAAAAAAAATGGCATAATACTTTATATTATTGGGAATATTGCAGAGTGAAGAAGGAACCAGATAATGTTTCCCCAATTAAAAATGAAGATTATAAGATAATTGACAATGCATGCGATGCTAAAAACGACGAATTCTCGAGTTTTTGTCGAGAAAATTTAGTAAGTGTTGATGTGGGACTGTTTAGTCAATATTTTGATCAAATATTTTTACTAATCTCATTTCCAGATTTATGGGCTTCGTGAAAATGATGAAAATTCTGGACCTAATAACGATTTGGAAATAGAATTCGAATGTAAGGACGAGAAGCTCGGCATTAATTTATTTGTAATCAAGAAAATCGAGGACGATTATCCAGATCAATGGCAGCATATGAAAAATAGTTGCAATTATCAGACTCCAAAGAAAATTAAAGAAGAAATTGTCGACAAAGTAAAAGAGGAATTGAATTTGGATGGTGAACTCAGTGATGCATTTGATGCAAATGAAAAAACATTTGCTCAAAATAGTCAACGCAAAACCCCAACGGATAAGGCACGCAATCGTACCAAATATCCATGTAATATATGCGGTAAAAAATTTGCACGAAAAAATTATCTTAAGGTCCACATCGATTCAGTACATAATGGTGTTAAACTTGCGTGTGGTGTATGTGGAAAGTCTTTCCCACAAAAATGTTATCTCAAAATTCACATCGATGCGATGCATAATGGCATGGCACCTACTTGCGAAGTATGCGGGAAGAAATTCTTAACTGAAGCTGCACTCAAGATTCACATCGATGCACACAATGGTGTTAAACATCCATGTAATATATGCGGTCAAAAATTTTCACGAAAAAGTAATCTCAAGATCCATATCGATGGAGTACATAATGGTGTTAAACATGCGTGTGGTGTATGTGGAAAGTCTTTCACACAAAAATGTTATCTCAAAATTCATATCGATGCGATGCATAATGGTATGGCCCCTACTTGCGAAGTGTGCGGAAAGACATTCACACAAAAAGGAGATCTCAAGAGGCATATCGAGGGACATAATGGTGTTAAACATACATGTGTTACATGTGAAAAGACATTCACACAAAAAGGAAAGCTTAAAATTCACATCGATGCGATGCATAAAGGTATGGCCCCTACTTGCGAAATATGCGGAAAGAAATTTCAAACGAAGAATAAACTCAAGATCCATATCGCTGGAGTACATAATGGTGTTAAACATTCGTGTGATACATGTGGCAAAATATTTACGCTGAAAGATTCTCTCAAAATTCACATCGATGCGATGCATAATGGTATGGCCCCTACTTGCGAAGTATGCGGAAAGAAATTTCAAACGAAGAATAAACTCAAGATCCATATCGATGGAGTACATAATGGTGTTAAACATACGTGTGTTACGTGTGGAAAGTCATTTATACAAAAAAAGATTCTCAAAATGCACATCGATGCGATGCATAAAGGTATGCCACCTACTTGCGAAGTGTGCGGAAAGACATTCTCACTAAAGGGTAATCTTAAAAGACACATGAATTTGATACATAATAAGACCACTTATTGTAATAAGGGCCGGCAAGACATTTTCTCAAAAGGATCGTCTTATAACTCACATTAAAACGCAGCACGAAGACATTGATCACACTTGTGTTTTATGCGGAAAAAAATTTAAACATAGAAAATATTTATGCAGACACGTCAAAAGTGTGCATGAAGGCAATACCCAAGCACGAGATCAATACAAAAGATCTTAAAACGTACCTATCACTACCGCGCAAAATGATGAAACATCGAGACAAATAAATAAATCAACATATCATAAATTAACATGTATTTATTCATTAGCATATAATAAATAAACATATCATAAATTTTTGCTCAGTAGTGATAATCAAAACACGACATATAACATAATTGTCATCAGTACAATGTTAACTGAAACACGACATAATTATACTATATCTCAATCATGTTACGCTCACAAGGAGACCTTCTCACCTTCGGGTCATGGATTTGGCCCAAACTTTTTTTGGTGATTCAGGACAGTTAGAAAACATGCCCTGTTATGTTAGTTTATGTGAATATGCTCCAGAAGGCTTAGATAAAAAATAAAGGTCCTAATAATAAAAATAAGCGTATATAGTGCAATAAATATTCATTTCCTATCCTCAAACTATTTTTGTCACTTATTTTAAACACCTGGTTTTTGAAAACATTATATTTTATTGTTAAGAAGTTGTTGGATCTCACTCATGACGCAAAACATTGCAATATTGCTTAATTTATGACATTATAAAGCGTTTAATTTCAATATGTATGGCCTTAAACGCAATTCATATAATTATTATTTAAACACAGCACTGGAGATCCGACAAGTTCTTATCAAAACATTTTTCACTAACTAATTTAACACTTCAAGTACCTAAACAGAACCAGGTGTTTAAAATAAGTGACAAGAATAGTTTGAGGATAGGAAGTGAATATTTATTGCACTATATACGCTTATTTTTATTATTTGGACCTTTATTTTTTATCTAAGGCTTCTGGGGCATATTCACATAAACTAACATAACAGGGCATGTTTTCTAACTGTCCTGAATCACCAAAAAAAGTTTGGGCAAAATCCATGACCCGAAGGTGAGAAGGTCTCCTTGTCAGTATAGTGACAAAACACGAAATATAATATACTTGTCATAAGTACAATGTTAAATACCGATACACAAGTAAGACCAATTGTAAACAAAAATTATGTTTTTTCGAAGTGGAGATTTCGCAAGGTGCAAAACTCAAAATTGCATAAAAAGGCATTTTTTGTATATTAGGATATACGGATGTCGCTAAAAAAGTATACAGCACTCCACCAGCACCGAAACAATGCTATGTGAAATTTTCAGAATTTTCAGAGATTTTTAGAGTGAAACATCGAAAATTAGCAATATCGAATGTGTACGACTTTGCTGCGCTCAGCATCAATTAACTCTTCTAACTGATAACGCACTCGAATAATACCATTGCGTCTACAATAGGAGTACCTATGAATATTTTTGCAATGATATGCTTCGTAATTTAATAATCAACGATTTTATGTATCTGCTGTGTAATTTTGAAATAAAATAGATAAAAAAAATTTCAATGAGCTTCTTTAATTCTTATCTTTAAGCCAAAAATGTATGCTGTATGAAATTCTCTCAGTCATTTAGAAGAGCAAGAAGAACTCAGATAGTTCCTTATTTATAAATAAAATTTAGAAGGAATTTCTGACATAAAAAAACAACGCGTTTTTTATACTTGTTCGGAAAAAATAGCAATCAGCTTTACGCGCACACAGGCGTACTCGCGTGCGATTATTATTTCACTTTCATAGCATCGATGCGAAAATATAATTCAATAATTACCCATTAAAAAGTCAGTTTGCTTGAAAACTTGCTGGAATACAATTTCATTTCATTGATCTATCACCCATTACATTATTGTCTCGCGTCGATCTTCTCTTTTTTTCTTCGTACGTACTCGTTGATCGCGACAAAAATCGGACAAACATCCGGGGCCCCTTGCGTTACGCGAAATAATCGCGCGTGTGTGTATACTGCACCACGCGCCTGTCTATACGTACACCTTTTCTTATAACTCTATAATATCGTATTATCTAATCTCGCAGCTACATTGCGTGACATTGAAAATTGTAAAGATTCGAACGAGGCTTATCTACCAACAATATTTGACCGCTAATACATTTTATCCAATTTTGCGTATTTATCGCATGAAAAAAAAAAATTAAATTAAACAAATAAAAATAAGCCGGTGTACGACACGTGCGTGTCTTTCGACAATTGGATACGCGTATACCAATACAGACGCGTTAGTGGCAACGGCAGCAGCAAGTACAGCGACGCCGTTGTATTTTCTATTATAAGTAGTATACGTGGAGAAACGTTGAAATGGCACACGCACGCACTTGTGTGCGTGTAGGCTGCAAGCTCCACACACACAGAGAGTAGAGAGAAACTGCGCGAGAAGAGTACAGTAGGAGAATATTCGGGCGGGCGCTTCATTGTCCGGTTGCAGTGTTAACTTCCGGGCGGACTCTCTTGATTGTTTCATTGTTTCCGCGCTATATACTCGAAACCCCCGCCGCCGCCGCCGCTATACAGTAGGTAGGTAGGTAGGTATATGCCACCTACCACTGCCAGTACACTACCCGTTGAATTGCTTTATTGTTATTTTGGTGGCGCGGCGCGGGGCTCGGAGTTATATACATGCGACTGCAATTCTCTCTCTCTTTCTCTGTCTGTCTGTCTACGTGTGTGTGTTGTCGCACAATGTGTGCACTATATACAGTGCGCTCGTTGATTGATTTTACCAGATTGTTTTTTTTTATTTTTTTGCACGCGAACGATGACTTTCTTCGCTACAAAACTATTTTTCTTCTTCTTCTTCTTCTTCTTCTCCTTTTTTTTCGCGCCCACATAATTCATAAGACGCGTCGAAGATTAAAAGTCGGGTATTGAAAAATGTATACGACCGCGCCGTACAACGCGATAAAATCGTCACACATATATTATGAATAAACCGAAAACTCAAGGGGGGAAAATTCACGCGTGCTATATCTTATCGGCAGGTCAGTTTTGCAAAGTCGGCCCCGACATTGTACGCGCCACAAACGAAATTGAAAAACCGAAGGCTATAATGTATTTTTATATGTATGGTCGCGCGAATACGTACGACTTCCGCGGTTGGTCAGTTTGGTCACACATGTAGGATGCAACCCTACCCTCGACGCACCACCCGTTTCTTTATCTCGGAACGAGTTCTCGAGAATACCAACCGCAAGTTTTCTTTAAGGTTGCTCTATAAAGCTTTGAAATCGAAAGGGTACATTGTTTATTATCTGACGATGAAGGAACAAAAATCGTTTGGGTGATAAATATTATTGTTTGAAATTTTGCGCTACTCTAATGAGTCGTTTGTAATTTAAATAAGAGTTTAGACTTGGGAGTATTGTTGATGAAAGGGTTTTGTTATTTAGGTGTGCGGGGCGTACGGTAAGCTTTTCCGATATAAAAGCAGTAAAGGCGGTACCAAAGTCAAAATTTTATTGAAGAAAGATTTGGTGAATTGTACTGTAAAAATATCTTTTTAGTGATTCTTAAATATGTCATAAAAATACACTTCTGTGTAAATATAATCGAAAATACGTTTTGCCACTTGCGATTGGACGATTCGCCATCTGTTGATGGAATCAAAAAGTTCACGATCAGAACGCGACTTAACGTTACAATAAATCATGCTGCAATGTAAAGCGAATTATGTAATAGAAATCCTTAAATTTTACCATTAGGCGTTCTTCATTTTCTTTTGAATTTCAATCGCTTTGGTCTTTGTTCCGCTTGCAACAAAGCCTGCTTTTCAGTTTCTAAAATGTATACAATGCAAATTATTTTTTATGAAAATATTGATTAAGAGAAAAAAAATTAATTATAATATTTATTTATACCTGTTATGCTGTACAAAAATGCTTCACTTGCAGCAATTATCATTTGGATTACATTTGGAAAATTTACACCCTCGTCTAAAAATATAATATTTGTGGTTCTCCTTGAAGTCCTCCTCGTCCTTGGTTTCAATTGGAGACGCGTCATTTTTTTTATAATACACATATTTTGTTGATACACAATGTTTATTAAGACGATCATCGTCGAATTTGGCACACACAAAATACTTTTTTGATTTCGACATCACTTTATAGGTAAGATTAATTAATAATAAATATAAATAATCGAGTAACACTACGGTAAACGATGAAAAGATTTTTTATTATTATAGTCACTAAACATTTGAATCTTCGATAAGGGCAGCTATGCGTAAATGTGAAAACTAAAGTCATTCCGGTTCCTCGAGTGCTCTTTTATTTCACGGCGTGTTACTTTTTTTTCGTGTGCACGTTTTTTTTTTTTTTTTTTTTTTTATATTAAAGTGTTTAGGCCTCATGCGAGACATTTACACTGACTTTATTACGAAAAATTACATAAATTTACATGAATGGATTATATTAAAATTACCTGAAAAATTGCACTGAGATTACATGAAAAAATTACATTGAAGTTACATGAATAATTATATTAAAATTACAAGGAAAAGTTACATTATTATTACATTATGAGTCTTGAGTTATTCCGCCTTACGATCACTATCTCTCTCACATACATAGCCTATACTCGCACGTCACACATATTCAGATATTCGACGATAATCAAACAGGCTTCGATATTGGGGCCCGCTATTACACTCTCAATATTGTACGGCGGAAACAGGCCTGCCCTTCTGAGGTTCTCTATCATGTCCCTTCTCTGAGCATTGTATCTGTCGCAGCTCCAGACGACGTGATTTAAGGTTTGCTCCTCAAAGCCGCACCCACACCCCGGACTGTTCACTATGCCTTTGCGGGACAGTGATTCTCTGAGGCTGCACGTCTTAAGACTCTTGAGTCGCATGCTCGAATGCTCCTAAAAATTAATACATTCAATTTAAGTGCATTAAAATATAAACGCTCAAAAATGTATCTAAAAAGAATATAATAGCCCCGAAGCTTCACTTTTTTTTATTTCTAGATATTCAAATTATAGCAAATAAATTTGTTGCGTCGAGATCGTCAATAGGTTGATAGATCCCGAAATTGTTCCAATAAGAGACACAATTTATTTTCGTGAGAAAAATCGTATCCAAAAAACTCACGTTTATTTTTGGGAAAAATACAACTTTGCTCAATTGAGAGCACTCTTTAAATCAAATTTATGATTTAATGTAATCAATAAGATTATGACAAAGAAAGAGAGAGCGATTAGCGTAGCTCCTCTTCTTTGCCCGGTTACCTGGGAATGAATTTGTTGATCATTACTCCGATCGACACGACAGCGGTTGCTATGCAGCCTTCGTTTTTTTATAAATATATCTGTTCGAAGTATATCGAACAAAATTAATGGAATTCATCAATTTGCTTAAACTTCATTTATTTTATGAAAAAAAAAACAATTGTTTTCACACATCCTATTGACTTTTATTTTTCCAATCGAATTCGTATAATACTACTACAGTTCAAATTGTTTCAATCAAATTCGTTGATTTCCACGATTATCGCGTCCGCTCGTTTTTCAGGGGTTTACTCCTCTCTCATACCCAACGAGCATCAAGAAGTTTCACTTTGAAAAAAAAAAGATAGAGCTGATCTGCCGTTTGTACTTGCGTCGGCGTTCCGCGACGTTTATATAAACACACACAAGCCAATACATATAGAGAACGAGAGAAAGAGACTAACCGGAGAGGCAGCGCAGCGTTTCGGCCATTTCAGCAGCTTTGACTAGAAAGATGGCCTGTATAAATATAAATATAAAAATGGAAAGCCGACCATTATTGGCCATCGCGGGAAAAGTATGACGCATGCCTGTATCGTGCGCCTCTATGCGCGCGCGTTTACAAATTGATTTTTTTTTATCTCTCGCTTTTTCTGTGTATGTGTATGTGTGTATGGAATATCCAAACAAATTGATTTTCGAGCTTATTACGATACTACTGCCGCTATACCACAGCGGCACTTGTTCAACAGCATCGCTGGGCACCCACGATGCACGCAACGGTGATTGGAAAATTTTGTCTCAACTCGTGTAAGTATTTATCGCGGAGAAATTATTGCTCCTCCCGGAAAATCCTTTTCCAACGACACGCTCGTTGAATATCGGCAACCTCTTCTTCTTCTTCTTCTTCTTCTTTTTTTATCGAAATAATCGTATTTTTCATTATTGTCACGGTATATAAGCGCGCATTTTCACATAATGTTAATACCACGTATACGATAAAAGTGTTGATACTCGCGTTAAAAATATCATAACGAGATTACCTTGGGCGCATTCCGGGGCTCTGCCTTTGAAATCCTCCATCGTGTCATTATGTTATATCTGAATCAAACACAGTGTCTTGCACAAAGAAAATTCGGAAAAGCCAAAATTCTCGTGCGTTTCGACACGTGTATATGTACGCGAGAGATAAAAACACACGCGCGAAAGCACACGAAAAGAGCGCCCGGGGGGTGGGAGGGTTGTGCATTGTCTTCCAAGAGCCCCTCGACAGTGCGATGATATAACGTTGGGTTCTTTTTCTTTTTTTTGGCTGAAAAAAAAAAAATAAATACCAACGTAACGCGTGGCGCGTGCAGCATAATTTCGCATAATACGAGCCACGCTCTCCGCGCTGCTGTCGGACGAGCTAGAATAAAGAATGCGGATTTTATTGTTCACTCGAATTATTATATGTGATATTTTTATTCGTAGCGGAAATGAAAATACAATAAATGCGTGCGCATGTGCACACATATCTCGTGGCACAACGAGTGAAAAGACTTTCCCCCTCTCGTTGCATGTATCTTTAATAGATTCCACCACATGTTCTTTTACTTTCTAATATAGATCGTAGCATAGGTGCACTACAGTCAGTACACATTATAGAACACTTCAGTGTGAGCATAGGTGCAGTACAGTCAGTACACATTATAGAACTCTTCCGTGTTAAGCAGAGCTACGAATTATAACCTTGATCGCAACACGTGATTTTAGTGAAATCCATCTTCTCGTATAGCTTCGACCTCGTGCTCTTTATAGATCCGCGTATAAAAGTATCTTCAATCGTACGTAATTGTGTATTGTGCGAGTGTGCGCGAAAAAATGGCTTCCTCCGACTCTTTGAAAAAATTGAAGGATTTACGGAGCAAGTTCCTTTCGGAATTCGCCCGAGGCGGATCTGATCTTACCACCTTTCTCGATCGATTGCAAGCGTTAATCAGCGATTGGAGAGGCGAAGTTCCAGACCTCCGAAGCGCGTTTCGTCCTGAAGAAATCGAGCGTATTCTCGCGGAATCTGTCCTAAACGACCGGCGCGATTCGATCATCCATTTTGTGATCGACAGCGGCTACGAGAACGAGCCGAGTGCCGCGGCACTCACCACAGCGCTGCATCGAGCGGCCAGACAGGATCGCGGTCACGACATAATCTCGGGTCTTTTTAAAGTTTACCGAAGATCGAGCGTGAACTACGTCGACTTTTTTGGATCGACGCATTTTCACATAGCCTGTAAGTACGGCTGTGTAGACATGGTCGAGAATTTACTCGAGCACGGACAAGTTGATCACAATCTCCTCGAGCGAAGGACGGAAGACTCGCCACTGCACTTGGCTCTGAAGAACACGAAGAGGGAGGTGGTCGAATCGCTACTGAAACATGGCGCTGATCCAAACTTGGCCAACGAGAAAGGACTGACTCCTCTGCATGTAATAATTTGCCGGAGATTTTCCGATGCTGAGTCCATGGAGGCTTTTTTCAAGATCACCGACCAAGTCGGTCGGACGCCGATCCAGCTCGACGCTCGAGACAAAATGGGCAACGTTTGGTTGCACTTGGCTTTACTTTACGGTAACAAGAAGGCGGTCGAACTGCTGTTGAGAAGAGGCGCCGATCCGAACCTTATCGACGAGCAAGGATCGACTCCTCTACACGTCATTTGTCGCGAATCAGATTCAACGTGGAGCATTATAGATATGAAAAAATTGTACGATGAAAATACCGGAGATCGTTGTTTTAACGATGATTACGATATGGCGAAGATGTTGTTCGAGATCAGCGACGAACTTGGTCAAACGGTGCAGGTGGACGCCCGGGACGACGACGGCGACACACCATTGCACTTGGCCGTGAAAATCGGCAACAAAAAGCTGGTCGAATTGCTGACGAGCAGAGGCGCCGATCTGACTGCAGCCAATGCAGAGGGACTGACTCCCGTGCACCTTATGTACAAAAAGTGCACCTTCAATGGCACGGCGAGGACATTTTTCAAGATCGACAAAGAAGTCATACAGCGGATTCATCGCGATGCGCTGCATGCAGACCAATGCTTATAATAACACGAAGCTATCACTTTGCCACTTGCGGATTTACCGATGAGGCTACACGCCATCTAGCGGTGGACCCCGGCAACGATGACAAAATACAGTCGAAACAAGGAACGAATATTCATCCTTGTTTTCATCCTCGTCGCTTCTCCGTTTCAAAGACATGTCGCTCGTACCTAAGAATCTCCTCTGCCGTTTAATAATATGGGCAAAAATGAATTAATTACGCTCCACGCGCGCGCGCGAGTCCCTGCCCGTAACTCAGGATATAATAATTATTAAGATATCATAAAGACGACGCGAGACGCGCGCGCGCGACGAAATCAAATCCTCGCGCGCGGGCATAAATTGCATTTTAAAATTTCACCTAGCTTCGTCGTCGTCTGTGTATATAAATCTACACAGGGCGCGCTTGATAATACTTTGTAGCTCACCGCAATAGACACTTTAGGCGAGGGGGTAATTGGATCTAGAAGCGCAAAAAGAAGAAGAAGAAGAGGGAGAAGAAGAAAAAGAAGAAGTAAAGATTGCTTTTGGCTTAGTTGCACTGTGAGAGGCATTTTTTTTCGTCGTCGTCGTCGTCCTTGCTTCGCGGTATATAGAGTGGTACACGTTGTGCAACAGAAAAGGCGGAAAATAGGGAAAATTAATATGGGAAAAATGAGACTCGAGTCGAGAGGAGTATAGGATGAATGAAGAGAGATGAGAAAGCGAGAGAGAGAGAGAGAAGAAATAAGCCCAGCGGCTTATTTAAGAATAGATTATTCTCTCTGCAAGAAGGCGTACGATATATATATATCTCTCTCTATCTAACTGCTGGGTTAAAATGAAAACGACTCTTGGGTTCCGCCTTCAACCCCCGAATTAATTGCTCTCAATTACGCTTCATACATCTATACATATATATCCGCACCACGTATACATACAATATGATTTAAAAACTTAATCGAGATATCGCTGCGCCAAGCACGAGGCGTATATTATTATACAGCAGCATATTGTCGTTACGGAGCATTGTGGCCGATTAAATTTCATCCGCTCAAAAAATCATTTTGCCGATAAAATAAAATAAAACGAAATATAAATATATATACATCACGATCACGAGGCAGGGACGATCAGGCAGCTCGACACGATGCCGTGCTATTGCTGCTGATGCTGCTGCCGCGCGACTGGTTTTCAATCTCCATTCTCCATTTGGTAGCTGCCGCGCGCCTCGCTGCACTTATTGCTGCTGCTGCTGCTGCGGAGCACATTGGCGTTAAATGAGAGCATAATTGCCTGTGAAATCGGCGGGTTATATACACACAGACGACGACGATGGATTTATGTAGCGTCGCTTGTTTTCATCCCTCCTCGCACTCTGGCATATGGCCTTTTAATTTTTCGCTTTTGAATATATATACACGCGCTCGAGCCGTGCGTTGTATTACACGCGTAGAGAGAAAGAAAAGTTGGCGTTGAAGAAATATTTGCCTTTAGCGTCGATGCTTTCTTTTCATCTCTCGCGGTGTCGTCGAATAAATACTCGGTGCTCCGTATGAAAATACTATTCCTCTTGTCCGCGATCGAGGAGCGATGAAAAACTCGAGCTTTTTCTCTCTCTCTCTCTCTCTCTCTCTCTGTAACACGGTTAATCTCGCATTAAGACGCGGTAAGAGAAAAAGTCGATCCCGAGATGATATACAATAATATAAAGTGCTATATGGGTATGTACGAATCCGTATACATATATAGAGATCGAGAACCGCATCCATGACCAGAGGGTAGATTTACTCGCTCACACGCACACTGTTGTATGCTGTATATAAGGACTATAATAGTTGAAGCGAAAGAGAGAGAGAGAGAGGCAAACACTGCCCGGCCGCGCGTTTATTGTGGGCGACGACGCGCGTCATTTGATTCCAGCAGCAGCAGCAGCAGCCCACCCCAGCACAAGTGTCAAATAAATCAAGCGTGAGATATATACACATGCAGAGAGACAGAGAGAAAGATACATATGGACGTAGTTTGAAGTGGACACTCATACACACGCACATACGACGATTATTTCGGCGGTGCTTATGAAGAAAATTTTATTTTTATCTTGATGGTAATAGGTTATATACAACATTTTTGTAAATGAAACATCAGGTTTTGTTACTGTATTCATTTGCAGATACTTCAGATGATTTAGAATTGTGTAATTCTGATGAAAATTTTTGCACCTATTCATGCTCCAGCAAGAGCAGCGGTCCAAAGTATCGATGCCAATACCAGTGGCCAATTCGATTGCATCGTATGCTCCACCGAACAGAAAAAAAGATGTAAGTGCAAGCTCAGAAAGCTCGATACGAAACTTTAAAAATCTCAAAGAAAGAAAGATCAAAGGTCCTACGGAGGGAGTTGATGGCGTGATTTTCAGATGTCTCATCGAAATTAGATTCAAAAAGTTTAGAAAGTGCCTGTATAGTATTTACTGAGTTTGGGCAAACGACGAAGGAGAGGGAAAATATCGTTAACAAGCTGCCATATACGCGGGATCGCCTCGCCATATGATACATCAGTACGCCTTAAATCGCTAGAAAAGTGGTCAAATTCGGCCGTAAGCGACTGATGTTTACAAATTTGTCAATTCGAGCTGTACATCGTCATCGCCTACTTTAATTTTCTTTTCCATCGGTGATTGCACATGATCAAGTGTTTGATGAAAAGTTGAGAGGACCTACTGAGGTATTGCTTTTTTGTGCACGCTGTTATATTTCTTGAGAAGTTCTAATCGATCTTGATTATTCATCAGCTTGAAGGACAACCCGGTTAGTTCATAGACAGAGGCAAGCAACGATCTAAATTTGGATTCAGCGGACTCGTGCACGGCCAAAAACGTCGGGGCATTTAAGAATATTGGAACGAATACAAAATCTGACATGGATGCAATGGGGGACAGTATTAATAGACTATTCACGTGTGAATTTTGTCATGAATCATTTACGGAAATTCGGCTCAAGCGCCACATGAACTCATTCATTCTTTCTCCTGACAGTTTAGATTATGTTTTAAACCGGAAGGATTACTGGGCACATAATCAATTTTGTGAATGTGAGATTTGTCGCCAATTATTTGGACTGCAAAGTGAGCTCAAGCATCACAAGGACACAGATCATATTCAAAGAAAACACTTGAATCTCACTGAGCACACAATTTCAGTACAAAATAAGGAAAAACCCATCTTTAGTAACCTTTGTGGCCAATCAATAGGACAAATGGGTAACCTCCAAAGACACATCAATACAAAACATAAGAAGCTAAAATCCTATAAGTGTGACATGTGTCCGTCGTCATTCGGCCGCAAGGATAAACTCCAAGGTCACAAGAAAAGGAAACATGGACAGGACCCCTTCAAATGTCATACTTGTTACAAATCATTCGGATTAAAGAAGCACTACTTAACTCACTTGAAGGATGAACCTAGCCATAGACAACGCAAATTGCCCGTAAAACCAGAACATAAAGAGAAAAAACCCTTCCAATGTGATAAATGTGACAAATCATATGGAGCAAAGACAAACCTCGATGAACACATTAGAAAAATACATAAAATCTTCGAATGTAAGGCTTGTCAAAAATCATTTAGAGGACAGAATAAGTTCAACAGACACGTGATCATGGAACATGAGGGAGGTCAATTATTTCAATGTAAACAATGTTCAAAAGTATTCCAAAGAAAATCCAACTTTAATTTGCACACAAAAAAGGTCCATCTCCAGCCGGTTTAGCTACCACAATCGCAGATATCAAAATAAACTTAGGAGCTACAATTTGACATCCCATAATTTTGATTTCCCGAGACAATTGCTATAAAAGAGAATATATCTACTCTTCTATGAGTAAGCTATGTAATTTTAAAGAATCTTCCGAATAAATATCTTTTAATGCATTGAAAAACGATACATTTCAAACGGTTGATGATTTTTCATGATTGTAAAGTCATTTTATTCACCTTTCGTACATTATTTCGAATATCAACGCGTTTTGATCTTCAATTGGTTCTTCTGCATAAACTTCACACGTCGACCCTTCACAACTGATTATTTTGCACGCGAAGATTTGTCAGCATGATTTTATATAGTCGAATGACATAATTTAATGATCCTCGACGCAATCGTCAATGAATCCAGTTTATTTCGATGTTCTGCAGGCGCACATTATGTAAAATTGTTCTTACGTTCGTTATACGCGCGTTCATTATGTAAACTTGTCACAAATCATTTTATAGCCAGGGCAATCTCAACGCTCATAAACAAAAAAACCGTTGCAAACCGTTTCAATGTAATATTTGCCCAAATAGATTTAAAACGGAGGAAAATCTCATTTGTCACATACAATCTTGGCATCCTAAAGATAGACCCTTCAAATGCAAGATTTGTCTCGCATCATTCGATGATCAAAAGACGCTCAATAATCACACAATGACAGTACATCACGACATCAAACCATATAAATGTGAATTTTGTCTTAAATCATTCAGATCAAATGGTCATTTGAGAAGACATTTAATGAAAGTACATAAATATATGAACTTTTCAAAAATTTTGCCAACCTCATCAATGTACACATTGTAACAAATTATTTGGATGAAAAGGTAACCTCGATAGAAATATAAAAAAGGCCAATCTCGAGCCGGATTCTATACTTATAGCAGATACCAGAATAAACTCAAGATCTGCAATTGGACAGCCCATAATCTTGACTATCTAAGACAATTGCGATAAAGGAGAATATATCTATTCTTATATGCGTAAGCTATGTAATTTTAAAGAATCTTCCGAATATATATCTTTTAATGCACCGAAAAACGATAAAATATTTCAAACTGTTGATTTTTTCATGATTGTAAAGTCATTTCACTCACCTTTCGTACTTTATTTAGAATATCAATGCGTTTTGATCTTCAATCTGTTCTTCTGCTTTAATTTCGTACGTCAACCCTTCACAAATGATTATCTTGCACGCGAAGATTTAACAGCATGATTTATATAGACGAATGACATAATTTAACGATCCTCGTCGCAATCGTCAATGAATCCAGTTTATTTCGATGTTCTGCACTCATGACTACGCGCACATTATGTAAAATTGTTCTGGGTCTACGCGAACATAGATAAAAATATTTCTACGATACTTTCGAGTCTGATAGAGCCTTTTCGGATCTGTTAAAAAGTAACCAAAAGTCTGATGAACTAAATAAACCTAATTTCATTGTAATAATTAATCGCAAAGAAATGAGACAATCAAGGAACAATTGATGCAATTTCGCACGCCCCAATTAAAAACATTATTCTCCCTCTCGCTTTTTTAGCAGCCGCAGTAGTATCACACTTGTAGAATGTTGTAGATGTAGAACAGAGACGCGATGCAATAATAGATAATCACAATTACTCAAACATATTCTTCGTGATTCTCTGGAACATTTATAAGATGTGTTTGAAATATAACTTGAATCACATTTATTCGAAATCAGATTTTGTGCTCTATAAACAGATAGTTAAAAAAACACCATATATTTTAATATTAATCTTTTTTGTTTGAGATTAGCAGTTATAATATTGTTACTACCTGATTTTCCAATGTCCAATAAAACTTTATTGGATTTTTTGTATCATCACGTGTGTGATACCGTTAGAGATTGCATCGCTCCTAGTTCGAAAAGCTAATTGTGCGCAAGGATGAATGACATTTTCACTGCTATTTCGGTGTATATATATTTTTTTAAATCTTTTATTGGCTTTGATATGAATACAAATTGCCTATATCTATTACATAAATTATGTCCTTACAGTTTTACATACTAATATAATAAATATTACTGGGAGATGAAAATAATTTAGTTAATATACCAATAATTAATTAATGTAAGAGGGAACATAATTAATTTTCCATGTGCATAGAGTTGTAGTTATTTAAAACTAAGTTTAAGTATCAAAATCACAGTTTAGTATGAAGTCAGATATGATATTTATAGTTTCGTTGTTTATACTCGTAAGCAAGGGTAGAACAAAGTATCGGCCGTGTAACTGCAGCTTTCTCAACCTACTTAACACTTAATTTTTTGTGTTTCAAGCAGATGGCATTGCCAAAATATATATTCCACTGTCTCATCGTATTGGTCGCATTTACATTTGCTACTACTTACAATTTCAAATCGTGATAAGTGCGCATTCGTTACATTGTGCCCACATCTAATTCTATTTATAGTAGTAATAACTTTCCTATGCGCTCTGCTATTCTCAAACTATGGCTTACTTCTATTGTCCCAGTACGTTTTGATACAGTACAGAGTTCCTTTGGTTTCTCCTATTTCTTTGGTATGCGTTACATCTTTTTCCTTACATATATCTGCAAATACATATGTAGCAAATATATCTAATACTGGTATCTCTAAATTAAAACTCATGTCTTTGGCTGCAGCTTTTTTGGCGCTTGTATCTGCGTTTTCGTTGCCTTGTAGTCCGATGTGTACCGGGATCCAAAAAATCCCGACTTTGACGTCTTTGTCAGCTAGTTCAATGAGCTTTAACTCAATTTTTTCTACCAATGGTGGTTCGTTTTTGAGACCATGCATTTTGTTCAGAGCTTCGAGGTTGTTTCGTGAATCTGAGCAGATTCTGAAGCCGTTTACATTTGGCTCAACTGTTGATTCTTTCCAGCAGCTTATTTTTTCTATAGCGAGTATCAAGCCTAAGCTTTCTACGGTGAAAATAGACGCCAAGTTTGGTATTTTCATATCGGTTTGGAAGAATTCCTTGCTGCATCAGACTGCACACCCAACTGCTGTATTGTCAATATTACCTCTTACTAGTTTTGAGCCGTCGGTATAAATATCTGTTGTAGAGGCTCTTGGTGGAAATAATTTAGAGACTCTTTTTCCCAAAACTGCTTTTCTGCGTTCTTCGAGTTAAGTAGATTTTTTCCATTAGATACATCACAGTTTGCTTGAAAAGAGGGCATTAAAAGGTACTTCAAACCTATGGTAGTTGTCGTATTGAAAAATTTGTCCATTATAAGACTCACATTCTTCAAAAATCTTGGTCGTTCTTGATTTGTTGAAATTGTGTTCGTATATTTTAGTATTTGCAGTATTGGCAAGAGTTTCTATGCTCCGTACGACTAGGTGGTTATGAATACTGACATTGCAGACTAATTATTCGAATGTCAATGATCAGGTCATAATTTTGATAGAAAAGTAATTCGATCGTGATAATAGTGACTGTCAAGTGAACTCCCGATCGATGTTTGACAAGCGCAAGGAAGTTGAAATATTCGCCAATACATCTCACCTGAATACAGTACAACAGTACAAATCGATTGAATGTGAGATTTGTCATAAGATGTACGGCCGCAAAGATTCTCTCAAAACTCGCATGCATTACACGATCGGAGCAAACCCTTTGAATGTGATATTTGTAACCAGTCATTTGGATACCAGAATCGACTCAAGAATCACATTATGAGAGTATACAATCGGATCAACCCTTTGAATGTGATATTTGTCTCAAATCATTTAGAGAATTATGAAACTTTAAAATACACGAAAAGAGAGTTCATGATCGTGTACTAAAATCGATCACTGTAAAACGATCTTCATCGATCGGACGAGACACTACCTGCGATTGGCGATACAACAATCATGTAGCTCTGTCGCAGTTGAATAAAGTATCAGACAATCGAGTTTTTGATTCTTTTTTCTTTGCAATTTTTGATCTGCTGTAACTCGCGCCCAACGGATTTATCGCAGTGTGAGCAATTCTGTAAAAAAATCCTTAAAATTCGATGGAAGTTTGTTTCACTTGATGTAATTTCGATTTTGGTGGGCTAATTGTTGTAAAAAACCTTATCCTGTATTGTCATTGTTGAAACTATTTGAAGTTTTTTCTGAATCTCTTCTTAGTTTTGAGACGTCGAATACGCGAAGAAATATCAGTGGAGCTCGAAAAAAATATTCATTTAAGTGTTATAATTTACTGAAAACGAGACTAATATATTCATTGAAACCAAGGGATGTACACAAACATTTTCATAACAATTACTATTTATCAAACTAGCTCTATGTCAGTGTACTTTGCGCACCGTAGAATCAATTTTTTTTAAATTTCTCGTTTTCCTGATAATAGTGATTCTTTTACACAAAAAGTTCAACATTCGTCAGCCATTGGATACATAATGTCATTTTTTTATTCATTATAATGACCTTTGGATTGCATTGAAATATCCGAAATTTCATGGAATGATTTATAATTTGTAAATGTTATTGAACTTAACGCGCGTCATTTGATTCCAGCAGCAGCCCACCCCAGCACAATTGTCAAATGAATCAAGCGTGAGATATATATCGCCGCTGCTTATGAGTAAAAACACAGTGAAAAACACTATGAAAAAAACCTTTTTATAAAATGTCATGAAAATTAACACACCTTGTCGGATGCCGTGAAGAAAAACACACACGTCATTGAAACACTGTGAAGAAAAACACACCTCATCGAAATTCCGTAAACAAAACACATCTAAACGAATCACGATTTAACGAATCGTGTCGAAAATATCTTGGGTTTTCAAAGAGATGTGTTTTTCTTTACAACATTTTGATGAGGTCTGTTTTTCTTCACGGCATTCGGTGAGATATGTTTTTTTCACAGTATTACGTTAAGGTGAGTTTTTGCTCATAAACAGTGGTGATATACATGCAGAGAGAGAGAGAGAGAGAGAGAGAGAGAGAGAGAGAAAGCTACACATGAACGTACTTTGAAGTAGAAACAGATACACACGCACATACGACGATTATTTCGCCGGTGCTTATGAAGAAAATTTTATTTTTATCTTGATGGTAATAGGTTATATACAACATTTTTGTAAACGAAACATCAGATTTTGTTACTGTATCCATTTGCAGATACTTTAGATGATTTAGAATTGTGTAATTCTGATGAAAATTTTTGCACCTTTTCATGCTCCAGCGAGAGCAGCGGCCCAAAGTATCGATGCCAATACCAGTGGCCAATTTTGTTGCATCGTATGCTCCACCGAACAGAAAAAAAAGATTTAAGTACAAGCTCAGAAAGCTCGATACGAAACTTTAAAAATCTCAAAGAAAGAAAGATCAAAGGTCCTACGGAGGGAGTTGATGGCGTGATTTTCAGATGTCTCATCGAAATTAGATTCAAAAAGTTTAGAAAGTGCCTGTATAGTATTTACTGAGTTTGGGCAAACGACGAAGGAGAGGGAAAATATCGTTAACAAGCTGCCATATACGCGGGATCGCCTCGCCATATGATACATCAGTACGCCTTAAATCGCTAGAAAAGTGGTCAAATTCGGCCGTAAGCGACTGATGTTTACAAATTTGTCAATTCGAGCTGTACATCGTCATCGCCTACTTTAATTTTCTTTTCCATCGGTGATTGCACATGATCAAGTGTTTGATGAAAAGTTGAGAGGACCTACTGAGGTATTGCTTTTTTGTGCACGCTGTTATATTTCTTGAGAAGTTCTAATCGATCTTGATTATTCATCAGCTTGAAGGACAACCCGGTTAGTTCATAGACAGAGGCAAGCAACGATCTAAATTTGGATTCAGCGGACTCGTGCACGGCCAAAAACGTCGGGGCATTTAAGGATATTGGAACGAATACAAAATCTGACATGGATGCAATGGGGGACAGTATTAATAGACTATTCATATGTGAATTTTGTCGTGAATCATTTACCGAAATTGGGCTCAAGCGCCACATGGATGAATTACGTGATAAAATAAATAAACCCGTTAATTCTAAGATTTTAAATGATGTATTGAGCCTGCAAAATGACTTGGAACGTCGTAAGAATATAAAACACAATCGGAAAAAAACTTTAAAATGGGTCATGAAGTGTCACAAAACATTTGGCCACAAGGATCACCTCAAAAAAGACATCGATTCAACGCATAATCAGGGAGAATTTTTTGATTGTAAAACTTGTGGTCTATCATACCAAGTCGAGGGTAACTTTATTTTGCACGTAATTTTAGTACATAACGAGAGCAAACTCTTTGAATGTGAAACTTGTCACAAATCATTTTATAGCCAGGGCAATCTCAACGCTCATAAACAAAAAAACCGTTGCAAACCGTTTCAATGTAATATTTGCCCAAATAGATTTAAAACGGAGGAAAATCTCATTTTTCACATACAGTCTTGGCATCCTAAAGATAAACCCTTCAAATGCAAGTTTTGTCTCGCATCATTCGATGATCAAAAGACGCTCAATAATCACACAATGACAGTACATCGCGACATCAAACCATATAAATGTGAATTTTGTCTTAAATCATTCAGATCAAATGGTCATTTGAAAAGACATTTAATGAAAGTACATAAATATATGAACTTTTCAAAAATTTTGCCAACCTCATCAATGTACACATTGTAACAAATTATTTCGATGAAAAGGTAACATCGATAAAAATATAAAAAAGGCCAATCTCGAGCCGGATTCTATACTTATAGCAGATACCAAAATAAACTCAAGATCTGCAATTTGACAGCCCATAATCTTGACTATCTAAGACAATTGCGATAAAGGAGAATATATCTATTCTTATATGCGTAAGCTATGTAATGTTAAAGAATCTACCGAATAAATATCTTTTAATGCATTGAAAAACGATAAAATATTTCAAACTGTTGATGATTTTTTTATGATTGTAAAGTCATTTTACTCACCTTTCGTACATTATTTCGAATATCAACGCGTTTCGATCTTCAATTAGTTCTTCTACATAAACTTCACACGTCAACCCTTCACAACTGATTATTTTGCACGCGAAGATTTGACAGCATGATTTATATAGACGAATAACATAATTTAACGATCCACGACGCAATCGTCAATGAATCCAGTTTATTTCGATGTTCTGTACTCAAGACTACGCGCACATTATGTAAAATTGTTCTGGGTCTACGCAAACGTAGATGAAAATATTCCTACGGTACTCTCGAGTCTGACAGAGCTTTTTTGGATCTGTTAATAAGTAACCAAAGGTCTGATGGACTGAACAAACCTATTACAGGTGTAACGCTATGAGTGTAAAGCTTTTTCATGGTAATAATTAATCGTAAAAAAATGAGATAATCAAGGGACAATAAATGCCATTTCGCGTGCCACAATTAAAAACGTTATTCTCCCTCTCGCTCTTTTAGCAGCCGCAGTAGTATCACACTTGTAGAATGTTGTAGATGTAGAACAGAGACGCGATGCAATAATAGATAATCATAATTACTCAAACATATTCTTCATGATTGTCTGGAACATTTATAAGATGTGTTTGAAATATAACTTGAATCAGATTTATTCGAAATCAGATTTTGTGCTCTATGAACAGATAGTAAAAAAAACACCGTATATTTTAATATTAATCTTTTTTGTTTGAGATTAGCAGTTATAATATTGTTACTACCTGATTTTCCAATGTCCAATAAAACTTTATTGGATTTTTTGTATTATCACATTATTGTATTATCACATATTTTGAATACAGTACAACAGTACAAATCGATTGAATGTGAGATTTGTCATAAGATATACGGCCGCCAGTATTCCCTCAAAACCCATATGCATTACACTATCAGATCAAACCCTTTGAATGTGATATTTGTCACCAGTCATTTGGATACCAGAATCGACACAAAAATCACATTATGAGAGTATATAATCGGATCAAACCCTTTGAATGTGATATTTGTCATAAATCATTTAGAGAATTATGAAACTTTAAAATACACGAAAAGAGAGTTCATGATTTTAGGTCTGCTGTAACTCGCGCGCAACAGATTTATCGCAGTGTGAGCAATTCTGTAAAAAAAATCCTTAAAATTCGATGTAAGTTTGTTTCACTTGATGTAATTTCGATTTTGATGGGCAAATTGTTGCAAAAAACCTTATCCTGTATTGTCATTGTCGAAACTATTTGAAATTTTTTCTGAATCTCTTTTTAGTTTTGAGACGTCGAATACGCGAAGAAATATCAGTGGAGCTCGAAAAAAATATTCATTTAAGTGTTATAATTTACTGAAAACGAGACTAATATATTCATTGAAACCGAGGGATGTACACAAACATTTTCATAACAATTACTATTTATCAAACTAGCTCTATGTCAGTGTACTTTGCGCACCGTAGAATCTTTTTTTTTTTTTAATTTCTCGTTTTCCTGACAATAATAACTCTTTTACAGAAAAAGTTCAACATTCGTTAGCCATTGGATACATAATGTCATTTTTTTATTGATTATAATGACTTTAGATTGCAGCACCAGTGTCAAATAAATCAAGAGTGAGATATATATCGCCGCTGCTCATGAGTAAAAATACAGTTAAAAACGCTATGAAAAAAAACCTTTTTATAAAATGTCATGAAAATTAACACACCTTGTCGGATGCCGTGAAGAAAAACACACACGTCATTGAAACACTGTGAAGTAAAACACACCTCATCGAAATTCCGTAAAGAAAAACACATCTAAACGAATCACGATTTAACGAATCACGTCGAAAATATCTTGGGTTTTCAAAGAGGTGTGTTTTTCTTTACAACATTTTGATGAGGTCTGTTTTTCTTCACGGCATTCGATGAGATGTTTTTTTTTCACAGTATTTCGTTAAGGTGAGTTTTTGCTCATAAACAGCGGCGATATACATGCAGAGAGAGAGAGAGAGAAAAAGCTACACGTAGAACGTAGTTTGAAGTAGACACACATACACACGCACATACGACGATTATTTCACCGGTTTTTACCAACGAGCTTTTATTTTAGAAAAAGGGAAAAAAGTTATATACTACATTTTTGTCAGTGAAACATCCGGTTTTGTTACTGTATCCATTTCCAGATACTTTAGATGATTTAGAATTGTGTAATTCTGATGAAAATTTTTGCACCTATTCATGCTCCAGCGAGAGCAGCGGTTCAAAGTATCGATGCCAATACCAGTGGCCAATTTTGTTGCATCGTATGCTCCACCGAACAGAAAAAAAGATTTAAGTACAAGCTCAGAAAGCTCGATACGAAACTTTAAAAAGCACGAAACACGTGTGAAAGGTCAAAGGTCCTACGGAGGGAGTTGATCGCGTGATTTTCAGACGTCTCATAGAAATTAGATTCAAAAAGTTTCGAAAGTGCCAGTATATTATTTACTGAGTTAGGGCAGACGACGCAGGAGAGGGAAAATATCGTTAACAAGCTGCCATATACGCGGGATCGCCTCGCCATATGATACATCAGTACGCCTTTAATCGCTGGAAAAGTGGTCAAATTCGGCCGTAAGCGACTGATGTTTACAAATTTGTCAATTCGAGCTTTAAATCGTCATTGCCTACTTTAATTTTCTTTTCCATCGGTGATTGCACATGATCAAGTGTTTGATGAAAAGTTGAGAGGACCTACTGAGGTATTGCTTTTTTGTGCATGTTGTTATATTTCTTGAGAAGTTTTTTTTAATCGATCTTGATTATTCATCAGCTTGAAAGACAAGCCGGTAAGTTCATAGACAGAGGCAAGCAACGATCTAAATTTGGATCCGGTGGACTCGTGCACGGCCAAAAACGTCGGGGCATTCAAGGATATCGGAACGAATACAAATTCTGACATGGATGCAATGGGGGACAGTATTAATAGACTATTCACATGTGAATTTTGTCATAAATCATTTACCGAAATTGGTCTCAAGCGCCACATGGACTCATTCATTCATCATCCACGACTTAATCATTCTCCCCGTGATTCTGAGATTTTAGATTATGTTTTAAACCTGGAGGATTACTGGGAACATAATCAATTTTGTGAATGTGAGATTTGTCGCCAATCATTTGGACTGCAAAGTGAGCTCAAGCATCACAAGGACACAGATCATATTCAAAGCAGTCACTTGAATCTCACTGAGCACATAATTTCAGTACAAAATAAGGAAAAACCCATCGTTTGTAGGCTTTGTGGCCAATCAATTGGACAACAGGGTAACCTCCAAAGACACATCGATACAGTACATAAGAAGATAAAACCCTATAAGTGTGACATGTGTCCTTTGTCATTCAGCCGCAAGGATAACCTCCAAAATCACAAGCAAAGAATACATAAACAGGACCCCTTCGAATGTCATATTTGTTACAAATCATTCGAATACAAGAAGGACTACTTAACTCACTTGAGGGAAGTACATAGCAATTGCCAACGAAAAAGGCCCGTAAAATCAAAACTTAATGAGAAAAAAACTTTCAAATGTGATAAATGTGACAGATCATTTGTAGGAAAGAAGTACCTCGATGATCACATCAGAATGCGACATAAAATCTTCGAATGTAAGGCTTGTCACAAATCATTTGGAGAAAATAATAAGCTCAAGAGACACATAATCATAGAACATAGGAGTGGTAAATTTTATGAATGTAAACATTGTTCACAAGTATTCGAAAGAAAAGCCAACTTTAATTTGCACACAAAAAAGGTCCATCTCAAGCCGGTTTAGCTACCACAATCGCAGATACCAAAATAAACTTAGGAGCTACAATTTGACATCCCATAATTTTGATTACCCGAGACAACTGCTATAAAAGAGAATATATCTACTCTTCTATAAGTAAGCTATGTCATTTTAAAGAATCTTCCGAATAAATATCTTTTAATGCATTGAAAAACGATCAAATATTTCAAACTATTGATGATTTTTTCATGATTGTAAAGTCATTTTACTCACCTTTCGTACTTTATTTCGAATATAAATGCGTTTTGATCTTCAATCTGTTCTTCTGCTTTAATTTCGTACGTCAACCCTTCACAAATGATTATCTTGCACGCGAAGATTTAACAGCATGATTTATATAGACGAATAACATAATTTAACGATCCACGACGCAATCGTCAATGAATCCAGTTTATTTCGATGTTCTGTACTCATGACTACGCGCACATTATGTAAAATTGTTCTAGGTCTACGCGAACGTAGATGTCTGATAGAGCTTTTTTGGATCTGTTAAAAAGTAACCAAAAGTCTGATGAACTAAATAAACCTAATTTCATTGTAATAATTAATCGCAAAGAAATGAGACAATCAAGTAACAATTGATGCAATTTCGCACGCCCCAATTAAAGTACAGAGTTCCTTTGGTTTCTCCTATTTCATTGGTATGCGTTACATCTTTTTCTTTACATAGGTATTTAAATTTAGCAAATATATCTGATACTGTTATGTCTAAATTAAAACTTATGTCTTTGGCTGCAGCTTTTTTGGCATTTGTATCTGCGTTTTCGTTGCCATATTGTAGTCCGATGTGTGCCAGGATCCCAAAAATCCCGACTTTGACGTCTTCGTCAGCTAGTTCAATGAGCTTTAACTTAATTTTTTCTACCAATGGTGGTTCGTTATTGAGACCATGTATTTTGTTTAGAGCTTCAAGGTTGCTTCGTGAATCTGAGAAGATTCCGAAGTATCATGCCTAAGCTTTCTACGGTGAAAATAGACGCTAAGTTTGGTATTTTCATATCGGTTTGGAAGAATTCCTTGCTGCATCAGACTGCACACCCAACTGCTGCATTGTCAATGTTACCTCTTACTAGTTTTGAGCCGTCGGTATAAATATCTGTTGTAGAGGCGCTTGGCGGAAATAGTTTAGAGACTCTTTTTCCCAGAACTGCTTTTCTGGGATCTTCGAGTTAAGTAGATTTTTCCATTAAGTACATCACAGTTTGCTTGAAAAGAGGGCATTAAAAGGTACTTCAAACCTATGGTAGTTGTCGTATTGGAAAATTTGTCCATTATAAAACTCACATTCTTCAAAAATCTTGGTCGTTCTTGATTTGTTGAAATTGTGTTCGTATATTTTTGTATTTGCAGTATTGGCAAGAGTTTCTATGCTCCGTACGACTAGGTGGTTATGAATACTGACATTGCAGACTAATTATTCAAATGTCAATGATCAGGTCATAATTTTGATAGAAAAGGAATTCGATCGTGATGATAGTGACTATCAAGTGAACTCCCGATCGAAGTTGGACAAGCGTAAGGAAGTTGAAATATTCGCCGATACATCTCACTTGAATACAGTACAACAGTACAAATCAATTGAATGTGAGATTTTTCATAAGATATACGGCCGCAAGGATTCCCTCAAAACCCATATGCATTACACGATCGGATCAAACCCTTTGAATATGATATTTGTCATAAATCATTTAGAGGATAAAGAAACTTTAAAATACACTATAAGAGAGTTCATGATCGTATGCTAAAAACGATCACTGTAAAACGATCTTCGTCGATCGGACGAGACACTACCTGCGACTGGTGACGTAACAATTATGTAGCTCTGTTGCAGTTAAGTAAAGTATCAGACAATCGTAGAAGAGTTTTTGATTCTTTTTTCGTTGCAATTTTTGATCTACTGTAACTCGCGCGCAACAGATTTATCGCAGTGTGAGCAATTCTGTAAAAAAAATCCTTAAAATTCGATGGAAGTTTGTTTCACTTGATGTAATTTCGATTTTGATGGGCAAATTGTTGTAAAAAACCATATCCTGTATTGTCATTGTCGAAACTATTTGAAATTTTTTCTGAATCTCTTTTTAGTTTTGAGACGTCGAATACGCGAAGAAATATCAGTGGAGCTCGAAAAAAATATTCATTTAAATGTTATAATTTACTGAAAACGAGGCTAATATATTCATTGAAACCGAGGGATGAACACAAACATTTTCATAACAATTACTATGTATCAAACTAGCTCTATGTCAGTGTACTTTGCGCACCGTAGAATCAATTTTTTTTAAATTTCTCGTTTTCCTGATAATATTGATTCTTTTACACAAAAAGTTCAACATTCGTCAGCCATTGGATACATAATGTCATTTTTTTATTCATTATAATGACCTTTGGATTGCATTGAAATATCCGAAATTTCATGGAATGATTTATAATTTGTAAATGTTATTGAACTTAACGCGCGTCATTTGATTCCAGCAGCAGCCCACCCCAGCACAATTGTCAAATAAATCAAGCGTGAGATATATATCGCCGCTGCTTATGAGTAAAAATACAGTTAAAAACGCTATGAAAAAAAACCTTTTTATAAAATGTCATGAAAATTAACACACCTTGTCGAATGCCGTGAAGAAAAACACACCTCATCGAAATTCCGTAAACAAAACACATCTAAACGAATCACGATTTAACGAATCGTGTCGAAAATATCTTGGGTTTTCAAAGAGGTGTGTTTTTCTTTACAACATTTTGATGAGGTCTGTTTTTCTTCACGGCATTCGGTGAGATATGTTTTTTTCACAGTATTACGTTAAGGTGAGTTTTTGCTCATAAACAGCGGTGATATACATGCAGAGAGAGAGAGAGAGAGAGAGAGAGAGAGAGAGAGAGAGAGAGAGAGAGAGAGAAAGCTACACATGAACGTACTTTGAAGTAGAAACAGATACACACGCACATACGACGATTATTTCGCCGGTGCTTATGAAGAAAATTTTATTTTTATCTTGATGGTAATAGGTTATATACAACATTTTTGTAAACGAAACATCAGGTTTTGTTACTGTATCCATTTGCAGATACTTTAGATGATTTAGAATTGTGTAATTCTGATGAAAATTTTTGCACCTATTCATGCTCCAGCAAGAGCAGCGGTCCAAAGTATCGATGCCAATACCAGTGGCCAATTTTGTTGCATCGTATGCTCCGCTGAACAGAAAAAAAGATGCAAGTGCAAGCTCAGAAAGCTCGATACGAAACTTTAAAAAGCTCAAAGAAAGAAAGATCAAAGGTCCTACGGAGGGAGTTGATGGCGTGATTTTCAGATGTCTCATCGAAATTAGATTCAAAAAGTTTAGAAAGTGCCTGTATACTATTTACTGAGTTTGGGCAAACGACGAAGGAGAGGGAAAATATCGTTAACGAGCTGCCATATGATACATCAGTACGCCTTAAATCGCTGGAAAAGTGGTCAAATTCGGCCGTAAGCGACTGATGTTTACAAATTTGTAAATTCGAGCTGTACATCGTCATCGCCTACTTTAATTTTCTTTTCCAACGGTGATTGCACATGATCAAGTGTTTGATGAAAAGTTGAGAGGACCTACTGAGGTATTGCTTTTTTGTGCACCCTGTTATATTTCTTGAGAAGTTTTTTTTTAATCGATCTTGATTATTCATCAGCTTGAAGGACTACCCGGTTAGTTCATAGACAGAAGCAAGCAACGATCTAAATTTGGATTCGACGGACTCGTGCACGGCCAAAAACGTCGGGGTATTTAAGGATATTGGAACGAATACAAAATCTGATGCAATGGGGGACAGTATTAATAGACTATTCACATGTGAATTTTGTCATGAATCATTTACGGAAATTGGGCTCAAGCGCCACATGGACTCATTCATTCTTCCTCCTGACGATTTAGATTATGTTTTAAACCTGAAGGATTACTGGGAACATAATCAATTTTGTGAATGTGAGATTTGTCGCCAATTATTTGGACTGCAAACTGAGCTAAAGCATCACAAGGACACAGATGATATTCAAAGAAAACACTTGAATCTCACTGAGAACATAATTTCAGTACAAAATAAGGAAAAACCCATCTCTTGTAACCTTTGTGGCCAATCATTTGGACAAATGGGTAACCTTCAAAGACACATCAATACAAAACATAAGGAGATAAAACCCTATAAGTGTGACATGTGTCCTTTGTCATTCGGCCGCAAGGATAAACTCCAAGGTCACAAGCAAAGCGTACATAGACAGAACCCCTTCCCATGTCATATTTGTTACAAATCATTCGCATTCAAGAAGGACTACTTAAATCACTTGAGGGAAGAACATAGCCATTGCCAACGTAAATTGCCCGTAAAACTAGAACATAAAGAGAAAAAACCCTTCCAATGAGATGAATGTGACAGATCATATGGAGAAAAGAAAAACCTCGATAAACACATTAGAAAAATACATTATTCTCAATTAATCTCAAGAGACACATAAGCATAGAACTTGAGACTAGTCAACTTTATGAATGTAAACATTGTTCACAAGTATTCGAAAACAAAAGCAACTTTTATTCGCACACAAAAAAGGTCCATCTCCAGCCGGTTTAGCTACCACAATCGCAGATATCAAAATAAACTTAGGAGCTACAATTTGACATCCCATAATTTTGATTACCCGAGACAACTGCTATAAAAGAGAATATATCTACTCTTCTATGAGTAAGCTATGTAATTTTAAAAAATCTTCCGAAAAAATATCTTTTAATGCATTGAAAAACGATAAATTATTTCAAACTGTTGATGATTTTTCATGATTGTAAAGTCATTTTATTCACCTTTCGTACATTATTTCGAATATCAACGCGTTTTGATCTCCAATTGGTTCTTCTGCATAAACTTCACACGTCGACCCTTCGCAACTGATTATCTTGCACGCGAAGATTTGTCAGCATGATTTTATATAGTCGAATGACATAATTTAATGATCCTCGACGCAATCGTCAATGAATCCAGTTTATTTCGATGTTCTGCACTCATGACTACGCGCACATTATGTAAAATTGTTCTGGGTCTACGAAAACTTTAGATATGAATATTTCTACGGTACTCTCGAGTCTGACAGAGCTTTTTTGGATCTGTTAATAAGTAACCAAAGGTCTGATGGACTGAACAAACCTATTACAGGTGTAACGCTATAAGTGTAAAGCTTTTTCATTGTAATAATTAATCGCAAAATAATAAGATAATTTTCACGTGCCACAATTAAAAACATTATTCTCCCTCTCGCTCTTTTAGCAGCTGCAGTAGTATCACACTTGTAGACTGTTTTAGATGTAGAACAGAGGCGCGATGCAATAATAGATTGTTATAGTTACTTAAACATATTCTTCGTGATTCTCTGGAACATTTATAAGATGTGTTAGAAATATAACGTAAATCACATTTATTCGAAATCAGATTTTGTACTCTATAAAGAGCTAGTAAAAAAACGTCTCGTATTTGAAGATTAATTATTTTTTTTTCGAGGTTAATACTTATAATATTGATACCAACACTAAGATTTTACAATAAATGGAAAAAATTATAATAACCATACATTTTTGAATTTATGCTAATCAAAGTTTTTTTTACTTGTGAGTATATAATACTGTATCTGTTGATATTAAAAAAAAAGCAGATGATAAGACAACTTTCTACAATATTCACCATATAACACATTTTTAGAATAATTTCATAAACTATTTCGAAGGGCAAAGCTCCGATAAAGTGAATTTCATCATATTTCTTGAACGGATCGTTTAAAAAACTAAATCATTTCCATCGCACTTAATTATACGTTAGAGTTTAGAAAGGGCCACGCGACCTTCAGCCAAATGCAGTGAAAATTACAGAATCTAAATTTCGGGCAAATCATAACTAGTCTGTGGAATTAATTGAAATGATAAATGTAAAAATATTGATAGATTTAGATTTTAAAGATTTTTAACTTGAACCTAAAACTCCAGCGTCAAGAAAATCTGAGCATCAAACCGTTTCAGAAAATGGAAATCCGTGAAATTTGTAACAAATCATTTTCTCAAAAGAGTGACCTCAAATCTCATGTAAATTCAGTACATAATGTGAAAAAACCCTTTGAATGTGAAATTTGCCATAAATCATTTTCAGACAAGAGTAATCTCAATAGACACATAAATACAGTACATAACCGTAGCAAACCCTTCGATTGTGAGATTTGTCACAAATCATTCGGACGAAAGTGTAACCTCGAAAAACACACGACAGCAGTACACGATCGGAGCAAACCCTTAGAATGTGACATTTGTCTAAAATCGTTTGTACAAAAACATCACCTTCAACGTCACGTGAGCGCCGTACATGAACTTAGAAAACCCTTTGAATGTGTGATTTGTCACAAATCATTTTCTCAAAAGAGTGACCTCAAATATCACATAAATGCAGTACATGATCGTATCAAACCCTTCGATTGTGAGATTTGTCACACATCGTTTGGAAAAACAAATCGCCTTAAACGGCACGTGACCACAGTACCCGATCGTAGCAATTAAATCCTTCGAGTGTGAAATGATCCGATATATTTGGTTGCATTTAGACTTACAATCGCACGAATACGAGACGCACCATACAATCCTTCATATTAAATTATTCTTTAATTTTCCGAATAACAATAAAATATCGTAAACTGTAATTCATTTTGTCATGATTGTAAAAACTTTTTACTTACCTTTCTTACGTAAACTCTTGATCTGTTAAATATTTCTCGCTCGACTTTATCGACTACCTAGATACGTACTTGCATTTCCGAGAAGCTTTTAAATTCGCACATGTATAATGTGTTCGATTCTCGGTGAAATTGAATGATCAAAGAAAAAAATGTTGCCACCGATTCTTCAATTGTAAAAAAATGTCATCGCAATTAATTAATGACAACTGGTTCAAAAACTTGTTTTCGAGCCTATCACAAAACATTCTCAGAGAAAAAGCGTTTCTCTTTTTCTTTGAACCACAGAAAGAAAATGTGAAATTTCTTGCCTTTCTTTCCAAACACAATATTTTTTTCAGGATTTGAAAAAAAAATCGCTGAATTTTCTAAACATAAATTTTTTTGTCCACTATTAAATAAGGGATAAAGTCTTCGCTAACGCCAACGATTTATCGATCGCAATTGATCAATTATAAAATTATTATAATCAGTATTCTTATTTTATTTAGGTGTATATAAAAAAAATATAAGGTCTATAAATATGCGAGCAGTTCAAAATACTATTTATTCAATCCTATCGTTTGAACGCACTCTCTAACTATAAATTTTTAAAATCTTAAAAGCTCGTCGACGTCCATCCGATTTTCAAGCCGAGACGTAACGTTTCTTCTCTGCAATCGAAAATTTACATATCGTGTGTTTACAAAGCCATTGATATGCGCGCTATGATGGAAGACAGAACAAAAAAAAAACTGCTCACTCTCCGAGGCTTGAGCGACTTGGGCAATCAGAACCACGGCCAACACGACCAGCAAGACGATCTTCGCGAGGAACTTCGTGTCTGACTAAAGAATTTTATCTATACGATAAAAAATACACAGCGATGTAATTTCGTATGGAGTCGAAATTCGTATCGGAACGCGATATATATACACATTGAAAAAAGTCGAACTGCGTGAACGGAAAATTAGCGCGGCGTATCGTCGGGCGATTATGTCATTATACACATACTCGGTAACGCGAAATTACGCGTACTTAAAGAATAACTAAATAAAGTTATCTATCGGTGAAATTAGCCACCGAACCCGATAAACAAAATAACGACGATTCAAATCCATACAGGAAATTTTTCGCGCAACAAAGTTTATGTACACGGCGGCGAAAGCCCTGAGAGCTTTTCTCGTCACACACACACACACACACACACAGGCCCACACACACGGAGAGCGCGCGTCAGAGGGGATGGGGGGGTGTGTGAAAGCTTGCACATGCTGCAGCAAGCTGCTATCCAGGGATATAGCCCGCGGGCCGGCCAACTTAATGGAAACAAGAAATTGCCGCAAACAGGGTTAACCACGCCCCGGCGCGCTTTATAATACCCGAGCTAGCGAGCGAGCGAGCGAGCGAAGCGCGAGGCAACGTTTATAAATGCCAAAGGCTATATGCGATGTACCATAATGTGTAGTACACAGCGAGTACATTCACCCCCCTACGGTTTTGCTCCGTTCTTTATATACGGCCCGATGACTTTTTCGGCTTTCTAATCGTTTTACGCGTACGCGTAATAATAATAATAATAATAATAATAATCAACGAAAGGCTATACAATAAATACACGATGATTTATTATATACAAATACATCTTCAGCGATTTCGCGCTGGGCTTTTCATTAGCTTTTTCACGGGCGAGCTATTGTGCGCGAAAAAGCTGCTTCGTCGTCGCGAGCCTCTCTCTCTCTCTCTTTTTAGCATGAAAATGGCCAATTATCCGACTAACAAACTCATCATCGTCGTAGCGAGCGAGCGAGCGAGCAAAGCCGTGAAGCAAAACTGGTAAACTCAATTGAGCTTACAAGCCGAGGCGCGCAGAAGGACAACATTTAGTCGGAGGGCGTAAATACCGTCGCTTGTTGCACTTTTTTTTTTATGTACTTCTTCTGCTTCTTTTTCTTTTTCTTCTTGATATATAGACTACGAGAGTTGGCGCTGATTACCCGCCCGACTACCTCGCCCGAGCTTAATCCTATTACAATTGAGAGATAGAGTCAAGTTTTCTTGACTCCGAGAGAGAGAGAGAGAGATTTGCATAGGGACTTTTCTTTGGCGCTTGTTTTTCTTATGTATATAGAGGAGCGGCGGCATACAAACATGCACAAAGCGCGCGGAGGGTGTTAAGGCTCTGGAACCGCCCCCGCCACTCGGGGCTGCTGCTGCTGCTGCTGCTGCTGCTCTCAATGCGCGAAATATTCTCCCAACTTTTCAGCTCGCTCGAGTTTTTCTTCGTGCAGCTATGTAGCCCTAATTGCTCCACATAAACCTCGTTGAATTATTTACTATTTTTTTTTCGCACGAAAAGAAAATTAACTCCACGTAATCGATCGATATTTTTTCGAAACTCGCACGTCGTAATTTTTCGTTGACAGGTCTATTAGAAACGTCGGAAGGTGTCTTTGATGCTTTAATTGTCTAAATGATACATAGTTATAGCAATTAAAACGATTTTTTAATTTAAATACCGTTAAACGCTCGATAATGTACTTTTTCTCCTCGATGCGGCAGACGTTCAGTTAGTGACGCGACGCTCGACGACCATCGAAAATTCGTTCGAATTTTTGTTTTTCATTCGCCAACTAAAACACCTATACAGATCTTGGAAGTACAATCATGAGTAACGCGACGGAAATGATGAGTTACGACGGGCCGATTGATTTCATTCGCAACGCCGTGGAAGATTCAGGACAATTGTTCACCATGGTGAGTGAAAAAGCCAAAAAAAAAGTATATTTATGCATGCCCAAATATATTTGTACATATTTGTAGATCGGAAGTTTCTTGGCTCACTCGTCGTTCAGGCTCGCCTACAACTACGTGAAATCGCTCCTCATATCGGTATTTCCACCGGCGGCTCTACTGTAAAACGATCGCCGATCGGATGAGACACCACTTGCGATTGGCGATACAACAATCATGTAGCTCTGTCGCAGTTAAATAAAGTATCAGACAATCGCAGAAAAGTTTTTGATTATTTATCTTTGCAAATTTTTTATCAGTTTATCAGTCGCTCGCTTTCTACTTATACATCGCAGTACGAGCAATTCTGTAAAAAAAATCCTTAAAATTCGGTGGAAGTTTGTTTCACTTGATGCAATTTCGATTTTGCTAGACAAATTGTTGTAAAAAACTTATTCTGTGTTGATATTGTCGAAAGCATTTGAAATTCTTTTCTGAATCTCTTTTTAGTTTTGAGACGTCGAATACGCGAAGAAATATCAGGGGAGCTCGAAAAAAATATTCATTTAAATGTTATAATTTACTGAAAACGAGACTAATATATTCATTGAAGCTGAGGGACGTACACAAACATTTTCATAACAATTACTATTTATGAAACTAGCTCTATGTCAGTGTACTTTGCGCACCGTAGAATCAATTTTTTTTTAATTTCTCGTTTTCCTGATAATGATGATTCTTTTACAGAAAAAGTTTAGCATTCGTTAGCCATGGTATACATAATGTCATTTTTTTATCGATTATAATGACTTGAGATTGCATTGATAGCTCCGAAATTTCATAGCATGATTGATAATTTGTAAATTTTATGGAACTTAATTTAAACTACGTAGAAAAACTGAGGAAGAGCATAATGAAGCTGAGCTCGTTCTAATGTTTACATCGTTTGTCGCAATCGCGACCTCTGGTTTTATCCGCTATGGTGTTTTGCTGTGCATTCCATAAGCACTTGTACAGCAGTATTCGACAGTCTTTTCACGTGTAATCAGTGATATCTGTAAAATTAATACCGAATGATTGTTAAGGAAATTCCAAGTAACCAATATGGAATCCAGTGATTTATTTAACAGCGCCGTGAGGTAATCTTCATTTTTTGAGAATGAAATTGAAAAGAGTGATTCAAAAAATATTTTTTCACACTCTAACCTAAAATACGCAACTTTGCCGCTAATTTTAGGCTCTCGTAGGAAAAAATAGTATCAACTGGTGCAGATATGGTCTCGTGCTATAATCCTTCGTTTTGCTAAAAAACCATATGCGCACCCGTTGAGAAATATACTATAAACTAATTAGGACTATTTTCAGGGTGAAGGAGGAGCCTATTGATGTGTCGCTCATGAGCAATGATAGGGAAACGATTGACGAAAAACCCGATCTTCAAAACTTCCAACTATTACCACATCTGCGAGAAAACTCAGTAAGTGTTGATGATTACATTTATGTAACTCATATTGTAATTACGTGTAATTTGTATCCAATTTTTCTTCAGGCCCATACATTTGAAAAATGTGAACTTGACGACGATGTGAAAATAATCGTTGAATGTAAAGACGTCAAGCCCAGTGTCAATTGGTCAGTAGTTGAAAAAATTAAAGATGATTCTCAAATTCACTTGCAGAATATAAAAAATAGCCGTGAGAATACAAATGAAAACCTAATTAAAATAGAAACCGTGAGTGAAGTGAAACAGGAAATTTTTGATGACGATACAGAACGAATGAATTTGAATCTCGACTGTGAGCTTGGCCAACAAAATAATGCAAGAAGAATTGCAAAAAAGTTAAACAACGGACATAGATTCAAAAAACACATGAGTACAATGAATATTGGTGCCAGATACGTATGCGACAGTTGCGGAAAGTCTTTTTCTCGAAAAATTAGTCTCAAAATCCACATAGATGCGATCCATAATGGTATCAAACATCCATGTGACACGTGCGGTGAACATTTCTCGAATGAGAGTAATCTAAATAGGCATGTCAAATCATTACATCATCGCATTACCCACTCATGTGATACGTGCGGAAAAAAGTATTCAAGTAGGAGTGGTCTCAGAGTCCACATCAAGGCGGTGCACAATAGTGTCACGCATTCGTGTGATATTTGCGGAAAGACATTCTCGCAAAAATTTTATCTCAAAATTCACATCGATTCCATGCACAATGGTGTCACGTATTCGTGTGGTATTTGCGGAAAGACATTCACACAAAAAGGTTATCTCAAAATTCACATCGATTCCATGCACAATGGGGTGACTCACTCATGTGATATTTGCGGAAACACATTTACAAGAAAAGGTTATCTCAAAACTCACATCGATTCCATGCACAATGGGGTGACTCACTCATGTGATATTTGCGGAAAGACTTTTTCCATAAAAAATAATCTCAAAACTCACGTCGATTCCATGCACAATGGTGTCAGGCATGCGTGTGATATTTGTGGAAAGACATTCGCGCAAAAGTGTGAACTCAAAACCCACATCAACGTGGCGCACAATGGTGTCAAACACGCATGTGGTGCATGCGGAAAGACATTTTCCATAAAAAATAATCTCAAAACTCACGTCGATTCCATGCACAATGGTGTCAGGCATGCGTGTGATATTTGTGGAAAGACATTCGCGCAAAAGTGTGAACTCAAAACCCACATCAACGTGGCGCACAATGGTGTCAAACACGCATGTGATATGTGCGAAAAATCATATAGTCATAAACATAGTCTCAGATACCATATCAAGACGGTGCACAATGGTGTCAAGCAATTGTGAGACAAGACTTTTTCTATAAAATGTAATCTCAAAACTCACATGGAGTCGGTGCATAGTAAAATCACTCATGAATGTGATAAGTGCCAGAAGACATTCTCAAAAAAGAGTTATCTCCGAAAACACATAAATTCGGTGCATAAAGTTAACAAACATGCATGTAGTACACGCGGAAAGAACTATTCATCAACGGGTAGTCTCAGAGACCACATCGATGGAGTACATAACGGTATCACACACCCATTAAATTTTTGGGAAAAAAAAAATTTTAAATCGATCCGGTCTTCATAAACATGTCGAATAGCATGCGTTCGGACAACAACCAAATCTTCAAGCTCACATCGATTTAGCTTATCACTCGAGTGACATTGCGAGTGACGAACGTAAAAAATTTAATTTTCATTGTTAATATAATATCATAATTAGTTCTTCTTATATTATCTCTTTTTGTAAAAAATATGTTCAAGTTTCGAAAAAAGATCAATAAATTATTGGAGAAAAATGAAGTACAATCCTTAGAATAAGCTAATAAATAAAAACCCCTCACTTTTCACTTTTAACTTCGCTCGCGCTCTAAACTCAGCAAGTTCTATTTCGCGACTCATACTGTAGCACCTATCAAAACTGACTCAAAATTTCAAGCCTAGAATAGAGTAAGTAGTCACGTCTGCATCCAACGACAAAAATTTCAATCTCGATTGCAGCCTCGAATTTTGCAAGGATAATTTTTTTTTTCACAGAATTACTCGCACAAGCGCGTAGCACATCCAAGAAGCTCTCGTATTATATCCCACGTACTATAAAACCGGATGCAGCTCGCGCGGCAAAGTTAAATTAAATCACGAGTCGGTGGAGGCATAAGCGCGCGCGGCGCAATTCGCGAGACTCTCTCGAGCTATAATATTGTATATAGTCTGGCGCATTAGCGACACACACAAACCATATTATTATAAACTTAAAATCAAGATCCACTACTACTACTACTACTGCTACTGCTGCTGCTATATATAACAAGGCTTGCAAGTTTCTCTCGCTGCGGCACGAGCTCGCGCACGAGCAGCGAGAGAAGTAAGTGTGTATATACCTGGCGTGTAGCTGGGGCTCGGTATCCTTCCTGCTAAGTCGCGCGTGAAAATACTAATTATTATTAACACGAACGATTATTAATACGAAAACTTGTGCCTGCCTGCTGCTGCCGCTGCGCACCGGCATTTAGTTTGTTGTTTCTTCGCGTACATATATCAGCGTCTTTATCTATCTCTGTGCGCGCGCGAGAGAGAGGCGATACAAACTTCGAGAGACATTGTTGGCGCGTTGCGGAGCGCATCTCATAATTAACCAGAGAGAGAGAGAGAGAGTCTAAGACGAAGAAGAAGAAGAAGAAAAACTATATACCTTTTCTTTTCCTCGCATTTATCATACCTGTATCTTTATCTACTTCCCTTCGTTTTTTTTAATCGTTGCGTTAATAAATACAAGTGATTGATCCCATATGTGTGGATATTAAGCTGTCATAATAAACCGTAAAGACTCTCTCGTAAACTAGAGAGAGAGAAGCATATTTTATATATTATAAAGCATCGTGTACTCGGCGCGCACCCGTGTGATAATATAAAGCCCTTCGGGCGCCCATATATACGTGTTTGTGACTATATAGAATGAAGCCAAGCGCGAATAGAATCACGTCGAGTGTAGTTAATGCACAGTATAGAGAGAGAGAGAGAGAGAGAGAGACGGGGTATATACGATCGGGGGCTGCTGCTTCGTATTAATAATCCCCCGGTCCTGGCATAGGTAGAGAGCAGCAGCAACTTGCGCGCCGCGTTTCCTTAGTTACATTATACGATATAATAAGTGTATCACCTGCACGATGGATCGCGACGATGAAAATGTATTATCCTCGTTAAGGACAGACTAACTGCTATCTGTGTTAGACGGTTTCAAGGCAGTTGAGGAAAATTATAGTCGAAACTTTGGTGTAAAAATATTACATTGCTTTATCGCCAATCCAATTGGTATACAATGATAACCAGTACATCGTGAAAAATATACAAACTACGATAAACAACGGTACCCTCGTGTCTCATGCCAGAGTAGCCTTCTGATGCCTCATCCCCGCCGCCGTGTAGCTCTCGTTTTTCGCGAACTTGGCGTATCTGCAAGAAAACAAAGAAGAAGACGATGAGAAATGCGAAAACGAGCTCGACGACTTTTTTTATAGTTTGCACTTTGCGTATGTTACTCACATTCTCTGATACTTTTGCTTCTCCGAGGCCAGTAACGACGGCTTCGTGGCGAGCATCGACTTCACCAGCTCCTCCTGCCCGACGACAAAGACGTTCAACTCGTTCGACTCCAAGGACGCCTCGATGGCGCACAATTTGGCCTGGGCGACGACGGCGTTGAGATCGGCGCCCGTGAAGTCCTCGGCTGCGGCGGCCAAGGCGCGCAGATCCAGCTGTTCCGTGTCGATGTCGTGAGTCTCGCAGAGAGCCGACAAAATTTCCATTCTCTCGGTCTGTAAAAAAAAACACGACTTTAGCTTAAAGGGATGAAGAGAGAGAGGGTGAGAAAAAGAAAAAGGCGATAAAAGGGGAGAGTCGTCGCTTTATATATAATAAAATAATACTCGCCACGTCTGGCAGCGGGCAAAGCAGCGACTTGTCGAGTCGGCCCGGTCTCAGTAGCGCCGGATCGAGCAGATCGGGTCGCGACGAGGCGGCGACGACCGCGACCCCTTCGCGGCCCTCGATCCCGTCCAGATGCGTGAGCAGCTGATTCACGACGCGATCCGTGACCCCGGTACTGTCGTGGCCTCGTCTGTGTAAGATAAAAAAAAAACATAATTTAAATGACAAAAACCAAACAAAATACTCGTTTACGATGCGCGTATCGAGTCGATGCTGTATCGTAGTGGTGACTGTGTGTGTCTGTGTGTACCTTGGCGCGAGACTGTCGAATTCGTCGAAGAACAGGACGCAGGGCTTGGCGCGTTGGGCTCTGCGGAGAAATGATACAGATAAAATATAAATATTTATTCGATAAACAAAATTTTCAAGCGAGAAAAAAAATCGATGAAATAAAACAAAATTTCATCGATTCAATTAAATCGTATGATTAAAGAACATTTCGAGTGCCATTTGATTGATTCTATTATTTTATTCAATCTATTCTATACTTAATTGATTCAATCGAATATTTTATTTGTATTGGTTTATTATTGCAATTGAGGCACTTGATATTTCATTTAAAGATAATATTTTATTGATTAGATGAAATATTTAATTAATTGCTGAATCAATGAAATATTACATTGATTTCATCACAAATAACATTTATAGACTTAGGGTACTTATACCAGTGATTGACCGCTTTCGACCAGTAAATGACCACTTTTGGATGTGCAATAATTATCGTTTTTCCTTGTTAAATTATGATCAAACATAGAAAACAAGATGTATCGTTCACTAAAGAATTGAATTACGTCCATACAAATATATTTTTAATTGTTTTTCATATGATATTTTCTAAAATGGTCATTCACTGGTACCCGGTCATTGATTGGTCTGACTACCCTATGATGTTTAAACTGACTAAGAATATCCTCTGGTTTTGAGCTATAAAAAAATTATAATTTTCGTTTGAATGTATAAACTCACTTCTCGAATACGTTGCGTACCGCCTCCTCGCTCGCTCCAATGTACTTTGACAGTAGTTCGGGTCCCTGCGCGCAACAACAACAACAAAAAGTTATCATCAACATCTTTATTCGATAATTTTCAAAGGGTTTGGTTATTTAGGCGATAATTCGTATAAGAAAATTTTCATTTTAGTTAACGAAACTCTAAATAATTCAAGAGATCTCTTTAAAATGATGATTTTAGAATTTCGAGAACGAATTTGCCCACGATTAAACACTTCGATTTGCCAAAACCTCTCACCTTGACGCTGATCAGATTCAAGCCGCACTCCTTGGCGATGGCCCCGGCCAGCATGGTCTTGCCCGTGCCCGGCATGCCGTACAGCAGTATGCCGCTCTGCAGCTTGACCGGGGCGCGCTTGAACACGGCCGGATATCGCAGCGGCCAGTGCAGGATCTCGATGAGGCCGGCCTTGACGTGGGCCAGGCCGCCGATGTCGCGCCACCTGTGCCCCGAGCCCCGATACAGCTGGACGCCGCGCAACGAGGCCGGCTGGCTCCTGGCCAGGGTAGCGTCCAGATCCTCGGCCGAAAGAGTCAAGGCGGTGGTGGTGGTGGTGGCGGTGACATTTCGACGAAGACGCTTCTCCGATACTGAATACGGTTTCGAAAACGAAGGATACGAGGATAGGATGACGTGAAAATTATGAATTACAAAGATTATTAAATGAATTGTTAAGTGATAATAATTTCCATTGTATACTTATAATAATATTAATTTTTGTTAAAAAGGTAAGGTAATTTTAGTTTGCTTATTTTTTAGTATAAATTAGAAATTTTTTCCAGGGGATCGAGAAAGATTGTCGAAATTTTATGAAATAAAGAGGGTTTTTATGAATTAGTGTGGATTACGATTCGACTCTCTGTATCATACCGTGTCGTTTCCAGGCGGCGTAGGCGGCCTTGTCCGCCAGCACGGCGAGATCCTGAATGACCCATCCCTCGGTCTTGTTGGCGTAACTATCCCAATCGATGTCCGACGACACCGACAGCCTGTCCTCCAGGCACGAGCGTAAAATTTTGATTCTCTCGCTCTGTCGAAAAATTAATCGAGCGATAAAAAAATTAATAATCATTGAAATTGTTTTTCTGATGCGATCTTTAAAAGTCTTCTCCTTCTCGCACCTTTTCCAAGCTGCCGATCGTCAGATGCGCGCGAAAGAAGTGAATGCCCCTGGCGTCCCTCAGCTTCTTGCCGAGCTTGGCCAGATCGCTACAGGTCGCCACCAGGGCCACCGAGTGTCCGGCCAGCTGCAGCTCACGCGTCTGCGTGACAATGATCTCCGTGATCTTCGCGGCGTTCGTCGAGTCCGGCGTGATCTCCTCCTCGTTGCCCTGATTCTGCACCGAGGTGATGCTGTCGAGATCGTCGAGGAACAGAATGGCCGGCTGCAGATAGCAGGCCCGGGCGAGCTCGGCGCCGAGCAACTTTTGCACCAGCTCGGCCTTCTTGCCCTTGAGGCGGCGACAGTCGAGGTGGCGCGCGTGGCAGTGCCAGGGGCCGGCGCGAAATCTCGCCGCGAGCAGGCGGCAGCAGGTCGTCTTGCCCGAGCCCGGGGCGCCGATTATCAGCGCGTTGTCGGCGGCGACGACGTTGGACGACGATCGTTGGTGGCGCATCAAGGAGAGGCTGAGTTTCAGCAGGATCGAGCACTCGTCCAGCAGATCTTTCATGACTCTGCGCGAAGAAAAATAAGTAACAAATTCAAGTCCAATCGGGGCAAAATTTACGAAAAAGTAGAATCTTAAGTTTTTTTTATGATTTGTTATAAACAAGAGAATTATTTGAAAAAAATTTAATTTGTCAAAGGATTATTGATCGGCCTAATACTCTTTGATTTAAAAAATTTTAAAAAATTAGCTGTTAAAAAAAACACATTTTTCATATCGCGAAATGACACTTTTTAAACGGTGAAAAACATTAACTCAAAAAGTATTGAACCGATTTTTTTGTAAATGTTGCACACCTCATTATTAATCTTTTGGGGTTTTCCAATAATTTATTTATTTATAACAAATTCTTTTCTGACTCAATTTTAGGAATTATTTAAACTCCAAAATTACATCAGAATCAATATAAATAGAAAAACTCAACGTGGGTGCCTGCAGTAATTAATAACCTTTACTTGCCACACTGAGGTAGAAACGACCCCACGCATTTTTACGTTTTTTTGACGAAAATTGAATCTATTGTTAAACATATTTGCTTTCCATATTTCAATATCAAACTTAAACGGTCTTCAAAATAAATTTTTCAAAAACTCGTCAAAAAATTTCTAATAGAAACTTTTAATAGATTATTTATTTATTAACAATTCATTCGAGGGGATACACAAAACCCCAGTGTGTCAAGAACGCTATACCAGAGAAGTGTTGCAAGTAAAGGATAAACTAATGATGTTATTTGGAATTTTTTGTATTGAATGATGATAATGAAAAGTCGAACTACTAACTCCAGAGCCACATTGCCATTCGACTCCTCTCGTTCGATCGTCATCGTCGTGTCATCCTCCTCCTCCTCCTCCCGTTCCAATCCGGGCGGCCGATACGCGTCCACGTCCACGCCGTCCCTGACCCGCACCTGTACAGTCTCGGCGTCGCTGGCGTCGAAGAATCCATAGGCGCAGCCGTCAGGCTTCAATTTGACCGAGCACAGACTCGCCTCGTTGGCGTCGTCGTCGAGGCTCACCAAGCTGCCGGAATTGATCAAGACTCTTCCTCCTCCTCTCTGCGTCGCGGCGACTCGCCGCAGCCAGTCGCGAAAGCGTCTCTCGCTGACGATGGCCTCGTTGTTGCTGTTGCTGCTACATGGGGCAAGCTCGATGGAGGTGCACCTCGAGACATCTGCTCTGTCGGCGTCGGTCAACTCCTCGAGGACGACCTTGGCGTTGAGCCTCAACGAGGCGCTCCTCATCAGATCCGGCCCGACGTAGACGCACGGATGCCTCGGAAACTCCTTATAAGAAGAATCGAGATTTTCGTCCAGAGGATGAACCTCGACGATCGTCTCCTTGGCCTCTGCGGCCGAGCTCCGTCTGAAATTGAACTTGATCTTGCTGGACTTGGCGTCGTGCTGATCCTCGCCGATCTTGCGCAACCTGGCCAACGTCACTTTGCCACCTCCGTGCGTGTATACTCTGCACGGCGGAAGAATCACTGCTGCTGTTTCCTTGCGATTCAGGGGCAAAACTCGACGGATCTCGCCGAACGATGTGTTCGAATTTTCCGCGCGGATGACGTCGAGAACGTCTCGTTGGTGGCTCTTCTCTTCCTTGAGGGTCTTGGATTGGGGAGCAGACGCGTCGCCGATGTGAATCTCCGTGTTCTCCTCGAGGCGGCCGTACTTGAACTGCGGATTCATCGATTCTGCGCGAGATCGCGTGTGTAACGTTATTTTAATAAATGGCAATTATTTGAACGGATGGAGGTAAAAACGATATAAAATTAAAATTACTGTTATTATTCATTCGTTGTTTCATAATGAATTACAAATAAGTCCTAATTAAAAAATGTTTGTATATATGTATCGATATCTCATCAAACAGTGTCCGTTAACAAATATTTTCACTATTGAGAGGTGCTTTTTTGCCGCCCTCAAGAGGGGTTAGTCACATAAGAAACAATTTATTTCTGACACTTTCAAGAAGTTTTACTGTATAGTTTTACAAGGGAGGTTTTACAGTATTATACGGTATACTCACTCACGACGAGCTTGACGGACAAGAATTTCGACACCCAGGCGACGATCGGCTGATCGACGGCCACCACCCTGACCTGATCCAGCAGGTTCATCTGAATGATTTCGCTCTGCAGCTCCTGCGTTATTTATTTATTTATTTATTTATTTATTTATTTTTCAAAGACATGTCATTTAAATCAACTCATAATATAAATAATAATAAAATACTTACGACGATCTCTCGATCGTTGTCGCTGGCGGGCGCGCACAGTAGGCTCGTCAGGGCCGGCGGCTGCTCGTTGACAATCGTGACGAAGACCTCGTCGGCCTCCTTGATGCCCAGACTTCGGGCGAAAGTCGCGCCGAGGCAGAGTCGGGATTGGTCGGGGCTCGGCCTCGCGTACCAGGACAAGTAATAATCGCGCTCATTGTGCCGGAGTCGAATCAGCGACGAGTTAGCCTGTATATAGGATATTATCGGCACGTAATAAATATAATAAATAATTCGAGGGGGTGGTTTATCTCAATTTGTTGGCCGCGCGTAATTTTTCACATTAAACGTCCGATGATTTTGTATCTGTACGTGCGAACGTGAACCCTCGAGATAACTGCACACACGCGCATACGTGATATACCGCTGTATTATTAATGCTCGCGGGAAAATCGCTGCATTCGTGCGCCAAAATATTTCTCGGCCACCGAAAAACCAACGCGTATCCCGTATAAAGAGAGATATTTTCTGCGGCCTCGATAAATCGGAGCTTTGTACGGAATTATCATTATTAAGTGCGCGTATTATGTGTACAGGCGATCGCGCGGATATAAATATGATTTACGAGTGCATCTCGATGCATCATTATTATTATTTTTTTTTTTTTTGCGGGACCCTTAAATACAAATGAGATCGATAAATCATTTCAGGGATAAGGTAGAAAACTCGAGCTGATAACGATATCGGCCAACGGAATGTCAAATTTTATACAACGATGATACCTTTACCGACCGAGATCTTGTCTATTATTATACGTCTCTGTAATTTCGGCGGCAACATTTTCAATTTCCCCACTGCTGCTGCATGCATATACACAGTACACACACGCAGTCTCACCCCACAGCTCTACAAACGTATATATGTATGTAATATTAAATGCGAGGGGCTCGACCTTTGCACCGCGCGGCGCAGCTGTGTATGTACGTGTATGCATGTGTATGCGTATACGCGTAACCGTCATTTTAGTTTTTTTTTTTCTCATGTGCCGGGGCAAGCAGCTGTTTTGAGAAATTTACATGTCAACATACATACACACATTATAGGCAGGCAGGCAGGAGCGCGCGCTCTCTCTCCAACCGATATATACCTACACGGTGGGACCTCTCCTAACTATGAACCAAACTAAAAGTCGTCGTCTTCGCGCCCGATTCCTACAATATACATTGCACGACATTCCCCTTCAGCTCTTCGTCCCGGGGAGTCGGTCGTCGTCGTCGTCATCATCGGTCGTTGTGTGTAGTAGTATATATTATATATATAGTTTTCTAATATATAGTTTTGTTGCCTGTGTGTTGTGCGTGAGTGTTTGCGTGTCCCGGTCATCTTCGTCTTCGTCGTCGTCGTCGTAATCGTCGTTTAGCTCTTAAATGAAACTTTGTCATCTATGATAACCACCGGTTGCGTGAAAAACACCTCCGTTGTCGTTCTCTTTCCGTCAGCAGTGTCGTAGCCCAAAAAAATTACGTGTAAGTTTTTTTAAACTATCATCTTCATCGCCATCATCATCATCATCATCATCATCATCATAATTCAACGATTATCACGAATTCATTGATTAAGCCAGTGTGTCTGTGTGAGCCCTTACATATGTGTGTGTGTGTTGTGTTTTGCTATAATTGGTATTAGATAATACTCACTCTCGACGATAGCTTTCTCAGCCAGTGTTCCGGTAAGTAGACGAAGCAAGTGTTGACTCGCACGAATTGCACCTCAAAACGCTCGTTCTGCATCGTGGGTGATGATGATTACTCGCTGTTACTGCTGCATCTGTGAAACAAAAAAAAAAGGAAACGATACAACAAACGACGATTATTTAATCTCATCGATTCGTTCGACGATCATCGTTCGAGAGTGATAACGTCCCGTGCATTCTTTTTTTCTATCCTTCGTATACGTAGCAGCAGCAGCAGCAGCAGCAGCTGAGATTCCACGAAAAGTGCGCGAAAAGCCAGCGAGAGATTATCGTTGCGCGCGATGCAGTGTCGCGCCGTTTTTTTTTTTTTTCGTTTTTTTTCTGCCCCGTATGGTGGTGCTGCACCAGTTGCGCGCGGAGTTAAGTAAAAAAAAAAAAAAAGAGAGCGAAACAAGCAAACCCTCCGTTTCTTTCTCATATATAATCGAAATGAAATTTAACATATGAAAACGATCGTCGTCGCAGACACACGCATGCATTTGTATGTGTGTATGTACGAAGGTACGCGGAATATAATAGAACGTAAGTAGTGTGTGTGTGTGTGTGTGTACGAGTGAACGAGTGAGAAAAAGAGAGAGAGAAAGTGAGGGAACGAACGAGAAAAATAGGGGCTCGAGTTTGGAAGTGTACACATACATACACTCACACCATACACTTATATACGCACATTATTACAGGAGTGTAAGTAAGTAACATGTACATATACGAGGTGTACAGAGTGAGAAGGTGAGGAAATTATATACGCGCGGGGGCACCTTCCCTTAATTCTCTACTCGTAGCTTCGGATGCATCTACGACACATCGTGAGAGAGAGAAGGAGAGGATTTTCACGCATCTATAACTTTTGTCAAATATTTTTTTTTTTTTTAGATAAGAGGAAAGAAAAACAAACCTATGAGCAAACAACTCCGAAAAGTTTTTTGTCTTTTCACGTCGTCTTTCGAAAAACAGCGAGCGCGAGGCGTTAAAACCGCGTGCGATAGAGCGATAAGATATTATCACATTGTCACGCGCTAAAGAAGTCAACTGTCGCGCGCTCTCGTATATATAAACACACACACATACACACATTGACTGTTCGTAGCAGACGATATTTTTCCCATATACATCCACGAGTCCCCGTATGTATAACAAACAAAATCCCGACTCCTTGCGCAACACCTTTTGTATTATACCGCGTGTAGGTCTCGCACTCCCACGAGATAACGAGGCGAGATATCATCACTGTATAGTTATGCATTAGTTTTATCGAGTACACGCGATAAGATCGATAACGAGTTAACTTATGTGTACAATCATGAGATGTGACCGTCACGCGTGATGCAATTATTAGCGACGCGAGACTCGACGTAATATTTAATTTCGTACACTCGCGAAAACGACGACGACGGCCAAATGTCAACGAACTTTTTGCGCCGTATGCGTGTATACGTGTGTATATGTGCGCCGGTACAACATTACAATGCGGCCTGCCTTAAACACAACATAACCCCCGACTGGTGTGTACTCGGCCCGGTGTATAGTAATGTATGCAGCAAAAACACACTGCTCTCCGCTCCGACTTTGCGCCGATGAAAGAAACGAGTTTTTTTTTCAATTTTATTTCGGTCGTTGGCGCCTCTCATTCTCTCTCTCTTTCTCTCGAGACGATGCGCGGCGTATCACTCGTGACTCGCAGATGCGATATACCTCTATATTATTGTATTATTTTATCGATAATGTAATGTTGTAAAATTGGCTACGTACTAATTTCTAGTGCGACGAGCTCATTTTCATACGCTGCTGCAGACAAAAGAATACACAGCCAAAGAGAGTTAACAAATGATAACAAAGTGAAAGTATATATTTGGGCAAATAATATACGATTGATAACCTATTCTCACTCGCTGTGTTGTCGTCGTCGTCGTCGTTGCTGCGGCCCCGACTTGACGTTTTATATATATGTTGTGTGCCGCCGAGCTGCTGCTCTCTCTCGAGTCAGACAGTACAGTTGTGTTGTGTTGTGTATATCTTTTACATAAAGTAATCGTTTACATTATAATTCTATCTTTCTCTCTCTCTTTCTGCTGCCTCGATAAATGCGCTACGTGCGTCGTGCTGCTGTACATGCTCCGAAAGAAGCAACAGTGGTGGTTGCTCCTTCATCACATACATTTATAGTTAGTATATATACGTTACGTCTTTGCGCCCACTGCGCACGAAGCTCGGAGTTTCTCTCTCTCTCTCTATGAGCCTCGACCAATCCGAAGAAGCGTCAACGGCTGTCGGGGCACGTAAACAGCAGAAAATTTCAAACCCCGGGCCGCAGAGGCTCGTGTGTGTATCCGTGTGTGGGGGAATCCGTGGCAGCAGCGGCGCGACGCTCACGCATTTTAATATATACACAGTAATACATGGTCGACGTCGAATGTAATACAAAAACAGCCTTTCGTTAATATTATTATTTGTTCATTGATTAACAATTCATGTAGTTATAGTCGGCGACTATTAATTTTTCTTTCTTCTTCCTCTATTTTCTTTTCTGTAATCAAACAACGGTGTGCACGCGCATATGTGTGCGTGTGTGTCGTAACTGACACATAGAGTATTCTCTCTTTCGAGTTTAGCTCACCTCGGGTTTATACGCATATATAAATATCTTATAATTGAAAGAAAAAAAAAACCACAAGTGTGCGCGAATGTGCCATAGCAGTGCGTGTGTGCAGATCGAGAGAGAGATCGTTGTCTCAGATTACGGAGAACATTGGATATAATAGAACGGAAGATACACACGCATGCTCGTGTATAAACGCAGCCGCCCGATAACATAAAACTCCGTCCCAAGTGCCGCGAAGAGAGTTGCCGAAAATTTTCGTTCTCGCTCGCAAACGTGCGCGACGATGTGTCGTAGTTGTTATCCATCGAGAGCCGCTGCCGCCGTCGCCGCCGCCACGGGAGAAGAGGCAGTCCTTTGACTCGCGCTCGCTGCTGCTGCTGCATCGTACTTCGTCATTTTTTTTCACTTAAATTTAATAACAATTTAAGCTCTGGTGTGAAATCTCTTGTGCGTGTGGTGTCTGGTGTGTGTGTGTACGTGTTTACGTGTTTATACTGTGTTCTCCAAATGTCGTATCGTTAAAAGCCCCGCCGAGAGATTCCACGCTTCCAAGAAGACGATTTATAATAGAAATAATAAAATAAAATACATAATCGAGAAAATATCTCTCGATTGATAGAGTAAGCGCAAGGTACGTAACATTAACATACAACATATACAACAACGCACATACGCACGTCTCCTTCTTTTCTCTCTCTTTATTTTACAAGCTAAGCTCGACGACCGTTACGTCTCGTGTGCCGCTCCGCGTTGGATGTATATCTGTATATATTTATCCATCATGGCGCTGTGCATCGCCCTCTCTCTTTCTAGCTCGCGCGGCTTTGTATGTGTGTATGTGTGTTGTGATATGCGACGTGCTTGTATTAGCGCAGTTTGAATTCGTCATCAACGCTGCTGCTGCTGCCGCCGCTGCCACCGCTGCTGTGCTGTGCTTGTCGGCTTTTTTTGCGCGCAGAGGCAACTCACAGCGGCTGTATACGATCTTTTCTTTCTTTCTGCGTTATCGTCGAGTAAGTGTGTGATAGAAAAATTGCAGAAAATTCGTGTGTCTTCGATCGGAGGCGCCGAGATTTTTTATTCTCTCGCGTTAAAAGATTCCTCGCCGCGTCGCGTTATAAGCAACGCAGACTCCTATGCGTGTGTGCGCCATGATAGGCACCGAAGCGCTATTTATAGAGAGACACACGACGAAAATTCGGCCGATATCGCGCGATTTCTGACTGAATGCTGGGAAAATTTTTGTCTCGATCGCTGGACTAGGTCTCGCACCACGACGAGGTTAGCTTCGCAACGCTGGCATCGCCGTAATTTTCGAGCAATTCGACGTCGAAAATCTCACTGCTGTGTGTCTCGCCGTGTGTATGGCGCACGCACTCAAGTATAGAGAGAGAGAGAGAGCAGAGAAAGGCCCACACATACACACTGTTACGTACATTTACATGTCTGTGGGTATATTACATTTTAGTTCGTGATTTCCCATCATCTCTCTCACAGTACGGTGCGAGAAGTTATCTTTCTTGACATAAGTTCTCCGTGTGTATCTGTTATATCTAATGAGAGTGTTTGTGTTTATTGTACGAGAGTCAAGGGCGCCTCTTTCACGATTCACAGTGCCCCGTGTAGAGCTAAAGAGTCTCAATTTTGCGCTGTGCGTTTCTCCGTTTGTCGAAAGCAAAAAGTTTTTGATATAACGAGAAAAAAAGTTACGGGACTCCGAAGTATCCACGAGAGCGGATTTTCGGAGTTTTTGACTCTCGCCGATATAATAACTCTCTGTCAAGTATCTCATGTGTCGCGTAAGTCGTTGTTTTACGAAATAAAAAGGACACGTTTGATTAGTTAGCGGATAACATCTTTTTTTAAAGAGTGTCATTGCGTTATGCAAAATTCTCAGCAGTTACTCGGAATCTGTCAGAAAAATATTATCTCCTGTGATATACTAGCCTATTGTATTCACTTGCTGCTTCAGACCAATGTCAACAGCAGAGTCTGTACATTGAAGTTTGTTTATTTCTAGTCAGATGAATTGTGTATAACTGTGATATCTCTAGCATAGAATTAAATTATTGAAAAAATACGATTTTATTCTCAAAAAAATATTTGGCACAAGGCTAATTGGCATGATTTTTCTGTTTAGAACTTATTTTGAGGATTAAGGGATTTCCGTCTTCACAATGGCACCCTCCAAGGTTCTGACCGGACAACCAAAGCCGACAGCAATATCTGGTGTTGTCACACGACGAGGACTGGCCACCAGACAAAATAAAGAATTCATTCCCGATCCATCCCAGAAACAAAACCTATTCAAAGATACTAGAATAAAGAGGAAAGCTGATGCCTCCCCCACTAAGGATAAAGTGACTAAACGGTCTGCTCTTGGTAACATTACAAATGTAAGTTTCGTGACACATCAAGCCATTCGTAACGTAAAAGTTTCATTTAAAATTCTGGTAATTGTTTTCTTTTACAGGCTATTGGAAAAACTATAACGCAAATTCAAGATGCCAAAAAAGTAGCAAAAAAAGTTACCAGCCAACCTGTTAAACCTCTCACTCAAACAACTGCTAACACCCGGACTTTAGATAAAATTGTAACTAGTAAACAGGAAAATATTCCTCAATCTAAGCCGAAACAAAGTGTAACTCGAGCTAAGCCTCAGTTAAAAAAAGAGGAAGAAAAGACGGAAATCCCAGCGCCAGTCATTAAAGCACTCAATGCAGTTAGACGAAGCATAGAAGTTGAAAAGTCTGATGAAAGTTCGTTGTACGTCAGTGCCTTGGAGTCGCTTCCTGAAGAATCAAAACGATTATCACGGACAAGTAAAGTAAGTCTTCTACTTTGAAATAAAAACAAAAAGTTTATAATGAATTAATTCAATCAATACCCAATCAATTTCATCTCATTATAACTAATCCATTTTCATCACTTAGGATTCAGCAAAACTCGAAGCAGTAGTAAAACCAAACAATGCCTTGAATCAAGAACCAGAAGGAGAAAAATCCGGACCAAGCGATCGCATCAATCGTAATCCATGTCCCGTAAGAAAATTACCCCCCGGTGTGTCGTGGGACCTAGACGCAGAAAATTGGGCGGACCATTTTCAAGTACCACAATACGCCATGGATATATTCGAATATCTCAAGAATCGCGAAAAACTATTCGTCATAACTGACTACATGGAACGTCAGGTCTGTCTGTCCAAATGGATGCGCTCTTTGCTCGTTGACTGGATGGTTGCAGTACAAGAATCGTTTGAACTTAATCACGAAACCCTATATTTGGCCGTGAAGCTCGTCGATCTTTACCTAACTAAAGTGACCGTTGGAAAGGAGACGCTTCAACTTCTGGGAGCCGCCAGTTTATTTATCGCTAGCAAATTCGACGTGAGTTTTGTGTTTGTGTTGACGAAATTACGAACGATCTCTCTGTATAAAATTCCATGTTTTAACAGGAAAGAATCCCGCCGATGATCGAAGATTTCTTGTACATTTGCGATGGTGCGTACACACATCGAGAACTCACCAGAATGGAAATCAACGTTCTCAAAGTCATGGACTTCGATCTCGGTATTCCTTTGTCATACAGATTTCTGAGACGCTACGCTAGAGTAAGAGTTCTATTATACATGTAAAAAACTGATATTGAACATGATCAAAGTTAATCTTGACTTTTTACTCCTATAGTGTGCAAAAGTTTCGATGCCAACCCTCACCTTAGCCCGTTACATTCTCGAATACTCTCTAATGGACTATGCCACGATATCGTTCAGCGACAGTAAAATGGCAGCTGCAGCTCTCTTCCTGGCACTGCAAATGAAGGATCTCGGCACCTGGACGACTACGTTAGAGTATTATACTGGCTATAAACTCAAAGATTTTGCGGATATTGTTAACGTGCTAAACGAAGGTCTGCACAGGAAACAAAAAGAAGCGTTATCGACCGTTCGAAATAAATATAGTCATAAGTAAGTTTATCCAAAAATCATCATACTTTCAAAATGCAATCAATCATAAAACTAATAACGATGATTTTATTTATGAAATTTTTTAGAATATTCTTCGAAGTAGCGAAAGTGGCATTAAAAGACAAATTGGAAATGTAACATAAGTGTATTTTACGTGAGTAACTGAGTTTGAACTATTGGTAGAAGAACAGAAACAAATATGCGTAGTGTGCATCGATTACGAGGCTCTTGTCAGGGCCAAATCTTTGACTGCTTATGACAGCTTTAGATAAAATAAGCGAGATAAAAAAGGCAAGCGAGGCACTCCTAAGGACGTCAAGTGCGCGCACTACTGCGATGTTCCAGCGTGTGAGAGAATTGTTGTGTGATACATGTGGTTGACATTCAGCTGAGGACTCAATTAGTATGATTATTATAAATTAAGAAATAATTATAAATACAGCTGTACTGAAATGGCACTAGATGGATGAAGGAGTTTGTACAAGTCTTTTTTTATTTTTAGATGTATACATGAATTGACCGGCATCCACTGTCGCTCAGTATTCTTAAAGCTATATCGATTTTATACTTGTTGAAAATCTACTGATAGCGTCATACTTTTCTAGACTTCTATTACATTTTGACGGGCTTTTTAAAAAAAACAAACGCATTTTTAGCCTTTTTCTTTTTATGTTTTTGATTGTTTTTATATAAAAAAGTTTAAGTAGTAATACTATCGTCTTAATTCCTCTGTCCATTATTGATTTCGTGTTTGTAGCGTAATTTAAGAATGTATAAACAACGAGTTTTGTATAATACATAGTGATTTTACGAGAAAAGAATGAAACTTAACTATGAAAACAAAAAACACTCTAAGATTTATGTTCTTTCAAGCTTGATTCTCTATATTTGAGACTAAAAAGTGTGGCGCATTGTTATGCACTACAGGTGCACTCTATATACTTCGGACTAAAAAGTCTTAATTATACATATTTTTCATTTTTATAATAAAATTGCGCAAACTTGGTGCGAGTAATTCCGAAGGTGAGTTGCACTTTTTCATGACGAGTGTATAAACCAGCATATAATTATACAAAAAGTAGTTTCCTATTGACTGTCGTAAAACCGATTAAAAAATTCTCTGACTAGAATTATATTTAGTTTCATTTTTCGTTGTTTTTTTTAGTTAATTTGCATCGGAGGCTGTTTGAAAATGAATGATAATATTTATTTCGCGGAGCAAACAGCTTAATGTGATAAAAACAAATTGTGAAGTCTATGATTTTTTCGTAAATTAACAAAAAAGCTTTGCTCCTATTTAACCGCGTAAAGAAATTAAACATTAAAAGTAAATATTCAAATTCTAAACTTATTTAGAATAAAATCGTACAATTTTAAAGGCCTAATGAACTTCGAAATTAATTTTTTAATGTTTCGATGGGTAAAACAATAAAACTAATCCCTAATATTGTCATTGTTTTAAAGTAAACAAATACACGTGTAAATAAAAAAAATGATCACTTTTTTATATCAGATGAACGTCTCACAATGTACATATATTATGTTATATTTTTTTATCATCAGCAAGATGTACTGCTATTAAATATTATAGGACAAGTGTGTATATGGACATTTATTTAACATGACTTAATTTAAATAATAAATTTGTCATTCATACACACATTGTTTAAGATCTTCGAATTTTTTGATCCTTTGATAAAAAGTCCTACATAATTGTCACTTGAAAAACGTAATTACTTTTAGCTTATAATAATGTTGTATATAACACTGACCAGGTTCTATTGAAAGGAATAATGCGAATCAAAATGATTGAAAATAATTGAAACTGCAATTTATTTTATAACAAGTGAATAGAACTTCTATATAACTAATTATAATTTTGTCAATGAACCTATAATAAATGATTTTATAAACATTTTAAAATACAAATATTTCTTGCCATTCGTTGAATTAGTATAAAAAATAGTGACGCATGGCATCGACAAAATAATACAATTATTTAAATTAATAAATACTTTTTGGTAAATTTATATAATTGTTTCTAACAAAATTCTACGTTCGGCACACTTAATGTACATTTTAACGATTATTGTGGATTTTGTTTTAGAGTAATTGTTAATACTTGAGCATATGATTTTCTAATTAGTATAGAAAATTTTTAAATTTATAAAAAAAATTTTTACAAATACTCTAAACAATACATGTTAATTTTTTAGTTTAAAATTTGTCAAAAATATATGAAAATGGTGTATAATCACATTTATGTACTCTTTGACTGTAATTGGTCATGTGAGAAACCAAAACATTGACTAGTAGAAAAATACAAAACATTTTTTTACATTACTATCGAAAATAGTTTTTTAGAATTCTTCGTTGAAACACCCACCATGCTATTTGTTTGTTTTCAAACAAAACATGTAACATTAAAATTTCTGAAAATGAAGATTTCTGAATTCTGAAGATTTTCCAAAAATGATTCAGTTCTGTAAGTGGCGATTTATATCGAAGTTTAAAAATTGCATGCACTACTTTTTTAGCTAAAATTAAAATTTTTAGTTATAAATTATTGTATAATTTTAGAAAAAAGTAACACTTTTTCGTTACAGATTGACACTTTAGCATTGAAAAAAGAATTATCGAAAGATTATCGAAAGTCTTCCTAAAAGAATGTATTAAACGAAAATAATTTTGTTATCTAATTCAATTTGTCAGAGAATCCATCATGCATACAATTTTAATTTTCTTACATAACAACTGTCCTCCCTTAAAATTTAGTTAAAGTGTTAATGCACTCGTCACTCTCTTTGACAGCTTCATCTGCGACTAGTCTTCATTTACATTTGATTACATTTCAACAGAACAGGTAAATGTTATAAACTCATACTTAATGATTATACGTAAATACGTTTGTTAATTAGCTCGTGAAAACAATTTCAAAAAACCTGTACAATAGCTGCAATCATTGCTGTATGCTCAAATGCACTTTTTCTCTGTCAAGTTCCGCATTTGTCTTCGTGAAACAGGCGGAAGTTAAGAAACTAGTGAGACTCTGTCCCTCTTCGGGTTTGGGAAAGTATGCCGTCGACATGGGCAAGACGCTGCTGCCTCCGTCCTCGATGAAGCTCTTTCTGGGGGTGCGAGGATCTTTCTTGCCCTCGATTTCCGAGCTCCAGGAACTCGAAAATTCCGGGGTGAAGCTGATTTAAAATGTCCTGAAAAGGTACATCGATAAGTTGAAACTGTCAGCGTGGCGCAATTGCACTTATTGCTCTATGAGCTTTTAATTGTTACTGCGGTACACACTCAATACTATATCGGTTTATTTATTCTCGTAGAATAAAATAAAACGGAAATGGGCAGCTTCAGCCTTGGTGTTGCACTTCATTGAGGTACAATCATACTATGCCTCAGGAGGCCCTGTGAACTTCAAAAAGGGCCAGACAATAGATGTGGAAGCTGTCAAAATGATTAGTAGTCGTACACAACTGCCTTACGAATATTATTTGCTACCTTTCTGTTTTTTCAAAAATGATACCTTATCCTAAAAATCTGACAATTTCGGGAAAATTGTAAGAGGTGATGAGTGAGTTTTTGACCTTTTGTCTTCCTTACAAACATTATTAACAATAACTGTTATGTTTATTGAAATATTTCAGAATTGTTAAAACGCCTTATGAACAAGAAAGCTTTATTCCTATTTTACCACGTAAAGAAATTAAAAATTAAAAGTAAATATTCAAATTCTAAACTTATTTAAAATAAAATGGTACAATTTTAAAGGCCTAATGAACTTCGTAATTAATATTTTAACGCTTCGATAGGTAAAAAGAAAACTAATCCCTAATATTGTCATTGTTTTGAAGTAAACAAATACACGTGTAAATAAAAAAAATTATCAATTTTCGATATCAGATGAACGTCTTAATGTTGTACATATACTAAGTCTAAGCGTGTATATTGACATGTTTTTAACATGACTCAATGTACGTAATAAATTTGTCATTCATACACACGTCGTTCAAGACCTACGAATTTTTTGATACTTTGATAAAAAGTCCTACATAATTGTCACTTGGAAAACGTAGTTATTATTTCTTTAAGAGGAAGTAGGTTTTACTGACAGGAATAATGCGAATCAAAATGATTGAAAATAATTGAAACTGCAATTTATTTTATAACAAGTGAATAAAACTTCTATATAACTGATTATAATTTTGTTAATGAACGTATAATAAATGGTTTTATAAACATTTTAAAATACAAATATTTCTTGCTATTACTTAAGTTAGTATAAAAAGTGACGCATGGCATCGACAAAATAATACAATTATTTAAATTAATAAATACTTTTGGGTAAATTTATATAATTGTTTACAACAAAATTCTACGTTCTGCACTGTACATTTTTATGATTATTCTGGATAATGTTTTTGAGTACTTGTTAATACTTGAGCATATGATTTTCTAATTACTATAGAAAATTATTAAATATATAAAATTTTTTTTACAAATACTCTAAACAATACATGTTTATTTTTTAGTAAAAATTTGTCAAAAGTATTTGAAAATTGTGTATCATCACATTTATGTACTCTTTGACTGTGTTTGGTAATGTGAGAAACCAAAACATTGACTAGTAGAAAAATACAAAACATTTTTTTACGTTACTATCGCAAATAGTTTTTTTAAATTCCTCGTTGACACACCCGCTATGCTTTATTTGACTCGTTCTCCGTCAAGTTGAATTATTCAACATTTTCAATGTGATACAACAAAACATGTGAAATTGAAATTTCTGAATTTTCCAATAATGATTTTTTTGTTCTATATCGATTTATATCGAAGTCTAAAAACTGTATGCACTACGTTTTAGCAAAAATGATTCAATTTGCAGCTATAAATTATTGTAAATTTAATAAAAAGTAAAAATTTTTTGTTACAGATCGCCACTTTTAGAACTTAAAAAAATTCATCGAAGAATACAAAAACTCTTAGTAAAAACATGTGTTATTATATTACCTCAAAATAATTTTGTTTTCCCATTCAATTTGTCGGAGAATCCATCATTCATAAAATTTGAATGTTGTTTCGTAAAAACTGTTAAATTAAAACTTTATACCCAGTTGTTGCAAAAAAAATATTTACATCTACAACTCATCCCACTTTTGAGGTGCAAGTACTGTCTGAAAGTCATAGTCGACTTTTTGAAACCAGCTCATCTTGAGATTTTCGCCTCTCGCGCAATCTATTGCACTTTTTACAATCTAGTTGATCGATCGGTCCTCGAACACAGTCAGAATGATAGCAACTGCAGCAGCCGTTGCAACGTACGACGCGGTTGAGGTTCCACGGATAAATGACCTCTTTGGAATTGCACAGTTCGCAAACGAAACCTCGAGCTTGACACAACTGAAAAGCACAAGAAAATTGATCTTCGACGTCGATAATTATTTTGGAGAAAAGGAAAATATATTTACGATGCACTGTTCCACGTGTTTCAAGCAGCTTTGAACCAACTCGTCCAACTCCGTAGGCAGAGCTCCGGATTTCACGAGTGTAAAGTCGGTAATAGAATAAATCTGCGTTTCTAATAACCAATGCGAAGGTACGCGTTTCAAAGCTTCTTGATTTCTACAACAATATGCAAATGACAGTTATATTAAAACGTCTTGATTATCATCCGACCCAAACGAACAAATGTCAAGAGGACTTACTTTGTAGCGAACCTGCAGTTGAATAAAAAATCTTTGAAATAAAATAATTGCGTTCGAAGTAGCCTCGTGCGATGCAATTGTTTGCTTCTGCGATACAAGGATGAATACAGATCCTTCGTCACGGGAAACAGGGGATCGTCCATCATTCTGTCCAGAAGCCGATAGGCAAAATTCGACACCGGGTACCGGCTGAAATCCCACTTCGTGAGGATTTTGCCGGGTATGAAGGTCACTTGATTCGTGTGGCAGCCGGTGCAAAAGTATCTGCCCAGATACTCGCAGTAGCGAAATTTGCTGGCGTACTCCACGGCGACCTTCATGCCGCAACCGGCGCAGCGATAGTTTTGCTTGGCGATGAGTATCTTTCTCCTGCAAAATTTTACAAACGTCAGTCCCGAATGATAATCGTCGCTGATAATGTAGCGACGAATTCGTACACTGGTGGCGGATGCGGCGTAAAAATGATTTGAGCTCGAGGGGGAGCCCACTCGGCCGTTCCGCGTAGTGGCATACTGTCGCCCTCGGCGTCGTCCGGACTAATGGGCCAACTTTTCGGCAAAGGCAGCAACTGTATCGATATAAATAACAAAATCAATGAAAGTTTTTTTTTCAAATCTTATATACGTATTTTCAGGTATCGTGTACTGACTCTTTGAGGCGCGTCTTGCTCGGACACGAGCCACTTCAGTTCGCTGGCTCGGGGCAGATGTTTCTCGCTGAAGCGACTGATCAGCGACAGAGCCACGCCTTCGGCCGACGTCATGCTGTCGATCGTGTTGCTGGACGATTCGTTGGCGGCTTTGCTCTGGGACGATTTGTAAATATCGGCCTCCGAGTACATCGACGCCATGGACACCGATAGGCCGGAATTTTTTATCTGCAACAGATTGCTGGCCTCGTCCATCACGTAGTCGTCCACGTCGTCCGTGGAAATACTGTCGGACAACGTTCCCGATGAAGTTGACAGCGGGCTCACGCTTTGATCCGTGGTCGTGGCTGATAAAAAAAATAAAAATTGATATATCAACTCTGCTGAACGAGTTATCGATAAATTTAAACCCATTAGCTTACTGTCGGTTTTACCGTCGCTCAGCAGATCGCGCGACCAATTGGTAGCGTGCGGTGGACGTCGCTCGGCCTCGCGTTGCCTTCGACGCATTCTAATGCGCTGCTGCAGGTGCTTAATCTCCTCGTCGCTCTCGTCGACAGCTTCGTCCGCTGCTAGCCTCATGCGACGATTACATTTGAGCTGAGCACGGGTAAAAACGTTATACATTTTTTTTACTCATCGGCTTTGCATAAATTCAATGAATTAGCTTACGAAAAAAACTCAATGCGAACCTGTTCGATGGCGGCAATCATTGCCTCCGATATGCTAAAGTGTGCGTTTTCTCGGTCGAGCTCCGCGTTCGTCTTCGTGAAACAGGCGGAAGTTAAGAAACTAGTGAGACTCTGTCCCTCTTCGGGTTTGGGAAAGTACGCCGTCGACATGGGCAAGACGCTGCTGCCTCCGTCCTCGATGAAGCTCTTTCTCGGGGTGCGAGGATCTTTCTGGCCCTCGACTTCCGAGCTCCAGGAACTCGAAAATTCCGGAGCGGAGCTCGTGAAAAATGACCTGCGTCTACCAGGCTTGTGTGGTCCAGCAGCATAAGGAAAATCGATCGCATTGAAATTCGAATTAACCGACGAGGAAGCTGATACTCTTTGACTCGAAATTGTTTCCGTGCTGCCATTGCTGATTTGGCCAGATAATTTGTTTGCGCGATGCTTGCGAAGTTTGCGAGATGCAGATTTTGACTTTGCTGCAAGAAAAAGTTTTTTTATCATTCGAGCAATTGCTTAGCAATTATAAAATTAATATCAAATGTTTTCAAACCACTTACATGGACTACATTTATTTTCAACTGTAGTACTGGCTTCACTTCTAACATCAGAATAATCTACTTGAATGACATCTGAAAGTTCTATCGACTGGGTATCCTTGGAAACTCCATCGACAGCACTTTCTGCTTTTGCTATCAAATCTGAGCAAGGTATATTTGATTCAGTCAATTCAATTAAACTATTCCAATTCTTTTTTGTACCAGTATCTTCTTTAATCTTATTCTTTGCTGATTCTGACTCTGTCGTTAAATCAAGTGGTAATTGGCTAGAAGAATTTTGAGTTGCTTCATTTCCGTAACATAAATTTACTGGATACGATGAAGATCTTCTATGCTTAGGACTATGTTTTGGAAACCAACCCTTCAAAAACTAAAAACCAAACAATTAATCTGGAGCTATTCCACCAATATCTAAAAGCATTTGAATTTTATTGAAACACTTACCAAAGCTGGATTGATATCTGTTAACAATGTAAATTGGTTCTTTTCTACAGCTTGTAAGCAAATGAGAGTTGCTTCAGCCAAACTTTCATCGCACAAATAAGCCCAGGGTTCAAGACAAGACAGTAAATGTTCTTTATCGGATAGAAGCCAAGATAGTTTTTGCGACAGAGAATGATTCTCTAAACTGTAATTGAAATAACCAGTTGAAGATTAGAAAAAGTTATTGATACATGAATATTGCAATATCGATACAGAAACCAACCTTTTGTACAACCACAATGTATCTTTGCGAGAGATTATTCTACTTGGAAGGTTGGCGTGGTACTCGTCGCAGCCACCAATACTTGGTGAGCTGGCCAGAGAAGGCTGCAACCAATTCAATCCTTGAATGAACGTCCAACAATCTGGCTCGCCCTGCACACAAAATATATAAATTCGTGTAAATAGCACAACATCAACAATCAACGATACCGTGGTAATATTATTATTTCAAAAGTGATTCATGTTTGATGCAGAATACATAGCAGAAGTGTATAGATGCGCACTCACGTTTATGACGGTGCGGCATCCGTGTTTGAATATCTTCTCCATGATCGCGTGCAGCCTGTTGAGGCCGCCGTACACGTTCCAGACGTTGGGCAAGCCATTCGTGAGCAGTCCCTCGACGACAGAGCGCAAATTCTGCAGCAGCTGATACTTCTCGCGAGTGCGGGCCTCGTCGTTGTCGTTGTCGTTGACGGCCGCCTCGCCACGCTGCGTTGTTGACATTGTATGTTACGAGAGAGATACTTATGTCGTTGTTGTGGTGGTGGGCGCAACGAGGCTACTGCTGCGAGCGCCCGACGACACTCTTGACAATTCGACGACTGCGACGATCGTACGACGACGATGTGTCATCATCGTAGAGAGCACCAAAACCGCAACACGAGTCACAATTATATATACTTTTTGCTTTCAGCGGTATAGATGCGGTATTGCAGCTGCGAGATATCGCGAAGATCTTTTTTATATACGAACGACGACGACCACCACGATAAGAACACGACGATATCATTTATTCCCTGAAAGTATCGAGGTGTAGTTTCACGCGGAACAGCAGCCAACCGACGACGACGATGATGCGACGACGATGCGCTGAACGCAGGACTGCAGTGGTGGTGTGCACCTATAGCCTATATACATAACGCTGTATACATGTATCGCGTTATATTCGCGGCAAGGTGTCGCGTATAGTGCTGCTGCTGCTGACTGGCACGTGGGAGGGGCAAGTGGCCCGCAGCAGCAGCAGCAGCCGCCATATTTCGCACGCACTGGGCGCACTTACATACACTATAACGCAGTACACATATGGAAATCGGAGTTTTTAAATGTGTCAACGATCGAATACGAGGATCGGAAGCGGTTGTTTAATCAATGAATCGTCGATGCTCTTTCGTCTTCACCTGCAACAATTCGAATGACAGTAGACAGTTGATTTTCTGCTCGATAATAAAATCGTGAAAGACTTTCTCTTTTTTTTTTTTTTTTTTTGATTAAAAAATTAAAGTTTCGATTTTTTTTTATCCTACTTTTTTTTTTGTACATCGAGAGAAAGAGAGAAAAAAAAGGCGGATTGTATTTACCCGTCGCACGCTACTCTACGTCATAACGATCAGATCGCAAACGAAGTGCGTGATTTTTTTGAGAATCTTTTGGATCCTTCTTGACGTCTTCATGGCTTCGAGAGAGTGAGAAAGAAAGAGTTGGACAACGGAATTTCTGCACGAATTACACGACTGTACGTTTCTCTTTCGGCCGCACTCGATATATATGTACCTCCATCGTAAATTTTCTATAATCGATCTTTAACGATTAGAATTTCCCCAAAACGTAGCAAGATTACAAACGAGTCTCATGAAATATATAATGACAACGGTTTAGTAGATAAAGTATAAACAAAGGATTTTGAAAAGAAAAAAAATTACGCAACGTCATTTACCTCGCCCTCTTTTTTTTTAGTCGAATCGAGCACGGAACTCGTGGTTCCATTTTTAATTTTATAATTTTTATTTTTAGTACGTAGTACCTTCGCACGGTGTGTATCGATGAATTAGAAAAAGATACACAGAGGCCTAAAAAGTGTTGTATTAAAAATGCTAATAATAAACAACGATGACAAAGGAAATAATATACAATAACGACGATTCGGTGTTGTTGAACTCTTGCGTTTTCTAACGAGGCGTGAAAATGAGTTTATAATTTTTTTTCTTGTATTCCGATAGCAGAGACGAGAGACATTATAGTAGGCGAATCTCTGGATTCTGGAATTCTATTTTCGATTTGGTCACGCACGCACACACACACACACGAGTGCCGTACTCACACGCATATGGAAAAAAAGTAGGCTAGCTCCTTATACACGCAGCATCTCATTAAGATAAGCGCGAGAGATTAAGTTAAATGTCACAAGCCCTAAATATATCTTGGAAGCGATTAAAAAAGCGAGTTACGAGACACCATCGAATTTCCATTCAATTTTCCCGCTTTCGTGTTATAATTACGTCGTCGCGATGCACCTTGCAACGCAACCGAGCGCAGCACCAGCCACTCGCAGTAGCAGCAGCAGTAGCAGCCTGTAAAAGCCAGTCTGATCCGACCGAGCGAGCCCCAGCCAGTATACAGGCACTAGTGGTGCTGAGTGGTCGTTCGCGCGTTGGATTTACAAGTTTTGTACATTATTTATATCATATACATTGTCATCATCATCGGTCGTCGGTTTTTGAAGGTGGTGAAAGAGTGTCTGGATAATACGTACAAGAACTAAGCTAGTCTCGTTCTTTTTATCCATACTTTTGTTATTTCCTTTCTCGTTTGACGTGGTCAAAATTATTGTGTCTCTCTCTCTCTCTCTCAGTGCGTGTCCGTCTGTGTGTTTATATGTATACGTGCTGCTGCAACGCAGCGTGTGTGTGCTATTTCGTGCGATTGTTGCACACGCAATAAACGAGAGCATCAACAACAACAAACAACGAGCTCGATTTGTCACCGTATGCAGTGGATATTTGCGCCAGGCAACAGCAGCCACTATTACTGCGTGTAGTGCCTGTGTACATACGTACATACATACACATTATATATATAATACAACAAGCTTTGATAACTTTCCAAACATCGGTGTACGTATATTATATACAGTTCGCTGTCCAGTGTCTGCGATCGCGGGGATATATATGTTGTACAACGATATATATATAGGTAGATGTGTATACCTAAAACACCTGCATAACCTATTATCGCGAGGCGCACACACGGCGGACTGGATATCATCATAATACATGTATAGAAAAAGATTGGGTCTGCTCCGTCTGTCTCTGGGACGACGATGATTTTTGTGACTGATTTCGACTGAGGGACTGCTGCGGACGTAATATACACAGCCCGCGCCGGAGAGTGCGGAGTGCATTTTTATCGTTTGGGGCTCTACACAGGCGGACAGTCGCTGCAATTTTTGCTGCAAGATCGTCGAGCAGAAACGAGGTAAGCATATGTAAGAGCGAGAGCAGCAGTTGAATGTCATTGTATACAGTTTTGATCGTTGTGTGTCGTGCAATGAGAGTGACTTTGGTGCTGACTTTTTATAAAAATAAAATTACAATCTATCGATATTAAATTCTTATTGCTTGCTTTCTGATGTAAATTCTTTATATTTGAATGATGAAACAGACTGATTTATCGAGACAAAATAAGTACACTTGAATAGTTCAGACTTTTTGGTAGCTGACTTGTCTTTTTAATGGATGCGTTATCTTGTAAAATGATAATTAATTCTTTTTTAAACCAAAATTAACAATTGACCTATTTTGCAGACCACCAACACACAATGGCTTACCGTATTAATATAGTCTGTGGCAATTCATCTATCTACCGATCAAAACCTACACCCGCCGGCTACACTCACGATTGGGAGTTGTACATCAAAGGACAGAATAATGCCAGCATTCATAACTATATTGACAAAAGTAAGTTGAAAATTCCAATGTTTCTGTCAGCTGTACATAATCTATGTTATTAATTAAAAAATTTTTATTTCAGTTGTTTTTCATTTACATGAAAGTTTTCCAAATCCTGTGAGAACGTTTAATAAACCTCCATATGTAATAAGAGAGTCAGGTTATGCTGGATTTGAAATACCAATTGATGTTTACTTGAGAAATAATTCAGAGCCAAGAAAATTTCACTTTAAATATGATTTATCATTGGCTAAGTTTACATCGTCCTCTCACTCAATAACTCATACAGAAATTATAAACAATCCATCAGAAGAGTTCGCTAAAAAACTGCGCAAAGGTGGAGCTGTAAGTATACTATTTGTCATTACTTCATCATTACTTCATCATTACTTCATCTATTTTATAGATGAATTCAGAACTGATGAATTCAGAAAAAAGTGATTTCCCATTATTTTTATGAATACAATGTAGACATGCTAACAATAACTATTGCAGAAAATTACTCTGCTCTACCTCACTTTCAAATTTTTCAATTCTAAATACTATTTCATGATAAACAAATATGTTGACTAATTTTTTTTTTTTTACAGTTACCTATCTCAAATTCTGAAAGTGTTACAGAAAAAAAGAAATCTAAATTAGATCAAATGGTTGGAAAACCAAGATTGAGTGGAAATGAACCAAAGAAACATAAACACGATCAAAAGACATCAGACACATTCAACGATGTGTTTGGAACTCCTATTAAAACTGGAAAATTAGTCGACAAAAAGCCAAGTGATAAAAAAGTACAAGCACAACAATCTTTATTCTCCGATAAACCTATTAAAAGTGAGAAAACAGAAAAATCCGACAAGTCAGATAAAAATCTAAAAACGAAACACATATCTCAAAAGGACAAAAAACCAGAAAAAGTACCAGAGGATACAAAACTGAAAAAAGATCCTAATAGAGAAAAAGATGTCTCAAAAGAGAGATCAAAAGTATCAACGAGTCCTGAAGATATGAAGTCTGAAGTTAAGTCATCAACCTCGTCGACCAAAGAGCCCAAGCGACACAGTGACTCCAGTCGAGATAAAACAAAAGAAAAATCAAAAGACCCTTCTAAAAGTTCAACCGATGAAAAAAGAAAAGACAGAAGTGATCGTAAAAAAGATAAGAAAAAACCAAAAGACGAAAGAGAACGCGAAAAGAAGGACAAGCACAGAGATCGCGAGCGTGAGAATGAACGCAGCAAAGAGGGCTCTAAACCTATTGATAAAAAGCCTGAAAAGGAGACGCTCGCTGAACCTAAAATCGCCAAGGATCAAATCAAGTCACCAAAACAAGACAAACCAATTGCACAGACGCCAGCACCGCCAGTGACTGCTCCACCCACGGTTCCTGCACCGGTTGTTAGTAATGATAGTATTGAAAAAATAAAAGAACATAAACACACTAAAAGCGACAAAGATAAGCATAGAAAAGAGGATAAAGACAAGTCCAGAGACTCTAACGAAAAGGAGAGATCTCGAGACTTCTCCGTGGAAAAAGAAAAGTCGAAGAAACATAAGAAGCGCGATAAGAAAGACAGAAAGGACGACAGCAGCAAGGAGAAAGAAAGAAAGGAGCGCAAAGAAAAATATCGCGAAAAATCACATAAATCCGCAGAACCGGCTCCGCCGTTGAGTCAAGTGGCTGGTTTCCCAGACCGTTTGAGCAGCGAATCAGCGGGCTCGGCCGAGGAAGAAACGATCGTGGACAAAGTTGAAAAAGTGCCCAATACCCCGAGCAAACCGGACATCGTGCTCAGAAGCCCATCGCCGATTCAAGACGGTCAAACGAGAATGTCTCCGCCTACGCCGCGGGACCCGATGAATTACGAGCAGCAACGTCGCAGAACAAAAGATAAGAGCGAGCGTAAACGCGAGCGATCTGAAGCGAGTTACGAGCGCAAGCAGGATAGAAAAAGAGCAAGACACGAGAGCAAAGGTTTGTAATGGGTGAAGAAAAATTTTTTTAATTTTATCAAACGACAAATTTTTAATGAACTGTCTTCCTTTTTTTTTTTAGACTCGAGCAGCGAACGCATACCAAGCAAAGACTTGAGAGGTGAAAACTCACCTTTAGATGAATCCGTCTCATCTAGTCTGTCTCCGATGACGATGTCATCGCTCATTACTTCTAAAAATAGTAATACTCACGTTTCGAACGATGCCGTATTGAACATCGAACCCATAGACGTCGATAGCGACGACGCAGTTCCAGATTCGACCGATTCGACGTTCGACTCGACCACGTCGCCGGCTTACTTTTTGCAGTTGCAGGAGCTGCAGCACAAAATCAACGCGTTGAATGATTTCAACGACTTGCACAGGTTGATGGCCCTCATCACGCGGACCGGTCATTTCGAAGTAACAACGCAGACGGTCGATTTCGATCTGTGTCATTTCGATAAAAAAACCATCGAAGCGTTGCAAGACTTCTTTGATAATCTCTCGTGACCGGCTTTAGTTTGAAAGAATTTAAATTAAATTGTATATATTTCCATCTTGATGTAGAATTAGAAATTTGCAAACCATAATGATGTACCATGACTATTTTATTCGGAGTTAAAAGATAGCTAATATCATACGAAATGCACGAGCTTGGCGTACGCTTTTTGTAAATACTGTTATGGAAATTGAAATACTTTGAATGTAAATTATTTTCTCATTTATATAGATTTATATAATTATGAACTTTTTATCAGCTTTGAAGATTATAAAATATCCACAACTACGAACAATTTATACGAATATTAATGGAATGAATAACTTACGAGTAGAAAACATCTACACGATTGATAAAATTTGCACTTCCATATTCTTAAATATGGAATAATTTTTCATCTAAGTTACCAAATCAAGAACTATCGATTATCAAATTCGAAGCGCATTTTACAATTCCTCGTTGCATAATGATGCATCGATTCTTTTTAAGATTTATATTTACAAGATGATTATACAAATATTATTATATAACTATACGAATTATAAATATTTAATAGCCAAATTCATGACTGATGAAAGTTACATTTTTAATGTAAATAATGTCTAAAATTGTATAAATAGCTGAATTGTGCTAGTATTAAATACTATATAAAATAAACAAACTACGGCACAGAAATTATTAATAAATGTTTCGATTAAAATTTAACGATCTAGAGTTATTTCATTTAATTTTTAATACTTAAAAAATACATGTATCCGAATCATCTCATAAAATTAGAAGACGATTTTTTAAGTTCTTATAGTTATGAAATGTTAATCAAGGAAAAACATTTTACATTCAACTGCAGATGAAAATCGTTTAAAATTTATAGATGTTTCAAATAAATATTTCAAAATATTGTTTTTTTGATATACGAATTTTTTTAACAGTATGTTAATTTTTTCATCGCAATCGTAGAAATCTATTTTTTTAGTCAATTTCTTAACATTATATGGACGTTTGAAAAAAGCTAAAGTTTCGTACGCGCCTGCAAATACGCAGCCCGCCATACTGAGTTGGTCAAATTTTGCCTCCATGAGGAACAGTATTGATGTCGTTATTTACTAATGCACATTTGTCGATTTAAAACGTTTATTGAACATATGAAAATATAACGAAAAGCGACAGGTCAGGACGTTCAACAGTTTTTACTAAAACTGAAGAGGATGAGATAGTGGGCTGGATTGTAACTCAACGTAAAAAAGGGCATCCCATAACTAAAAAGCAGCTACTTGATTGTGTTGAAGTTTTATGTCTCGGAATAAAGATGAAAAATCCTTTCCAAAACCATTTGAGAAACATTTTTTTTATTTATGTAAATAATTTTAATACTATCGAAATCTTGCATGTGAAGCTAAAAAAAACCACCATAGTACGCTGAGAAAAAAATTCATTGATTCAATGAACTAAATATTTAGTTGTTTTTACCAAAATATCGAAACTAAAGAAAAAAAGATTATCTCAATGAAATTATTTCATAGATTGTATTTAATTAAATTTTCATTGAATCAGTGAATTTTTTTTCTCAGTGTACATGAGCAGCATTAGGTCCTCCGCAGTAATAGGTGTACAGCATATACCGCAGTAATACATGCATCCATTTTTATTTTTTAAAGTACTGTTTAATAATATTAAATTGAAATTAAACAATTTTTAATGTTAGAATTGTTTAGCCGAGATCCTGAACAATAACTTAAAAAAAATTATTAGGCAAATCTTTTTACAACGCTTAATATCGAAAGTTGGAAAACAACCTAAAAAAAATCCACATTTACCCTATAAACTTTTGGACTCAGATACGTATTTTTCTCACTTCTTACACCCTAAGAATAAACGTCTGGAGCGAAGATCTGAACAAGTTGGAAAATAAGGACCAGTCTAATACACATATAATTATAAACTTTCTGTGGAAGTTGTATTTTGGTAATCAGAAAAAACATCCTTCATTCTGAGCCAAATTGAGAAATACAAACATGTTTATTTTTTGAGTTGTTACATTTAGTCATTTTTGGGTATTCATGCAGTTATTCATTTTGTAATTAATAGGTTTAAAGCATAGCAATGAACTATTAATATGAAAATTTGAATTTCTCACAACCACACAGTTTTTGACCTGCAACACCTGTTGTTGAATAGCTATAAAATGTTAGATTTCAATTTGATAATTGTAAATCAATCAATGGAAAAATGGAAATTTATTTTTTTTTTATTCACTCATGATATTAAAAATTTACATAATTACATGAGAAGTTGAGAAAAGTTGTAAAAATAATCACAATTTTCTTCACATTGATATTGTTGTAATATTCACTGTCCAACAAAGAGACTTTGGAGATGCTTACGAGCTAAATTACTGTTATTGTTTCTACATATTAAACTTATGAATCGATGTTATTATTAGGTTTCGAATTCAAGTAATTTGTTACAATTTTACAATTTGTTACAATTTTTTGATACAATGTATAATTTTTCGTTATCTACATAGAAAGATGTGACGAGCTTTCGCGTAATACAAGTATGGATGCCGAGCAAATGTTGTATAAATCCTCGTTCTTTAGATTCGAAATGATCATTTCACAGCAGGAAACCGGTAGCTGGTATTGTTGCAATTCGTAGAATGCATCGAGTGCCCACGGCCAGAAAAATCCTCTCGACAGTTTTTCGCACAGATGCCGAGTACAGATCTCGCTGTGGCTTTCGGGAAGAGTGTACGACAATATGTTTGAACGCGCTAACTCCATACAGTTCTCATGCTTTAGATGTTTTGCCGCCTCTTTCGGTTTCAATCGGATAAGGTCGTGAAGCGACAGACTAGGAGTTAGCATTATCTTTTTCGATTTGCTCACAAATTCTCCTTCGTCATACCAATTTTTTCCAAGATCCGTCGACTTTTCAAACAGTTCGTACTCGTCGAACAAACTCATTATATCCAGGATGCCGCTACGATCAAATGCGTATCCTCTTTTCTCGAGACGCTCTACGAAGTCCACAATTTTAGACGCCAAAGATAATTTAAACTCAATCCGTTCACATTCGTGCATCTCACTTATCGGTTTGAATCTCTCGACGAAAAATCTCTTACTGGGAAAAACGAATTTGGATAGATCGGCGCCCTGATCCAGAAGTACGTCGATCACATCCGGGAGAAGATTCAGCACTGCCCATCGAAGCGGCGTCCGGCCGTTCTTGTCTCGGGCATCGACCTGCACCGGCCGATCGACCTCTTTGATGACGTCGAAGAACAGCTTCAGCAATTCAGAGTCGCCACAATCCACGATGAAGGTGTGCAACGGTGAGAACCCTTTCTTATCTCTCCAATTTGGATCGGCACCCCTCCTCAACAACAATTCAACTGCCTTTTTGTTGCCATTCTTAAGAGCCAAATGCAGTGGTGTCTGACCCAGTATGTTCTCAGCGTCGACCCTGACCTCGTTACCGATTTCGTCGTTAATGGCGAAAAATGCCTTTAAGAAGTCACCGTATTCATCGTCGTCGACGAAATATTTGCAAATGGTGTCCAATGGAGCATCTCCATCTTTGTTGCGCTTATTTGGACTCGCGCCGTGTCTCAACAGCAATTCCATCAGTTTCTTGTTCCTCATAAACAGAGCATGATCTAACGGTAAATAGCCTTTGCGATCCACGTCGTCGACCGGCAGCCACGGATATGTCTCCGCGCAGACCTCGAAAAATATCTCAAGGAAGGCATTATTGTAATTTTCCTGGAAAACTACTTGCCAAGCAGTAGATCCGTCCGCATTGACTCTACACAGATCGGGGCCTCTTTGCAGCAGCGATAAGACTGTCGTCTCGTGGCGGTTGATTAGAGCCAAGTACAGTGGCGAGTTAGGGTATCTCCTGGCCAAGCCTCGAACGAACCTTTGAGAGCCGTTGGGATCTTGCCCGAGTTTAAGAAATTTTTCGACGACGGTGTCGAGGCCGTACCGGCAGGCCACGTGAAGATGTGATAATCCATCTTCGTCGATATAATTTACGTCGAATTTGTCGTAAATTTGAAATAGAGCAGAGATTACGGTGTAACAACGATTCTTTCGAGCAGCATGATGAATCGGTGTGGTGCGATTCAGCAGTGACTTGCCGTCTTCATCTGCGTCGGGCTCGTACTTGTAGCCGCTGCGAGCCACAAAATTTATGAATCGATTACCTGGTGTCTCTGTAGTGCATTTATCTATATCTGTGACGGACTCCATCAAAAGCCAATAAATCGCTTCTTTCTGGAAGAAGTCTAAAAGATTTGGAAGTTCGCCTGTCCAGCTGTTGATGACGGCATCGAGTTGATGAAGAAAATCATGTCGCTCTGCTTCGATCTCCCACTTGACATTTTTCGACCGGATCCCGTACACTGCTAAATATTTTCTACAATAATATCTTACACTGGACATGTTTGTATGCACTCGCGAACACCAAAAAAATACTAAAACTTAAAAGTTTCAATTTTTTTCACTAATTTGAAAAACACGTGGCGATGAAACGTCTTTTACGTCGTGTATTGGTAATACGATCTGAACGACTCGACATGTGGAATTGAACTGCTTAGCTGCTATTGGATATTGGTGTTTGATGCCTTTCCAAAATGAAAGAGAAAGTTATGCAGGTAGTGGAGCATCACCCACTAAATTCGGTACATTAGACATGCGCCGCCTCTGCGCAGGTCTAATACGAGAAGTAGTTTTGAATCGGTACATTTGCTTATCCCATAGCTCCAAAAAAACACAAAATATGACTGTTTTTTCAATTGCATATAAGTCTCAATAAATAAAGCTAAAGAATAATAAAATTTAAGTGCATTATTTATCGAGTAGTTCTATCTATCTATGTATCTCGTGTTTATAGCATACGTGACCAAAATGACAATAGTATATGGCTAGGCGTAACCAACGCCTCTATTTTGCTAGACTCTCACTTTCTAGCAATTGAATTTTGAGCGATTCTGCACTAATAAACATGTCATTTCAGGCAAGCAACCCGCACGAACATGTTTCGACATGAGTTCGGAAAATGTGTGGTAGACTCGGGAGCCTGTGAAAAAGTTCATGTCAAATTTCTTTTGCCATCATAAGAATTAATCATTTTAACCAATAATTATAAATAACCATGCCATTTTTTGAAGTACAATTGTCTAATCTTATTCGATGTAAAATTTAACGAGCAATAAGTTTAGAACATGTCAGATTAAAAATAATTTCTTACATCTGTAGAACCTATCATTTAACGGCTATAAACTCCAATATGAACAATTGAACTGAAATAAAAACTACATTCTATAATTATTAAGGATATCGCCTTCGAAGTGAGATGTCGAAGAACTCGATCAATCACCATCGACCAAAAGACAAACAACAAAGGTCGTGAAGATTACACATGCCACAAGTGCAATAAGGTATTTGAACAAAACAGGGACTTTGTTTAGACACCAAATGACTGTTCACAGAAATCATTAGCAGATAACACTCAAGTCTCCGTAAGATTATGTACATAATAAATATAATTACATTTTTGTCTATAAACGCAGTTTAATTACTTACATTTGAATTATTTATAAAGGCAAAGTTTTCGTACACGAGAGTCTTAAAAAACGTACAAAATTGAAATCAATTTGACTGATCTGAGGTTTCTTAAATAGTGAATATTAGAAATAAATTTTAGAATTCATTGACTCTAGAAATATTTTACATAAATTCCAATCGAACTTCATTGGATCTGATTTTATGTTACATAATTAAACAACCAAACTTCATAATAACCATTTTTATCATGGTAATTTCTTATCATTATAATGGTTTGCTATGCAATCCACTTTTAAAAATCTTTCAAGCTCTTTTTTCTCGTGATCGCGAACATGAACAATTGCATCCAATCTCGTGAAAAGCGCTGATTTTCCTTCTTGCCGATTGTAAGAATGTATATAGCGTACTTGTATACAAATGCTTACTTTTTTTTAAATTTCATTAAAAATTGTACCAAAATGATTGCGTCTCACCGGATATGGACTATCTTTACATTTTTTTAAAAAGCAATCGCCTTAAAGGAGCGAGAAATGAAAATTTACTATTTCTAATCTGCCACTGATGATTGTAATTTAAGTCCTGCGGAACTTGTTACATATGTTATTTTACTACCCGTGTTGCTGAGAGGGAGGAAGGGAAATGAAATACTATAAATTTATGATGGTAAACTTAGAATATGTTTATTGACGCTCGTTGGTGATGCTATCGTTATCGCTTGGTCGAGGGCTCGCAGGCACTCTCAGTCACTCACACAAGTTCACTCGATTTGATCTAGTATAATTGTATGCTAATGCTTGCTCACGCACCGCAAGTTACAATCAAGTTACAATAAAGTCGTACTAATACTACAAAGTATTCGTCTTTACAAGAGTTGAATATAAAAATCGCGTACAAGTCGAGCGTTATGTGTTTTACTAAAATGGTCGTACAGAAGTCATTACAAACAAACTATGCTATACGCACTTTGCGAAATTGACATTTTTAGAAATACTACGTTCATTCAAGGTGCAGTAGAAACATTTTGGGAAACAAGAAATTGGGCTCCGGATACTCTTTTTAGGTCATACAGTCAGATAAAAACGCACGATAGTACACATGTGCTCGTTGACACTTTGCTCGAGAAGATCGAGGAGGTGGTAGAAACACAGGCTCGAAGCAGTACTCAGATTGGGCGATCTACTCAAAAATTTGAGGGAACAAATAAATACAGCGCTCTGTTATATCCAAAAAATCGAGTCTCGTCACGCTGTTTCTCGACCTCGAGTTTTTCGATATAACGTCATTAAAAGGGGTAATAAAAGAATGATGTAATTTATGGGTTATCATACCACGCGCGAGTCACAGGATAGCTTACGCGAATTCGGGTAATCTTCCAATATCGCCCCACTATAATTCGGGATTCGAAAATTGGTATATATAGCGCACATCTTTGTAATCTCGGGTGGTCGGCTCTCAGCTCTCGCAGACAGACGCATTAACATCTTGCGGTCTTCACGCGCTAACACCTTATCCTAGTTTTTTGTAATTGAGCTACAGCTGAGCCAATCGCGTGGTACATCATAACTAAAAGTGTAACGAAAAATATAATATCCATTTTATATGTGCAAACTCTATAATAAAAGTCTTGTGTCAAACCTTAAACGTGTATCTCAGATTTTGATGCAGTTAGATTAAAATAAATGTTCGGGTATTATTTAACAAATAGCCCGGACATAACAGCTCCAAGAACTTGAACAGATTATTGGTTGAACTTGAATGTTACGATACATAGACATACAATTTAATTTGAAATTTTCTAAGTCAAGGAGACCTCCTGTAAATTCAGAGACACTTTTCCAGTATGTAGGGGTGAAATAGTATATTTCTCAACGGGTACAGCTATGGTTTTTTAGCTTAAACGAGGGCCTTCGGCTTGTGCTATAACGAGTTTTGTTAAAAAACCATATCTGACCAGTTGATGATACTATTTTTTCCTACGAGAGCCTATTAGCGGCGAAGTTGCGTATTTTAGTAGTAGTAAGAATCATTAAAGTTGACCAATATCAATTTTTATTTTAAGTCTATTTTTTTTAATGAATTCAAAGGGATTTTAATGTGTATGTGTCTTAATGCGATTACAACTTCATTATTAAAACAAATAGCAAAAGTACTTATCACGTAATTGATCTTCAGTGCAAAGTCATCGCCAAATCAGAATTTTAAACTAATTCAGAATTTTGAAAGATAACGTATAAACATTGTCCTTCTATAAATCGGTAACCGATTTGTATATTTTTAATTATAAACGATTTTGACATCGGACCTCAAATACTGATAATGTTTATAGTAAATAATTTCGGTTGAGTATTGTCTTTCCTGACGAAACAACTCATAACACCAAGGCTTTTAACACCATTAGTTTTACTCGTTGAATTTCCGTGATACTTAATAGACTGAACCATAGTTTGATTAAGGCATCGAAATGGATCAAAGTATGAAGAAATGCAAGGAAATTATCTCGGAAAATAATTCAAGTGAACATGACATTGTTGTTTCAGACGACAAACAATACATCTGTGATATTTTTCAGGAGACATTTACACTAGAATCAAGTATGATCACACACCGAGACACAATTCACAATAAAGAAAAAAATTATGAGTTCCGAAGTCATTTGAGTCGATACCAAGTAACAGTACACAGAAATCGCAGAGACTTTTCATGCGATAAGTGTGAGAAAAAATTTATAAAAAAATCGAGTTTGTTTACGCACCAAAAATTGGCACATAAAGATCGTGAAGATTTCACGTGCCAAAAGTGTGACAGGAAATTTGAAAATAAATCAACTTTACTAAGGCACAAAAAAATATTTCACGAAGTTTTAAAAGATTACTTATGCGAAAGTTGCGCGAAAAGATATGGAAATAAACGGAGCTTGCTCTTGCACATAAAATCGGTTCACGAGAGTCGCAAAGATTTTGCTTGCGACAAGTCGTATTTGCTGTTTCACCAAAAAACTGTCCATGAAGCTTGCAAGAAATTCACTTGTGACAAGTGTGAGAAAAAATTTGGGGATCAAAGCAATTTGAACAGACACCAAAAATCAATCCATGAAGGTTACAAGGGATACCAATGCAACAAATGCGAGAAGAAGTTTGGACAAATGACACATTTGCTCTCACATCAAAGGATAGTTCATGAAGGTCGCAAAGATTACCGATGCGACAAGTGCGAAAAAAAATATGGACAAAAATCATATTTGCTTTTACATCAAAGGACAGTGCACGAGGGTCGAAAAGATTACGTTTGCGACAAATGTGAGAAAAAATTTGGGAGTTCTAGCAATTTGACAAAACACCAAAAAACAGTACACGAAGATTGCAAAAATTACGTATGCGACAAGTGTGAGAAGAAATTTGTAAATCAAAAAATTCTGATTAGACATCAAAAGACAGTCCACGAAGGTCGCAAGGATTATGCTTGCGAAAAGTGCGACAAGAAATTTGGAGATAAGTCCCATTTGCTCAGACACCAAAAAATAGTCCATGAAGGTCGTAAAGATTTCGCGTGCGACAAGTGTGAGAAGAAATTCGGAAATAAATCATATTTGTTGTACCACCAAAGAACAGTACACGAAGGTTTTAAAGATTACGCATGCGACAAGTGCGAGAAGAAATTTGGAAAAAAATCAGATTTGTTGAAGCATCAAAGGACAGTACACGAAGGTCGCAAAGACTATGCATGTGAAAAATGCAAAAAGGTTTTTGGACTTAAAGAAAACTTACTTAGGCACCGAATGACAGTCCACAAAGATTAGTAAAATGACGTGCGTGAAAAATGCTAGAAGAATTGATTAAACGTCAAAAAAAAATCCTTTAAGGTCATGACGATTTTACGTGAGGCCAGTTCGTGAATAAATCATATTATGTACTTCGTAGAAAAACAGTCTCCAAAATTCACAATCAACGCAATTTGACTTCCCACTTGTGATTTGAACATGAGAGCAAAGTTTCTGCATGTGAATGTGCGAAAAAATGTACAATATTAAAATTAATTTGACTGATCATAAACGATTTCTTTACGAACAATGTGAATACTTCAGATTTCAACAAGACGTGCCTACTCACTTATAGAAATCGAATTTTAGGACGTGATTCTTGAATGTATAAGTAGTACGAATATGCTGCAAGGAATAAATAGTTTTTAGGATTGAGTTTAATAAGAAGCTCTTTACAACGTAAAGAATAACATTTATTTTCCGCTAAGAAAAGTACATTATTCTATGGCTTTTAAATTTTGGTGTGATAGATTACAATAAACATAAATATTTCATCTTATAAAAATGTCTTATTTTATTCATCTATATAAATGTATAAATGTATGAATCTACTTAAAGTCATCTGATTCATTAAAATTATTCGACTATCAGACTATTCGAATTATTATAAGAAGTTTCGAGTAGCAAAAATTAGTTTTAAACAAAGCTATTTGTTGTAGATGATTGTTATTTACATTCGACGGACACTTTTCGATAATGAATTTTTCGATGCACATTTTGAATTCTCTAGTACCAAAGTAAAAGAGTACGTAAGCGCTCACATAAATATTTTTCGTAATAAAGTAAGTAATTTATTCGTAATAATATTTCGTATAAATATAAGTATCATAGTTTTTGAAATGTACAATACTTGAATTGTAAAATATTCAATTTTATGCGCAAGTTATTAAGAAATTGTCGCCAACCAACAGTATTAATAATGTATACTAAAACATACTGTATCTAGAGCTTTATTTTTGCGACATCGCCTGTAAAGTGGTTCAAAATTTTGAGAGGTATCATATAAACATTATCTTTCTGTGAATCGGTAACTCATTAGTAAACAATATAATTATAAACGATTTTGATTTCGTGCCTCACTCATACTGATAATGTTTATAGTAAAAATAATTTAGTTTGAAGGTCTTTCCCGATGAAAATCGACTCATAACACTTTTAGTTTCACTCATTAAAATTTCGTGGTATCAAAAAGAGGAAACCAATGTTTATATAAGAAAAAAAATGGATAAAAGTGAGATGAAATCTGATGGAATTGTCTCAACAGATAATTTAAATGAACGGAAAGATTATGCATGTGACGAGTGCGAAGAGACATTCGAGTTCCGAAGTCATTTGAGTAGGCACCAAATATCGGTACATAAAGGCTGCAAAGATTTTACATGCGACCAGTGTGAGAAAAAATTTGTAAAACAATCGAGTTTGTTTACGCACCAAAAATTAGTACACAAAAATCCCAAAGATTTCACGTGCAACAAGTGTGAGAAGAAATTTGAAAATAAATCAACTTTACTCAAGCACAACAAAATATTCCATGAAGTTTTCAAAAATTACTTATGTGAAATGTGCGCGAAGAGATTCGATACAAAACGAAATTTGTTTTTGCACGTAAAGAGAGTACACAACGGTCGCAAAGATTATGCTTGCAAGAAGCGCGAAAAAAAATTTAGAATAAAATCAGATTTGATCAGGCACCAAAAAATAGTCCATGAGGGTCGTAAGGATTTCGTATGCGACAAGTGCGAGAAGAAATTTGGACGAAAACAGCAATTGCTCACCCACCGAATGACAGTCCATGAAGGTCGAAAAGATCACGAATGCGACAAATGTGAAAGAAAATTTGCATGTAAATTAGGTTTGTTGAAGCACCAAATAACAATTCACGAAGGCCGCAAAGATTTTCCATGCGACAAGTGCGAGAAGATGTTTGGTCAAATGTCACATTTGCTCTCCCATCAAAGGACAGTTCACGAAGGTCGCAAAGATTACCGATGCGACAAGTGCGAGAAAAAATTTGGAAGTAAGCAAAGCTTGTTAAAGCACCAAAGGACCGTACATGAAGGTCGTAAAGATTACCGATATTGCAACAAATGTGAAAGAAAATTTGCATGTAAATTAGGTTTGTTGAAGCACCAAATAACAAATCACGAAGGCCGCAAAGATTACGCATGCAACCAATGCGAAAAGAAGTTTGGACAAAAAGTAAGTTTGCTCTCCCATCAAAGGATAGTTCACGAAGGTCGCAAAGATTACCAATGCGACAAATGCAAGAAAAAATTTGTAAGTAAGCAAAGCTTGTTACAGCACCAAAGGACCGTACATGAAAGCCGTAAAGATTACACATGTAAAAATTGTGGAAGAAAATTTGGGATTCAAAGTAGTTTGAATAGACACCAAAGGGCAGTCCACGAAGGTCAGAAAGACTACGCATGCGACAAGTGCGAAAAGAAGTTTGGACAAAAAGTAAGTTGGCTCTCCCATCAAAGGACAATTCACGAAGGTCGCAAAGATTACCGATGCGACAAATGCGATAAGAAATTTGGGGATCCAAGCAACTTGAACAGACACCAAAAAACAGTCCACGAAGGTCGCAAGGATTTTGCGTGCGACAATTGTGAGCTGGTGTTTGGAGAAAAATCGAATTTGACCAGACACCAAAGGACAGTTCATGATGGTCGCAAAGATTACCGATGCAACAACTGCGAAAAATTTTTTGGAGATGTAAGGAGTTTGATCAGACACCAAAAATTAATTCATAAAGGTCAAAAGGTTACGAATGCGGCAAGTGCGAGCAAAAATTTGGACTGAAAGGAAATTTATTTAGGCATCAAATAACAGTACAAGAAGGCCAGAAACATTAAGTTTGCGTCAAGGGCGAGCGTAAATTCAGAAAAAAATCAGATATGTTGAAGCATCAAAGTACAGTACACGAGGGTCGTAAAGATTACACATGCAAAGAGTCCCAAAAGGTACTTGGACTTAAAGAGAATTTGTTTAGGCACCGAATGACAGTCCGCAAAGATCAGTAGAATGTCGTACGTAAAAAATGCGAGAAGAAATTAATGCATCAATCAAGAAGTAATTTGATTATAAATGCCAAAAATCAGTCCATGAAGATCGTAATAATATCATGTGTGAAAGTGAGGAAAGTAATCATGTACTACGTCGAATTCGAGCCAATATCGAAAAACAGTTTATGAAATTCACTGCATGCGAATGTGCAAAAATATGTACAATATTAAAATTAATTTGACCGATCATAAACGATTTGTTCATGAAAAATATGGATACTTTCGATCTTAACAAAACGTGCCTACTTACTCATAGAATCAGAATTTTAGGACGTGATTTTTGAATGTATAAATAGTAGAAACAAATTCTTCTTCACGTTAACATTTTAAAAAGAATTATATTTATTTTTAATTAAGAAAAGAACATTTTCTAATGGTCTTTCGATTTTGGTGTGATAATTTACTATGAACATAAATATTTCATCTTATAAAAATGTTGTATTTTATTTATGTATATAAACATAGGTTTAATGTATATAAATGTACTTAAAGTCTTCTGATTCATTAAAATGATTTGACTATTAGACTATTCGAATTATTAAACTATCTATGAGAAATTTCTAGTAGCAAAAATTAGTTTTAAACAAAACTATTTGTTGTAGATAATTTTTATTCACGTTCAACGGTTACTTTTCGATAATAAATTTTCCGATGCACATTATGAATTCTCATGTGCCAAATTACAAGAGTACGTAAACGCTCATATAAATGTTTTTTTCCCACTCTCATCTGTGAGAGCGACTACGCCGTACACGAGACACATGCTGCTGCGTCAGCTGCTATCCAGCAGTGTATTTCTGTGTGACCAAATATTATAAGAAAAAAATAAAGAAACCGTCGTTTATCATAAAAAGTGCAGTGCCTTTTTTCTACCCTCTCGTGAAAATTCATTCATTGGTCCTTCTGAGCCGGATTTGTCAATCAACCAGCGACAACATGAACGCGAGGTAAGTGCAATCTTATAAGCACAAGTGTGAACGACGTGAACTGAGAAAATGGCGGAGCGAATTGATCGGCTCACAATGCGGCATTACGATCGGGGCCTCGACGCACCGTGAAAGGTAGTGGAATCTTCGTGCAGTAACGAAAAGGCTACGGCATTTTGCGAGCGGACGGCGAGTCCGAACGGATGATGAAACGAGTGTCCGTGTGAGGTGATATCTACGGTGAGAGGCGACCACGTGATAACTCTGCCTGACGCGGGCATCGAGCTGCGTCGAGTGAAGCGAAGCGCGAATGATGCGTGATCGATATGTGTGTGACCCCGTGAGCTGTGATGTGACGAGACTAGCGATACCCACGTGCCAGCACCGTCGCCTGGTCCACGAAGCGAGCGTATTGCATCACGAAAACACGTTCGTGTGAGAGAGTTGGAGCGATGAGAAAGCTGTGTGCTCCGCTAATACTTAGTGTCGAGCTGAGACTCACATTGAGATGATTTTTTGCTTGCAGAGACAATCTGAGAGATACTCAACTCGAGCTGATCGAGATAATGAGGGTTTTATGCGAGGCGATTAACTCCGCCCCTCGTGAGGCCTGGACACTAGGTCAAGTACGGGCTCGAGGAGAGCTGCTGGAGACCTACTGGGCGGACTTCCAGTGCAACCACGTGGCGCTGCAGGACGCGGCAGATGAGCAGCACCAACGAGGGTACATCTACTCGACCATTCAAATGCGATACCTTGAAGCGAAAGGCTTGCTCTACGACGTCCAAGGAGATCTGGAAGCGCGACTGCCAGTGCGCAGCGCCTCGGACGTCCTGGCTGCCGGGCATCGTGACATGCCCGCGTCAAGTCAGTCGCGTTCACGACTGCCCTTGATTCAAGTGCCCGAATTCAGTGGGCGTCGCGAGGATTGGGAGTCCTTTCGCGACTTGTTTAAGGCCCTCATTGACCGTGACGAACATCTGAGTGACGTGGAACGGATGTACTTTTTGAAGACACTTGTAAAGGGTGAGGCGAGCGCCGCTCTCAGCACGCTGTCTATGACCGGTGACAACTACATCACAGCCTGGAATCTGCTGGAGAATAGGTATGAGAACCACCGCTTACTAGTCCAGGATCATCTGAGCGCGTTGCGAGCCCTCAAGCCGATCCGTGAGGACTCAGTGAAGTCCCTACAGGACCTCATGGACACCCTTGGCAAGCACCGGGACCAGCTTCGGACCCTGGGTCGACCAGTCGACGCCTGGGACGACTGGTTCGTGTCGATTGCGGCGTCTTGCATGGACCTAGCGACTCGTCGAGCTTGGGAGTCTGAGCTTGAGCGCATCGATGCGACGACGCAGGAGGGAGGCTCGAGAAAAGGGTGCCAGCTCGCATCTTTTACCACGCTTATCGACTTCCTTGGCAGCCGGTGCAGAATGGCAGCTGCCTGCTCGTCGAGCTTGACTCTGAGCAGCAAGGTTACGGGTTCAGCGAACACGGAGAAATCGGCACGCAGCTATGCGACCAGTAGCTCGACCCCCCGGGACTGTGCCCAATGCCACGGCGATCACTACATCGGTCACTGCGAGGCGTTCACCGGACTGGATCCTGGCGAGAGGCGATTGCGAGCTGCGCGCTATCGACTCTGCTTCAACTGTCTGCGACCCGGCCACGCCGCCAGAGTGTGCCCCTCTCAATCCACCTGCCAACTTTGCCGAGCTACACATCACACCTTACTCCACGATGGAGGGCTGAAGAGACCCGGGGATCCAATGGAGTCGAGCTCTTCGGTAAAGAAGCGACGATCCGTGCTAACCACCATCTCGGACGATCGACAGGAGGTCGACTTGGCTGATCGAGAGGAGGGACCGTCTCACCGCTCGTCCTGACTCGCGGTGTTGCCAACGGCTGTGCTGAGCATTAGCAGCCCGGGCAGTCGCTCGTTGGCCGTACGCGCGCTTCTGGATCCTTGCTCAGAGATTACCATCATATCCGCACGTATTGCGCGTAAGGCACGTGCGACTCTTGAGAGTGCATCGATCGACATCAGAGCGCTCGGAGGCGGTCTTGCCAGCCGAGCTGTACAGACTGCGAGCATCCAGATTCACCTGCCGGACCGGGCCCAGCCGCTCGTATCCGACGCTGCGTGTGTGCGATATCTGGGAATCACGACGCCCTCGGCAAGGCTAAGGCACGTGGCGAGTGCGCCATGGGTCGGCCGGAAGCTTGCCGATCCCTGTTTCGAGCGGCCTGGCCCGATAGACTTGCTTGTGGGAGCTGATGTACTACCGTCATTGCTGAGAGACGGACTTCTCCACCACTGCGACATGATGGCGCAGAACACTGCGGTTGGGTGGACGATCTCCGGTCGACAACCCATTGACGGCGCTGAAGATCAAGCCATTTGCCTCTCTTCCTTGACTGCGGAAGAGACGCCCAAGTGGCATCAACAGCTCATCAGCCTGCTCCAGCGATTCTGGGAGCTTGAGGACGTACCCCCGGCCTATCGAGTTTCCCCGCTTGAGCGACACTGCGAGGAACTGTTTGCAGCCCACACGCGCGACAACACGGGAAGGTACACTGTGCGGCTTCCCCTGAAGCGCGACGCCGCGACTACCCTTGGGACAAGCGAGGCTTCAGCACGCGCGTCGCTGACAAGCTTGCACCGACGCATGGAGAGAAACCCGGAGTTCGCCAAGGCCTACTGTGACTTCATGGAGGCCTACGAGCGACTGGGCCACATGAGACGAATGACCCCGAGCGAGACGTCAGCAGCTGTCGTTCCGGCCAACTACATTCCTCACCACGGCATCTGGCAACAGAGCGATGCGGGGGCGAAACTGCGAGTAGTGTTTGATGCCTCAAGGCCCACATCAAACGGAGCAAGCTTGAACGATGTGCTCTGTCGAGGTCCGAAGTTGCAGCGTGACATCTGGGTCGTCTTACTGAGGTGGCGAACTTATAAGGTCGCTTTCTGCTCGGATATCCGCATGATGTTCCGGCAGATCAAGGTCAACAAGCTCGACGTCGATTGGCAGCGCATTCTCTGGAGCCCGAACAGCAGGGAGCCGGCGCGTCACTTTCAACTTCTCACAGTGACGTACGGCACAGCGTGCGCCCCCTACCTGTCACTGCGCACCCTGCAGCAGCTGTGCGACGACGAAGGTGACAAGTATCCGAGGGCCAGAACAGCCGCGCTGAGAGACCGCTATGTGGACGATGTGCTGTCCGGAGCCGATGATGTGGAGAACGCCTTGACACTGAGGGACGAGCTCATTCAGCTGATGAAGGCGGGCGGCTTTCCCTTGGGTAAATGGGTGGCCAACCACCCTCGGCTGTTGGAGGACCTGGACGCCGACGACCGTCTTCGACCAGCTTGGATTACCTTCACTAAGGATGAGCCCGTGAAGGAACTGGGCGTCCGCTGGAGCCCTCAGCAGGACACTCTCGGCCTGAGCTTCCCGACCGATCGAGCTGGCTGCCTCTGCAAGCGCGTGGTACTATCGGAGCTAGCCACGCTGTTCGATCCGTGCGGTTGGGTGGCACCGGCTACGCTGCTCGCAAAGATGCTCGTCCAAGACCTCTGGAGAGCGCGTCTTGATTGGGACGAGGAACTGCCGGCCTCGATGGCGCGTCGTTGGAAGGAGATTCGAAGTAGCTTCTCTGCGGTAGAGAGACTCTCTGTTCCTCGTTGGCTTGGTACGACGTCGACAACGACTGACTTGAGTATCCACGTCTTCGCCGATGCAAGCCGACGTGCCATGGCCGCGGTGGCTTACTCGAGGGTCGGTCCCGTCGATCAGGAGTCCATCACGAGGTTGTTAGTAGCGAAGACCAAGCTCAGTCCAATTCGCAGTTTACGTCCACCATCAACTGCTGTACCTCGAATGACGATCCCGCGCCTCGAGCTGCGAGCCGCTCTGATCGCCGCCAGACTGCTACACACCATCTGCGAGGAGCTCAGTGTGGACATTCATAGCTGCTGCGCCTGGTCTGACTCTCGCATTGCCTTGCATTGGATCGGCTCTGAGGAACCGACAGGGAACTCTGTGGTGGACAGTTATGTCCACCAAATTCAGGAACTCGTGCCAGGCAGTCTGTGGCGTCATGTGCCGTCAGCCGAGAACCCCGCAGACGTGGCGTCAAGGGGCGCTAGTCTCGAACAGCTCCTGGATCGTAGCTGCTGGATCTCCGGTCCTGGCTGGCTGTCGCGACCGTCGTCAATGTGGCCTTCAACCGAGCGAGCATTGGAGCCGCCAGCCAGCCCACCTGTCGCTGCTCAATGTCTACAGATCAGCGCCGAAGATCGCACGGAGCGAAGCCACATTTCGCTTTTCTCTGACTTGAACCGTTTGCTCGACTTCATGGTGCGACTCCGCCGCTGGATGAGATCACGACTCAGACGCTTGCCCGTCGCACCAGTCCTTCAAGCTCTGACACCAATAGAGCTGAGTGAGGCTTATGAGGCTTGCGTTCGAGAGAGCCAGAAACGCAGTTATCCTGAGGATATCGCGGCGTTGTCGAGAAACCGCCCTGTTCCTGCGAGGGGGCCGCTGGCAGCGCTCAATCCATTTGTGTGTCCGAATGGTGTCCTCCGCGTTGGCGGGCGGCTGCAACATTCGTCGCTGTCATTCGAGCAGAAGCATCCACCGATTCTTGACGCCTCATCTCCTCTCGCTGGACTAGTGATAGCTTGGGCCCACCAGCGAGCGAAGCACGGGGGCTTCCGAGCGACGTATGTGCACGTACTCCAGCGCGCTTGGCTGATTCACGGAGCCCGTCACATTCGACGCTACGTGAAGCAATGTGTCACCTGCGTCGCAAGCCGAGCACGACCGGCTACCCAACTCATGGCAGCCCTGCCTCAAGAGCGCGTCTCACCTAGCCCTTCCGGTCGGTTGTTCCAGCGCACTGGTCTAGATTATGCCGGCCCGTTCATGATTCTCACGGCGAAGGAGAGTAAGAGAACAACCAAGGCCTGGGTGGCTGTCTTCGTTTGCCTGGCGTCGAAGTTGATTCACCTCGAACTGGTCGGCGACTTGACGACTGAGAGCTTGCTTGGGGCGCTCGAGCGATTTAGTGGTCGCCGCGGCCACCCCTCCGAAATTTGGAGTGATAATGCGACTCATTTCCACCGTGCTGACCTTGAGATCAGGGAAGCCTTCGCGAGGCAGAATGTCACCAATCGACTCGCTGAGCAAGGAACTCTATGGCGATTCATTCCCCCTGGCGCGCCGCACTTTGGAGGACTGTGGGAGGCGGCCGTGTGTTCCTTCAAAAAACACCTGAAGAGGACTATGGGACCGAGGCGATTGACCTACGAAGAGTTCTCGACCCTCCTCGTAGGTATCGAGGCGGTCTTGAATAGCAGACCCCTAGCGCCTGTGTCGAACGATCCAGAGGACTTGGACGTGTTGACTCCCGGCCATGGCGTTCTCGGTACTGCATTGACGACGATTGCGGCCCCTGCACCGGATGAAGAGGAAGAAGTAGACCTTGATTCGCTGAAGCACTGGAAGCTCGTCCAAGGCGTGCACGCTATCTTCTGGAAAAGATGGAGCAAGGAGTACCTGAACACCTTGCAGCAAAGAACCAAGTGGACAAGACGCCGGGCCTCCATCGACGTCGGGGACATGGTGCTGGTAGTCGATCCCTACCTTATTCAATCAAACGGGAAGTGGCCTCTGGGCAGGATCATTGGCGTCCATCCGGGTCGCGATGGTCTGGATCGCGTCGCCGTCGTGCGGACTGCTCGGGGAATCTACACTCGTCCCATCGTCCGGCTGGTGGCTCTCCCAATCAAGACAGCGCTTGAGGCTGGGCGCGAAGAAGTGCCAGACGCTGGTCCGGACTCATAAAGGGTCGTTCAAGAAACGAGGCGGGCGGTGTTCGTAAAAAATAGTCGTTACGTTTGTCATGTTATGTTTTATGTATTTATTATTCCGTTGTTCGTTATTATGTATTTTTTATGTTGTTGAGTTCTCCGTTTACTGTGACTCATGTGAATGTGATCGCGTTAGTTATTAAGTCCAATTGTATTACGCGCCATGCGATTGATATCAGAGCACACTTCATGCTTATCAGCTCGACTCCCCACTCTCATCTGTGAGAGCGACTACGCCGTACACGAGACACATGCTGCTGCGTCAGCTGCTATCCAGCAGTGTATTTCTGTGTGACCAAATATTATAAGAAAAAATAAAGAAACCGTCGTTTATCATAAAAAGTGCAGTGCCTTTTTTCTACCCTCTCGTGAAAATTCATTCAGACAGTAAGGTATACGATGCTCTCAAGTTCTCTCGCGTAATCGATCTTCGAAGTCATCACTGAATTAGAATTTTAAATTGATTAAAAATTTTGAGCGATATCATATAAACATTGTCCTTCTGTAAATCGGTAACTCATTCGTAAACAAAATAATTATAGACGATTTTGATATTGGACCTCAAATATTAATAACGTTTATAGTGAAAATTATTTAGTTTGAATGTCTTTCCTGATGAAATACGAGTCATAACACTTTTAGTTTCACTCATTAAAATTTCGTGGTATCAAATAGATGAAACCAATGTTTATTTAAGAAAAAAAAATGGATACAAGTGAGATGAAATCTGATAGAATTGTCTCAACAGATAATTTAAATGAACGAAAAGATTATGCATGTGACGAGTGCGATGAGACATTCGAGTTCCGAAGTCATTTGAGTAGGCACCAAATATCGGTACACAAAAACCGCAACGATTTTGCATGCGACATGTGTGACAAAAAATTTGTAAAACAATCGAGTTTGTTTACGCACCAAAAATTAGTGCATAAAGGTAACGAAGATTTCACGTGCAACAAGTGCGAGAGGAAATTTGAAAATAAATCAACTCTACTAAAGCACAAACAAATATTTCACGAAGTATTCAAAGATTATTTATGTGAAAAATGTGCGAAAAGATTTGGAAACAAAAAAAGTTTGCTCATACATATAAAGAAAATGCATGAGAGGCCCAAAGATTTTGCATACGACAAGTCGTATTTGCGCTTTCACCAAAAGACTGCAATTGACCATGACGTCAAAAAAAACTTATTTGACAATTACGGGAAGAAATTCGGATCTAAAAGTAGTTTGTTCTTGGAACAAAAACTAGTACATGAAGGTCGGAAAGTTTTTGCGTGTGACAAATGTGAGAATAAATTTGGACGAAAATCGAATTTGCTTGTGCACCAAAGGACAGTCCATGAAGGTCCCAAATATTACCGATGCAACAAATGTGAGAGAAAATTTGTATGTGAATTAGGTTTGTTGAAGCACCAAATAACAATTCACGAAGGCCGCAAAGATTATGCATGCAACCAATGCGAAAAGAAGTTTGGACAAAAGCCACATTTGCTTTCTCATCAAAGGACAGTTCACGAAGGTCGCAAAGATTTCACGTGCGACAAGTGTGAGAAGAAATTTGGGGAACGAGGCACTTTGATCAAACACCAAAAAACAGTTCACGAAGGTCGCAAAGATTACGCATGCGACAAATGCAAGAAGAAATTTGGGGATCCAAGCAATTTGAGAAAACATCAAAAGATAATCCACGAAGGTCGCAAAGATTTCACGTGTGATACATGTGAGAAGACATTCGGACAAAAAATGGTTTTGCTTGTCCACCAAAAGGCAGTACACGAACGTATCAAAGATCACGCATGCAACCAATGCAAGAAGAAGTTTGGACAAAAGTCACATTTGCTCTCCCATCAAAGGACAGTTCATGAAGGTCGCAAAGATTACCGATGCGACAAATGCGATAAGAAATTTGGGGAACAAAGCAATTTGCTCAGACATCAAAGGGCAATACACGAAGGTCGCAAAGATTTCGCATGTGATAATTGCGAGAGAAAATTTAGACAAAAAGGAAATTTGCTCGAGCACCAAAAAACAGTCCATGATGGTTGTAAAGATTTCTTATGTGCCGATTGAGGGAAGAATTACGGACGTAGAGAGCATTTGTATATCCACCAAAAGATAGTACACGAAGGTCGCAAAGATTTTGCGTGTGACAAGTGCGAAAAGAAATTTGGATATAAATGTAATTTGCTCACCCACCTAAAGACAGTCCACGAAACCCGGAAAGACTATACGTGCGATAAGTGTGAAAAGAAATTTGGACACAAATCAACTTTGCTCTGCCACCAAAGGACGGTCCACGAAGGTCGTAAAGATTACTCATGCGACAATTGCGAAAAAATTTTCGCGACGTAAGGAGTTTAATCAGACACCAAAAATTAATTCATAAAGGTCAAAAGATCACGAATGCGACAAGTGCGAGCGTAAATTTAGAAAAAAATTAGATATGTTTGAGCAGCAAAGGACTGTACAAGAGGATTGTAAAGATTACTAATGTAAAGAGTACCAAAAGGTATTTGGACTTAAAGAGAATTTGTTTAGGCACCGAAAGACAGTCCACAAAGATCAGTAAAATGCCATACGTGAAAAATATGAGAAGAAATTGACGGATCAATCCAGAAGTAATTTGATTATGAATGCTAAAAATCAGTCCATGAAGATCGTTATAATATCACGTGCGAAAGTGAGCGAAGTAATCATGTACTAAGTCGAATTCGAGCCAATATCGAAAAATAGTTTATAAAATTCACTGCATAAGAATGTGCAAAAATATGTACAATATTAAAATTAATTTGACCGATCATAAACGATTTGTTCATGAAAAATATGGATACTTTCGATCTTAACAAAACGTGCCTACTTACTCATAGAATTAGAATTTTAGGACGTAATTCTTGAATGTATAAATATTAGAAACAAATTCTTTTTCATTCATTATGAGAAATTTATAGTAGCAAAAATTAGTTTTAAACAAAGCTATTTGTTGTAGATAATTTTTATTCACGTTCATCGGTTACTTTTCGATAATAAATTTTTCGATGCACATTATGAATTCTCTTGTGCCAAAGTACAAGAGTACGTAAACGCTCATATAAATGTTTTTCGATGTATCATTGTTTTTAAAATTTACAATACTTGAATTGTAAAATATTCAATTTTATACATAAGTTATTAATAATTTGATGCCAACCAGCATCATTAATCAAATATGCCTAGTGGTTTATTTTTGACATATCGACAGTTAAGTATACGATGCTCTCAAGTTCTCTCGCGTAATCGATCTTCGAAGTCATCACCGAATTAGAATTTCAAATTGGTTGAAAATTTTGAGTGATAATGTATAAGCAGTGTCCTTCTATGAATCGGCTACTCATTTGTAAACAATATAATTATAAACGATTTTGATATCGTGCCTGACTCATACTGATAATGTTTATTATAAAAATAATTTAGTTTGAATGTCTTTCCCGATGAAAAACGAGTCATAACACTATTAGTTTCCCTCATTGAAATTCCGTGGTATCAAATAGAGGAATTCAACGTTTATTTTAGAAAACAAAATGGATGAAAGTGAAAAGATATCAGAGGAAGTTGTCTCGGAAAATAATGTAAGTGAACATGACATTGTTGTTTCGAACGAAAAACAATACGTTTGTGATATTTGTCAGGAGGTATTTATTCTAGAATCAAGTATGATAATGCACCGAGATGCTATTCACAATAAAGAGAAAAATTACGCATGCGACAAGTGCGAAAAGAAATTTGAGTTCCGAAGTCACTTGAATCGACACCAAATATCAGAACACAAAGGCCGTAATAATTTTGCATGTGACCAATGTGAGAAGAAATTTGTGAAAAAATCCAGTTTGTTTACGCACCAAAAATTGGCACATAAAAATCGAGACGATTTCTCATGCAACAAATGCAAGAGGAAATTTGAAAATAAATCAACTTTACTCAATCACAACAAAATTTTCCACGAAGTCTTTAAAGATTATTTATGCGAAAAATGCGCGAAGAGATTTGGAAACAAAAAAAGTTTGCTCATACATATAAAGAAAGTGCACGAGAGTCCTAAAGATTTTTCATACGACAAGTCGTACTTACGCTTTCACCAAAAGACCGCACGTAACGTCAAAAAAAACTTATTTGACAATTGCGGGAAGAAATTTGGATCTGAAAGTAGTTTGTTCTTGCAACCAAAACTAGTACAAGAAGGTGACAAATGTGAGAAGAAATTTGGACAAAAATCGAATTGGCTAACCCCCTTGAAGACAGTCCATGAAGGTCATAAAGATTTCGCATGCGACAAATGCGATAAGAAATTTAGGGATCCAAGCAATATGAGAAAACACCAAAGGACAGTCCATGATGGTCGAAAAGATTACACATGCGACAAATGTGAGAAGAAATTTGGACAAAAATCGAATTTGCTAACCCACTTGAATACAGTCCATGATGGTCGAAAAGATTACACATGCGACAAATGTGAGAAGAAATTTGGACAAAAATCGAATTTGCTAACCCACTTGAAGACAGTCCATGAAGGTCATAAAGACTTCGCATGCAACAAGTGTGAACAGAAATTCACACAAAAACACAGTTTGCTCGTCCACCTAATGACAGTTCATGATGGTCGAAAAGACTACTCATGTGAAAAGTGCGAAAAAAAATTTGGGAAAAAATCGAAATTGATCAGTCACACAAAAACAGTACATGATGGTCGCAAAGATTACCCATGCATTAAATGCGAGAAGAAGTTTGGACAAATGCCACATTTGCTTTCCCATCAAAGGGCAGTTCACGAAGGTCGCAAGGATTATGCATGCGACAAGTGTGAGAAGAAATTTGGGGAACGAGGCACTTTGAACAAACACCAAAAAACAGTTCACGAAGGTCGCAAAGATTACTCATGTGACAAGTGCGAAAAGAAATTTGGGCAAAAATGGATTATGATTCAGCACCGAAGGACAGTGCACGAAGGTCGCAAGGATTTCATGTGTGACAAGTGTGAGAAGAAATTTGGTCGCAAATCGCATTTGATCATACACCAAAAAACAAAACACGAAGGTTGCAAAGATTTTGCATGCGACAAGTGCGAGAAAAAATTCGGACAGATATCGAATTTACTTTCGCACCAAAAAACAGTCCATGAAGGTCGAAAAGATTACGCATGCAACCAATGCGAGAAGAAGTTTGGACAAATACCACATTTGCTTTCCCATCAAAGGACAGTTCATGAAGGTCGCAAAGATTACGCATGTGACAAGTGCGAGAGGAAATTTGGAGAAAAATCGAACCTGACTAGACACCAAAGGGCAGTGCACGGGGGTCATAAAGATCACGAATGCGAAGATTGCGAGAGGAAATTTGGAAATAATTCCCATTTGCTGAGACACCAAAGGACAGTACACAAAGGTCGCAAAGACTATGCGCGCGATAAGTGCGAGAAGATATGTGGAATTGAATCAAATTTGTTGAATCACCAAAGAATCGTACATAAAGGTCGTGAAGAATACCTATGGGACAAAGATAATTAAAATTTCGCACGCAAAAAAGACAAAAAGAAGTAATTTGATTGAAAGCCAAAAATCAGTCAATGAAGATCATAACAATTTTATGTGCGGCAGCGAAGTAATTATGTACTACGTCTAATTCGAGCCAATATCGAAAAACAGTTTATAAAATTGACTGCATGTTAATGTGCCAAAATATGTACAATATTAAAATTAATTTGATAAAATTAATTTCAAATTAATATGAACGATTTATTCACGAAAAATGTCGATACTTACTCATAGAATTCGAATTTTAGGACGTGATTCTTGAATGTATAAGTAGTAGAAAGAAACTCTCCTTCACGTTAATATTTTAATAAGAATTACATTTATTTTCATCTAAAAAAAGTACATTTTTTAATGGTCTTTCAATTTTGAGTGTGAGTTATGTATAAATGTATAAATGTATGAATGTACTCAAAGTCGTCTGATTCATTACAATTATTCACGACTATCTGCGACTATGTTTCGAGTAACAAAAATTATTTTTAAGCTATAAACTGGGTTTCAAGTATTTTTCGATCATGCGCAAAAAACAGCAAACCCACTTGTTAAAAGTAATTGTTATTCATACGTTCGTCGGGTGCTTTTCGATAGCAAATAAGAAAACGTAGCACAAGCGCCCATGAATATTTTTCGAGTCCTTAAACTATATATCCCCATTCCTGCGATACTTCGCACTTTGCCATACAGCAATCGTATAAAAAAATTACACGATCCTCTCGAGCTCTCTCGCGTAGTCGATCTTGAGTGCGGCGAACTCGGCGCTGGGCAGCTGCTCGGCCGCCTCGGCCCTCCTCTTGTCCCTCTTCGCCGAGAAGTGAAAGCAGCCGTCCGGCTCGAGACGCCAGTCCAAATCCGGCGCCGCCTCGACCAGCTCGAGGGTCGCCCTGCCCGAGTCGAGATTCAGCATCCTCGTGGCGTCCTGCAGCGAGATCTTGTCGCAAGCCGCCTCCAGGCAAGCGCCGATCTCTCGTCTCACCGTGCCGAGCAGCTGATCGACGAAGAAGCCGTAGCTCTCCGCGGGTACGTTGTGCCTCGCGAGAAATATCTTGTTGTACGAGCCCTCCATGAGGTACTGCTCGAGGCTGAGGGGCACGCGCAGATAGACGTCCTGCTGGCACTGGCCGATCGGAAGCAGCTCCAGCTCCGTGTGAAACTCGGCGACGCGATTCTGCGACAGCAGATGGAGGAGATTGAGGCCGAGAAGCTGGTACTGGTAGGCCGAGGCGGGCAGCGCCGAGGCGTAATCGTAGTAGTAGACTTTGAGCAGCGACATGTAGCGCTCGAAGGAGGCCACGTCCTTGGTGGCGATGCTCCACTCGGCTCCGATCTCGAGCACGTTGCCTGTGTCGATTATCGCACGCGTCATTTTAATTGATTAATTTTGAATGATGTTGGCGAGACTTACGGGCGATCAGTAGCTGTCGATTCGTGGCTTCGATATCATCGATTGGCAAGAAGTTCAACGATGTAAGGGCAACCTGTCGGATAAAAAGTATATGGATTTTAAAGTTGATTTTCAAGTTGTAAGCTTTACGAATTTATAATATTGTACTGTGCCAAATCCTGTAAATTAAAAAATATGAAAAGCAAATGCAAAATTATAGTATTTCCTAGTCTTTTTACATTAAAAGATATGTCTACCTGTGACTCTGATACCAAAGTCCAGTGCTGTATGAATCCAAGTGCAATTTTTGAACAATCTTGATAATTGAGATTTTAAAATTTTTGTTATATTTTTTATCATTCACTTTTATAGAATTTCAAGAGGACAGAAAGATAGGTTTCTTTTCAACATTTATTGCTAGATTTTTAGAATGGTAGATCGAATAAGTAATATATTCAAAAATATTTTTCACTCAAGTAGAAACTAATGTCATTACAAAGCATTTGAGACACCAAGGAGCCGAATTGGTAAACAATTTTATTTATATTCACGCAGCACAGGACTTTAGAATCATCGTAAGTTATTATAGATGCATACTAGATTAATTTAAATAATAAAAGGAACTAGAGACATGTCTTCTTATGTAAAAAGACTAGTAAAAATATAATTTTACGTCAAAAACAAAAAATTTCAATATTAACATTAAATTTTTACACTTTTATGTAACATTGACTTTATTATAACACATCCCCTCACGAAATATACACTCAATGCATTGAATCTCACCTTCAACTGCGTCAATAATTCGCCGCATTTGTTCAAATTTCTACGCTTGCTCTTCCACTCCTGCTCCAAGTTCTTGTAAAGCGACAGATAAATTTCGGGCACTTCGTCGCTCATAGCTCTGTTTTATTTTTGCAGCTTACAAACTTGGCAATAACGACGAGCCCCCTGAGAAAACAAGTAAACTTAACCCTTCGAACGTCAAAAGTTTCGACGTCGGCTGCTACGATACCGCTAAAGGGGCTGATTGACGCGCGGAGGGGTGGGTGGGTGGCAAAAAATGCGCAGGCGTCGCTAGGCTTCATTTTCATGAAATTGTTTTATTCCAAGACGAACGTTATATCTATATGTATTTACATAAAACGTATATTACAGGCCAAAAACTTAAACAATAAAAATCTGTACGCATTTTATTCTATATTAAACCAAAAAAAAATAAAATTCGCTCTTCACCCGCAATTCGGAATAATTCATCGATACGGAAGCGTGGCTATGGTACATCGGATAAACCATCGTTTTTTTCCTGGACAAAACAAAAAAGATGCATAGGAAAATTCCTGTTGATTGACTTTGTGATTTGTAATATGCGTTCACTTACGGAAAATATACACCTTCATCATCGACGATGCCTCAAATAAGCGTCCTGCTCGAGCCAATTTGGATCAATATCTAGTAGATCTGTAACGTGGTAAAAAAAAATAATAATAATAATAATAAAACATAAACGAAACGAGAATCGTGTGTGCATTTCTATATATATTACTTCTGCCGATTTGATTCAATCCAGCCGCATCCTTGACGGGATGAATTTTGTACTTTCTCTTCGAGTTCAGTCGCTCATCTAGCAATTCAGTTGAATCAGGCGAAGCAGCTGAAAAAAAAGAAGAGGAGATTCAAAGGGGAGGGGTTGAAAAAATCGTTTCGATTATTTTATTTTTACGTTTTTTACTATCTGCATCATCGTCTTTTAATGATTCCGGTGTGTAAGGAGCGAAACTTTGATGACAAACAAACTTGTCAACGTCGGACGGGTTACCGTCATTGTACATATTTTCCCATTTAGCTAATTCCTCATCGATGTTATCGTGCCGAATTTCCGGCAAATCGGTTTGACATCTGCCGGTTGACTTTGAAGGTCTGCGAAAGACAATGAAAAACAAATAAAGTATCGTATACGGGTGCACACTTGAAATATAGCCCGAAAAAGACTCACTCATAATTATAACTGGAATATCTCATGCTTAATAATGAACGTTCAGGTAGCTGCCACGGCTCAATGTTTAGTATACTCTCATCGATGATAGTTATGAGATTTGCATCTTCCTCTGTTCCAAAAAAAGTCAATCAAAAATCGGTATCAAAAATTTCTTTGCAGTTTTTCTGTACGTGAGAAATTTCAAAAAAGTTTTGAGTTGTGAAGGTAAAAAATATTTGTTTGTACGCGGGTACTGGAAATTGGAAGTTATTTTCAGGAGTCTTACGGTTAAGGAAAAATGATAGTATATCGAAAAATTTGATAGTTATTGGCTATATAAAGATAATTGAACCTCTAGACGACAAAAATCATCATGAAAAATTTGGAAAAAATTTGAGGATATTCTTTGTACACTTTGTGCAGTACCAATACATATTTTTTTTTGAAAATCAAAAGCTATCGAGTAAAATAATACTAAATAGTTTTTTACGTCAACGCTTGATATAAATAAACAATTAATAATTAATAATTTAAAACTATCAAATTTAGAAGAAAATTATCTCAGAGAATTTCCTAAAATTTTTTCAATAACGAAAATTATTTTTTTCAAATGATTTCCACGAGTTTTTATAAAATCTTTAAAACACTTTTGTACACTATCATCAAGTTTTTAATTTAAACGCAAAAACAACTGCTTTTCTAATCAGACAAAACGTTAAAAAAGTTACTTAACTTTTGTGAAAATGTTAATGAACTTTTATAAAATCTTTAAAATACTTTTGTACATTACCATCCAGTTTTTAATTTAAACACAAAACCAGCTGAAGTTTCTACTCACATCTAACATTTGAAAAAATAATCGTGGTCTTTAAAGGTTCAAGTCTTTACGCAGTCAATATCCTATCAAACTTTCTGATGTACGTTTCACCTCTACAACTCGAGACTTTTTTTTTCCTCAGATTGTTCATATATTTATAATAAAAAACGCGTAATACCGGCCAATCTCTCGAGATCGTCGGTGGTTTCCTCGAACACCGGATCTCTCTTTCTCTTGCGGCCGCTGGTCCTGGGCGCCACCGGCCGATACGTGAACGGCACGGCTTGGCTGACCGCGCCGTCGCTCGGCCTGCGCAGCTGCACCGTGACCTGGCGCGGCTCCTCGATGCCCGGGTCGCAGTAGGTCGGCACCTTGAACAGCAGGGCGCACCTGTTCCAGACGCCCGGCGAGCAGAGGCGCGCCTCGCACTTCCAGCCCGACTCCGCGTCGTGGAACACGACCTTGATGTCGTCCCGGTCGAGCCTCTTGCACAGCACGCACATCTCCGTGCCGCCGATCACGGAGTCGCTCGCGTGGCTCGCGAACTGTATCGAGATGTCGTTTTCCGCGCCTACGTTTGCGACGGGGGGGTGGGAGGCAGAGAAAGAAAATGATTAAGAATGATTTTTAATTGCGAACGATGGGATTGGGGGCGACTTCTTGGCTTACTGGTATCCAAAATCGGTTCGGAAATGACGGGATCCAGCATTACGTCGAACTTCTGCGTTACTTTGTTCTTCAGGAAGACTTGAAAGCACATCCTCACGCATCCGAGATCTATCTTCGAAGTCTCGCTCGCGTGTTCATAACCAGCTGTCAAAAACACAAGTCGTTTACTATTTTTTTTTACATAATATATTATAAATTGTTGAAAATTTTAATATACTTTTATAAATTTGCATAAACGATTGGATTTCGTACACATAAAAATTGATAACAGATTATAAAAGTTTTAATTAGTAATTAATTATACATTTTTATGAACTCAAAACCAATTGATAATTTTTAATCAGATATAGCTTTCAAAAAATGATGTAACTTTATTTTAAATTAAAAACTTCATGATAGTGTACAAAAGTGTTTTAAAGATTTTACAAAAGTTCTTAAAGTTACATATTTTTAGATTAAATTAAAAATTTCAGCTGTTTTTGAGTTTATTTTAAATTAAAAACTTCATGACAGTGTACAAAAGTATTTTAAAGATTTTACAAAAGTTCTTAAACTCAAAAACAGCTGAAATTTTTAATCAGATGAAACATTTAGAAATGAGTAAATGCATTATACATTCTTGAGCTTTCATAAAATCTTTATAAAACTTTCGTAGATTATCATCAAGTTTTTAATTTAAACGAAAAAACAGCTAAATTTCTAATCAGGTATAAAATTAGTAAAACCATTGTAAATCTTTATGAACATGTGACATTTATCTAACATTCCTAAACTTTTTTGAACCTTTATATAGTCTCTAAACCTCTATTGTACAGTTCTAAACAGTTTTTGATTTAGCCAAAAATGTATACAATCTTTCAATCTTTGAAAAAACTGTAGAATCTTTATAGGATCAAGCTTATTAAAGTTACCATTATAATTTTTTTTGACTCATGAATAGATGACATTTCTCGTCCGATTGAGCATTCAAATTTTTTCAAACTTTCATATAAGCTTTAAATAATTTGTTTAAACTTTTACCTAATTGTCAATCTCTCAAATCTCAAACAAAAGTATCGTATCCCCCCGAGCACTCACTTTGAAACGGATCAACCTTGGCCTTCTTCCTGATCTCCAGCTCGGCGGCCACGTCTCTCTCGTCGACGCGCTGAATGGCCAAATTTTTAAACACCACCTTCATCGTGTCACCCTCGCCGTCTCGACTGTCGATCTCGCTCAGATAGACGCCGTTCTGGCACTTGCTGTCGGCGGCGCCGCGCAGCCTCGCGAGCCTGTTCGGGTGCGGATAATAGGGCGCCTGCTCGGTCACCAGCGAGACCAGGACGAGGCCCGGCCCGCGGCAATTCAGCACGCGCAGACTCGGATAGGACTTTTTCTCGCCGGGTCGGCCGAGGCTGCGCGCGCCGAGCAGCGGAGTCGCGGCCTGGCCGCCCTGCGCCCGACGATCGTATCTCACTTTGCCGCAGGGCTGCTCGTCGATCACCACCTTGACTTTGTTCGCGTTGATGAAGTCCCTCGGCGCCAGGGACCTCGTGCAGACTCGCTTTATCTCTTGGCTGCTCATGCTGTGTGATGTGGCTTGCTTATTCTTCTTTTTTTATTTTATATATATATAATACAAACGAGAGAGAAAAAATAGTACGTATACGCAAAATTCCCTAATGTAACGTAAATTAATGTTAAATGTACCGTGCCCGATAACGCGTATATTTAATGTTGACACCCGAGTGAATGTTTATGGAGCGCCTGACCAAAGATGTTTGATATTGGTCATTATTGTTCTGACAATTCGCTACTGTCATTGTTATTATTGTTATTGTGTGTATATATGTGTGTGACTCGTATAATGGCTCGTCATTCTCGGATTTTGAAAAAAAAAAAAACACTTTTTATTCATTTCATTGTATAAGTATATAAATATGTATATTTAAAAATATTCATTTACAATCGATAAAAATCTAAAATGGCACGATAATACATAATAAAAATGTACAAAATTATAAAAAAAAAATCTATATCAATCACATTTCTCCAGCTCCTCGAGCTTCACACGGTTCTTCTCGAGCACCTCGAGCACCAGGCCCTTGTGCATCGCCCTGAAGTGCTTCCTGATCACGCTCCTCGCCGAGAACGCCTTGCAGCAGACCGGACAGACGTGCGGCTTCAGGCCGTAGTGCACCACGTCCACGTGATGATTCAGATGGGCCTTTTGCCCGTACGTGCGGCCGCACCGATCGCAGGCGTAGGGCCTCATGCCGCGATGACGCACGTTCACGTGCTTCCTGAGATCGCCGATCTGGCCGAAGGCCCTGTCGCACTCGCGACACTCGTGGGCCTTGGTGCCGAGGTGCACCGTGGCCAGGTGCACGCGCAGATGGGGCTTCTTGCCGAAGCGCTTGCCGCAGTCGGCGCACTCGAACCGCTTGATGCCCAGGTGCGCCGTGTCCACGTGCGAGCGATACAGGCTGGCCTGCAAGAAGGCCTTGGGGCAGAGCTCGCACCGGTACGGTTTGAGGCCACGGTGCACCTGGAGCGTGTGACGCTTGAGGCTGAGCTTGAGACCGAAGGCCTTGCCGCACTCCGAGCACTCGTACGGCTTCAGGCCCAGATGGTGCGCCTCGACGTGCTGCTTCAGCTGGTGACGCCTGCTGAAGGTCTTGTCGCAGCGCCGACAGGCGAACGGCTTGATGCCCTCGTGCACGCTCCTGAAGTGCGCCTCGAGCGCCTTCTGCTCGGGGAAGACGTTCTCGCATATGGAGCACCGATAGGTCTCGAGTTTGCTGTGCGCTCTGCGCACATGCTCTTTCAGCTTGGACTTGAGAATGTACTTTTTGTCGCACTCGTTGCAGCTGTAGAATTCACCCAGTACGATGACTTTGTCGTCGATACTTTGACTCTGTATATCGTTAATTTTTACAACGGTAGTGTTAGTTTTTGTACAGTTAGTTGTTACTTCATCTGTAATTTCAATGTCGTGCACTTTGTCAATGTGCAGCAAAAGTGTAGACTTTTTTTTGTACGCGTTCGGGCACAAGGTGCATTTGTGAGATCTAATATCTTGGTGTACCTCGAGAATGTGCCTTTTAAGGTCACACTTTTGTGTAAAAGTTTTGTGACACTGACTGCATGTAAAATTCCTGATTTTCTTGTGAACGCCATTGATGTGCCTGTCAAGTACTCTTTTCTTACCAAATGCTTTGCCGCACTCGTTGCACTTATAAGGTCGAAAACCATTATGCACTGCGTCTATGTGATTTTGAAAGTTTTTGCTGTTCACTAATTTTTGACATAAGCCACACTTTATGGGTTCATTATCATTGGTATTCGACTCGTTGAAGTAATCACTTTTATGAAATACAGGTGGTTCATAATCGTCGTCGTCGTCGACATCATTTAACACGTCCACAAATAATATATCTTGAATTTTTGGAATTTTTTCTTCATTCACCTTAACGTCGCCGTTTGAGTTATTATTGTTACAATTCAATGTGACCAATAAGTTTACATCCAGCTTAACATCTTCAGCTTTAAATTCTGACACAATTTCGACAGAATCTGATTCGTAATTGTCTGAAGCAGCTGCACAATTGCTGGAAGGTCCTGCAGGAATATCTACATTTATGCAAGGACCTGTTTGCGACACTTCGACCTGTAATTTTAAAAATAATTCATTACAGTTATGACAATATTGAAATTACTTTACAGCGATTTAAGACAAAAATACGACGGATTGTAAAATCGGCGTCGAGTTTGAAAGAATAAAGTTCGACTTACGTATTTATCAGGCACATCAGGTACTTTTAAGTAATAAGAATGATCTTTTTCTATTAACATCACTGGGATTGGGTCTTGTGTACTGAAAGAAATTTTATGTAAAATAAAATATAAAATTGTTAAATAAATTTAGCTAGGGTAGAAAATGTACTTACTGATCCGAGCAGTATCTGCTTGACTCGAGCTCCATTTTACACCTTTTTTCTCGGCCAACACCAAAATGCGGAAGCTCCGATCTGTAAAATACAATCGATCGTTTAAAATTCATTCGGAGGATGTAATTATTACGAAAAAAATATTTATGACTTTTAAAACGAAACAAGAGAAAAAAATAATTGACAATGTGTCACTCGCTAAAATATCTTATTTTTACAATTAACAATTAACACTTGGAGCAAAATTTAAACGAAACACTCACACTCGCCGTAAATAAATGCACAGGTTATGTCGAACATAACAATCGCGAATAATCAGGATCGCTAAAATGCTTTACAGAATTCATGGCGGAGTTATTTAAACACCCGACGAAACATTGGAGAATCGAAAAAAACTTCGTAGTGAAAAAAAAAAAAAATAAACGAGAAACAAGCTGTCGTTGATCGAACAAGCCGATGTTCGATCTCGACCGCATTTCAGCCTCGCTGATCGAGCAGACGGCGCGTAGTATCATGGTGTGCATACTGTTTAATTCTCTGAGTCACTACTTATACTTTGAAGTTTAGGTATCGACTTGCTCGAAGGTAAAACAAGTGTGCAAGTCAGCGTAAAATAGTCTAATCGTAGTGCAGCGACGACTGCGATAACTCGATATTGCACGAATGTAAATTGATTGAAAATAAAATGTATTGAATCGAAAGATCGTGCACTTGGCGCGCGAGTAGTACGACACAGCGCCCGTCGAGTTGCGACTGCGTCGAGCTTTTATACACAGTTGCTCGAGTCATGAGTCGAAAGGCATAATATATATTATACTAAGTATTAATATAAGTAAAAGATAAAGTAAAATTGAGTCAAGAATGATTCCTATTAAATCAAGATTTCAAGGGTAAGGTTTTTTAATTATTGATGATGATGATGATTTTTTCGTTTCGAAGGTCTACTGTTACTTTTAAGGTTAAGAAACCGATGAATCCTCTTTTTGAAACGGAAAAAAAATTGAAAACGACGTATACTGAACTTGATAGATAAAAAGAAATTGATCACGAGTAGGACACAAAATACAACACGATATTGTTTGATTAACTCACAGTCACTTTATGACACGATGTTCCGCACGTGCTTACTCCTTACCCCCAACGACTATATGACAGTGACAGCTCATAGTCTGAGACGACGCATTCGAGCAAGCCACGCTGTGTCATGAACATTTCTTTGAAAGCGGGGGGGGGGGGGNGGGGGGGGGGGGGGGGGGTGGTAGAAAGGAAAGTTCTTCGACGTACGAAATGAGAAGAAAAGTATTTTCATAAGAAAAATGTGTAGCCCTTGTCGGATTTATGATGCATATTAATTTAGAGCTTGCAGAGACGACTTTGGTGCTCAGACCGATTGGTTATCATATTTTTCATTTTTAGATTTAAAAAATTAAATAACATCACGAACGAATAAATACGGTACCTTGTTTCAATGAAGAAAATGACATTAATAATGACATTTTCTTCATCAATCCATTTAAATGCGATCTCGTGTCACCGCGCCGTCGTCGCGTCTGCCGGTCGACAATGCAGAAAGCGACAATAATCACTCGCGCTTCGCGGGTCAAAATTTGCCGGCTCAGCTGCGGCGCTGCGGCGCAAATCGTCGAGACTGTTCGAAAGTCTCGCTCTCTCTCTCTCTTTCTCTGTCTCGTTTTCTGTACTCGTGTGTTCTTCGAATCCACGCGTGTCTCTCTCGCCAGTCTCACACTGCTGTTGCGCTCTCAGCGGTATTCGACTAGCTTGAATAAAATCGTTCACTCTCTCGCACAAAATTCCGAAAGCAGAAACAACCATGGCTAAAGTAACTGGCGTAAGTTTTTCCTCCATTTCAAAAAATTTTTCTCTCGCTTATCGATACTGGACTGCGCTAAATTGTGCTATACGTTCCGCTGAATTTCCCTTCTGGAATCGGCGGCTTTGCTATCACTCTCCACGTGCATCACTGCGGCCGTATGATAATGGTGGTGTCGTGGTAAACGTACGGCGAGAAAACTGGTGAACGCAGCGAGTGCAAAAATTTATCCGCAATCTTTAGTGTCGATCGAAATCGTATGCTAAAATTTCATGCTTTATTTGGTTTTCTGTTTCGCACAGACTCTCTACACTTACCCGAAGAACTACCGTGCCTACAAGGCGCTCATCGCCGCGCAGTACTCGGGCGCCCATCTCGTCGTGCCCAGGGACTTCGTCTTCGGCGAGACCAACAAAAGCCAGGAATTCCTCAAGAAGTTCCCCCTTGGCAAGGTAAGAAAATTCTTCGCTTATTCAGCGAATTTTTGCTTCCTCCTTCGCTGTTTCTTTTTCTTTTTTTTTTTTTGCTTTACTCGTCTTTTTAGGTTACACACGGAGCCTCAAATAGCCGGCTACGAACATCACTCTTCCCCTTCTCTCTTCGCGTGTGTCTGTCTCTGTCCGTCTCTCGCGCTTTCCCTTCGCCGACGACGATTTTAAATATGTGTAAATCTGATTTTTAAATCTGCTCGTAACGGTAAATGTTTGCGTGATTTTGACTTTAGGTCGCTGTTGTCGACAATATTTTTGATGGTTTCGTAAAGTCATGAAATTGTGCAGAGACATTTAAACATCGTTACTTATTAGTACACATATGGTTTTGATCCGGTTGCGTATATTGAAAAAATGTGTTACTATATTAATTACCTTCAACCTCAAATATAGAAAAAATGAATCATTCTGATAGATTTTGATAAGTTAGCCATGTAACTAAAAAAATTTATGATTGTTGTCCACTTGTTACACACTGCCTCTTTAAAAGGCAATAATTAAGAACTCTCTTAATTGTTGTAACGAAAAGAGGTAAATTAAATTTCATTTACCTATAGCATATATATTTATTGCATATGCTTTAATCAAAGTGAAAACATTATGAATTTGAAAACATTATGAAACAAAAATCATATTTATATATTTCAATAAACTGATCATTTAATAAAAGAAAATACTACTCACTATTCATTATTTTCTAAATTCAACAGGTTCCAGCGTTAGAAACCTCCAAAGGCGATTACATCACTGAGAGCAATGCTATTGCTTACTATGGTAAATACTTTCATACTTTTTTTTAAATTCTTAATTTATTTATAATAAATTTATAATAATTTTACATAAATATAAATTTTCAGTTTCCAATAATGTGCTCAGAGGAGTTAATGATGTTGAACAAGCTGAAATTATCCAATGGATAAGCTTTGCTGATGCAGAGATTCAGCCAGCTAGCAGTGCATGGGTTTTCCCACTTTTGGGTATTATGCCCATGAACAAGCAGGTAAATGGATAACTTGCTTCAATTATGCAATACCTCTTTGAAATGCAATAATTGAGAATCTTCTTAATTGTTGTAAAAAAAAGAGGTAAATTGAACTTCATTTTTCTGCAAGATATTTAGCTATTACATGTGCTTTTTTCAAAATGAAAGATACTGAGTTCTCAGCAAGATATTTTTACGAAATTTTTATACAAAAAACTATTTCAATTAATAAATACATGAAAAAATTTTCTAGAATGTTGAAGCTGCTAAAGAAGATGTCAAGAGAGCACTGACTGTCTTGGACAAACATTTGACTTCCAAGACTTACTTGGTTGGAGAAAGAGTTACTTTGGCTGATATCTGTGTTGCCATGACTCTTTTGTACTTGTACCAATACATTTTGGAACCTAGTCTACGTGAATCCTACCCAAATCTCAACAGATGGTTCCAGACTTTCATGAATCAACCTCAAGTTTTGGCTGTTGTGCCAAATTTCAAACTGGCTGAGAAAACTTTGGAATTCGACCCCAAGAAGTACGCTGAATTGCAAGGAAAGGTATGTCATTCAAAATTTTCAGTTTTTAAACAAAAATAATTTTAGGAATTTAACTAACAATCATTTATATTAGGTATCTGGCAAGAAAGAAAAGAAAGAAAAAGAGCCTAAAGAAAAGAAACCAAAAGAAGAGAAGCCAAAAGCAGCTGACAAGCCTACTATTGGATGGAAGTCAGAAGTTATGGATGCTGCTGAAGCTGCATTGGCTGCTGAGCCAAAATCTTCCAATCCCTTCGATAACATGCCCAAAGGTACCTTTGATATGGATGATTTCAAGCGATTCTACTCCAATGAAGATGAAGCTAAATCAATCCCTTACTTCTGGACCAAGTTTGATCCCCAAAACTACAGCATTTGGTTCTGTGAATACAAATACGCTGATGAACTTACCAAGACTTTCATGTCTTGCAATTTGATCAGTGGAATGTACCAGCGTTTGGACAAAATGAGGAAGGCTGCATTTGCCAGTGTATGTCTGTTTGGAACTGATAATGACAGCACCATCAGTGGTATCTGGGTATGGAGGGGTCAAGATCTTGCTTTTGAGGTTTGTATATGATTTTATGGCAACCAAGAACATTTTAGTAGATGTGTAATGTATCATTTGATTTTACAGCTGTGCCCCGATTGGCAAATAGATTATGAATCTTACAGTTGGACTAAGTTGGATGCCGCTGACCCAAAAACAAAAGACCTTGTAGCACAATACTTCAGCTGGACTGGTAAAGACAAAGACGGTCGCGACTTCAACCAAGGAAAAATCTTCAAATAGACATTTTTATGATAAACCGTTTTGAATAAATTAAAAATGGCAATAGCTAAAGATATTGTGAGATGCATTTTATCTGTGGTTTTCTTACAAGTGCTATGCTAAATTAATAACCACACGTTGCTTTTTGATCCATGTTTTCTTATGAAAATACAGTCAATTATTGATTATTTTCAATTTCTTTCTTAGAGAGAGTTGGATACATTTTTATAATTGATTAATTACATATGACTAGATTTTATGATAAATAAATGTGACTCATGGTTTTTAAAAAAAAAGTTTTTATTTCAAAATATTTTAACAATGACTTATCCAATAGATCAGAACTATGAAATTTTGCACCTAGAATTATTTACAACTATCTTTTGATCTAGAATCCTTTTTCATCCATCCATTTCTTGACCCATGCTACATGATCCCCTCTAACCGATATTGTACCATTCATTTCATTCACTTTGAGAGCTATTAAATCTTTTTTCTTAGTGTTCCTCTTGAGATAATCTTTTAAATGCTCTCCCATGAGCCAAATATCGCCATCAATATTTTTAATAACGGTTGTATGCCTGAGACTTCGTTCTTTGATTCTATAATAAACTGGCTGCATGTGGTTCTTAGTCCTACTTACAAAATAAGGTAGCTTCAATGCATCCTCTGTATATAAAAAAGAAAAACATGAAATTAGATATTATCAAAACGTTAGAAATGAATAAAGTGAATTTCTTTACTTTTGGGAGTAGTCCATCCAGATGGACTTGGCTCTGTAAATGATTTTGGCGTTGGAACCAATGCGAGTGGGATCAATCGTTCAACAAATTTCCATTCCGCTGGATCATTGGAGGTTTCGAATTTGGGAAGAGTACTTTGATCGAGCTCATCGTACATTACGCTCTGTTCCTGTTTATAATCGTCGGCATAATTTCTCTTTGGAGCCTGTAATTAATACAATGCATTTAATGTAATCACACAAATTTAAATTTCATTCTACACGAAACCCATCCCGAATAAGGAGTCACTCGCAAACAAAGTGGAAAAAATAACAATGACTTTTCAACAAACGAAAAAACTCGAACAACAATTGAAACTGCACTGCTTAACCATAACCTGCGCCAGTGTCATACCACTCGCGTTGATGTTTTTTTTTCAGTATCTCACCAAATTTATCGCCGCCAATGCGGTGAAACGATTCGTCCCGCCGACGACGACCGTCCTCGCAGCTCTGCTCAAAAACTGCAATGCTGCCATTTCGTCAATTCAGCGGAGATTTTTCAACCAACACCACACGTCTCGCGTAAACAACAATAACGGGGCAGAGCAGACAACCTTTTTCGGTTCACGCGAGTTACTGCGATTTCGGCCCGGCTGAAATAGACAGACAAGTGCTGCCACTTCGCGCGTGGAGTTGACTCTGCAATCGTGACACACTGAACGCCAGTTATCGTATAGGCAAAATAATAACAACAAACCGACAGAGACGTAGTCTCCAAGCTTATATTGCTCAGAAACGCGTTGTGCTGTATGCATTGAATTTTATGTAGGTATACGTAGATTTGTTGTTGTAAGCCGAACACTAGTGAATGGAAAAAAATCAAATTAGCAGTTTCATTAAAGAGCGTTTGCAAGATAAAAACACAAATATGAAAATCAAAGAAAATTACAGAATACAATTTTTTTTCAATTGATTTATTTGTACGATAAGAAAAATTGAACAAAACGAAATATTAAAAAATACATCAAAGTAAATGATGATCGCCATCACGAGCTATGAACCGTATAGCCTTTAAGCAAAACATGCAACTATGAATGAAAAAGAACCTTAATTATTCTTATAGCTATGCACTATACACTATACATCGTACAGCTTTTTTTGAGCTTTTCTACCCCTCACCGGTTTTTCGTTTTCACAATCCATTTCACTTTTTATTTCACTGTCCTTGTGACTTTGGCAAATATTACATAAATCTTCGTTCTTCAAATTTTCGATGATCATTTCACAGCAAAGTATGGGCAGTTGATAGTTCGTCAGCTCCAAGAAAGCATCCAGTGCCCAGCGCCGGAAAAATTCTCTCGATATTTTCTCGCACAGATACAAAGCACAAGGCCTCCTGTGCCTTGTAAGGAGCTTATTTAATTTTTTCGTGCACGCAAACTTGATGTATTCCTTTTTAGCGAGTAGTTTTTTCGTCTCTATGGGTCTTAGCCGGGTCAAGTCGTAGAGCGACAAGTCCGGTTTGATTATCATTATGTTTTTTGCTTTTTCTGCGAACCTCACGTCGTCGTACCAAGATTTATCGAGATCCACCGACTTCTCGAACAATCCGTACTCGGAGAACGACGACACTATCGTCAGGACGTCGTTTCGGTCCAGCTCATATCCTTTATCTTTGAGATGCTCGACGACTCGCAGAACGTTTGACACTAATTGCAATTTAGAGCAATCATACCCAATTCCATATACGTGCTTGAAGAGGCTCTTGGTGGGAAAAGAGAATTCAAACAAATCAGCGCCACGATCCAATAGAACATCGACCGCATCCAACGAGAGATGTGTCACGGCCAATTGAAGCGGTGTCTGGCCCAACTTGTCTCGAGCATCGACCTGAACCGTCTGCTGGACCTCGTCACAAGTCTTGAAGAATATCCGCAACAATTTAGGGCCACTTTGAACATTCTTGCAAATCAAGTGCAGAGGAGTCGAACCTTCCTGGTTGGCCGCATTCGGATCGGCGCGGTGTTTTAGCAGCAATTTTGGCACATCTAGCCGGCAGTTGAGCAGAGCAAAGTGCAGCGGTGTGTTACCCTCGTTGTCCCGGGCATCGACCTGTACAGGACGATTCAATGTGTCACTGATATCTAAAAACATCTTCACCAAGTCTTCATGAATCCATCCACGGCACATAATATGCAGAGGTGTCTTTCCTTTATCGTTGACCAAGTTCGGATTGGCGCCATTTCTTAAAAGTGTTTCAACCGCCTTCTTTCTGTCGTAACTCAGAGCCAAGTATAACGGTGTGTTACCCTCTTTGTCCCGGGCGTCGACCTGTATTGTCTGGCGTCTGTCTCTGCATATCTCAAAGAACATCTCCGTCAAACCGCCATCGGCGTCTATCTTGAAAATCAAGTGCAGAGGTGTCGATCCGTCCTTATTGGCCAAAGTCAGACTGGCGCCATTTCTCAACAGCAATTTAGCCACCTCCGTCTTATAGTTCTCCAGCGCCAAGTGAAGCGGCGAGTCACCTGTTTCTGGCGCGATGCAGTTGATATCCTGGCCGAGCTCGAGGAATTTCTTCACGACGTCGACACAGCCGTGCTTGCAGGCCATGTGAAAATGCGTTAATCCATCTTCGTCGACGTAATTCACGTCGAAACTGTCGTAAATTTTAAAAAGCTTACCGACCACGATATCCTTGCCAGGAAACCAACGTTTAGCCGAACAATGTATGGGTGTGGTGCGAAGTAACAAATGCTTGCAGTCTTCATCTTTGTAGCCGGTATTGATCACAAAGTCAACGAGTGTTTTTTGATCCCCTCCGTACGATTTAAAAGGCTCCGCGAGAAGCCAATCGATCTCGTCGGGAAGAAAAATGTCTCGGAGGTTAGGAAGTGGGCCCTGCCAATTAGTGATTAAGCTGCAAAATTTCCAGTAAAATTTACGTCGCTCATTTTCCATCTCCCAATTGACATTTTCTCGCATTCTCTTCAATGCGCTCAAACTGTCTTGATTTTCTTGTGCCATTGTTCTGAACACTCAATTTAACACGATATCGCTCAAAAATATATCTCACTTATTACAAAAATCACTATCTGCCGTCGACACGATCTTTCTTCGTTGCGTAGGTAGCGGCGTCGTAACTTGCACTGACTGTGCGATGCAGATTGATCCTACGGTTTGACCGCGTGACTCGCACGAACACGCACCGCTGCGACGCGAGCGAGTGGTAATGAAATTCGTTGAAGATCCCAAGGGTATTGTGGCGTTCATTACAGGCGTGTTTGTGTGTGGTTCATCGAGCTAACACGTTGCGAGGCGAATTCGATAGAGCAACATTTTCAGCTGGACACGAAAAAATTTCCTCTCGATTAAAGAGAAACATCCACGACGATTCGATTGTAACTAACCCCCGACTTGCAGCTCGATCCATCGGGTGACTGAGTTGTTTGAAGTTGACTCTTGTTCGAATAAAAATCATCGTCGAACGGCAAATTTAAAATTATAAATCTCGGTCACGGAATTTACTATGCGTTTTCGAAACTCTCGATCGATACGTTCTCAAAAACGGATGCCTTTAGGGTTGAATTGCATTTTTTTGTTTTGTCAATCATGATAAATATTCATTAATCACAATAATTTTTAACTGATTTATTAGGGATATATTGTGTTCCTGTTATTTTCGTAATTGAAAATTTTGAATATTATGTGAATATTGAACGTTTTGCTTAATATAAACATATTTTTGCAACTGAATAATTTAACTCCAGTTGATGTACCGCATTAACGATACCTGTTACTACAAGTGTTCATTTATTTATAGTACTTAAAAGTGAGATACTCCTGATGTTGCACCTGCTCGTGAACACAAAATATACATTCTGTGTATACATAACTGCGGATACGCTCAGTTACGTTCCCTTTTGGGAGCTGTGACGGCGACGACCTACGAGTTCGACACCTCTTCGCGAATTCCAATTTTTTTTTATTTCATTCATCGATCATCGGCGAAAAAAATTACCGTCGTCCGATGAAAACTACTCGTCGCGATTACGGCCAATTTATCGATCGAGTTTCGTCGCGTCTGACTATACCTAATCCGAAACTACTGATCCAACAAGACATTATCGAGTCGCTTTACGGTAAAAAATCATGATTCGTCGAAGACGAGGGCAGGTAAATTCGACAGTGAAGCTTCGGGTGACCGTCTTATGTTAGTCGTAATTTTCACCGAGGCGATCGTTTACGCTCACGACGACGCCGAAGTGAAGCTGCGTGGCGCGCGTCGAGTAGTCGATCGTAAATCCCATAGACGATTCTGTAGATCGCACAAGTGGTTTTAAAAAACTATACCTTTGTAAAATAGAATAAATGAAAAATTATCGAATTATAAGGATTATTTAATAAAACAGCAGGTGTTGGTAAATTGGGAATAAAAATAAAAAAAAAAAAGATTTTTTGATAATTTTTTAATAATTTTGGGTAAAATCTGGTCAAATAAATGTTTTAGTCTAAAATAATTAACTTCTATATAATATTATTACGACTGTGTTAATAAATGTTTTTGAAAAATCGATCAATCTCTACCATAAATGATTACACCAGTGTGGCACATTCACAATGCATTGCGCACTGTATCATGCAGGAATTCCCTATGTGCTTACTGTATAAATATTAAGCAGCGCTTACTGCATTACATAGTGCAGTTTGATTAAAACATTGTTTTTAATGCCAGATATGTCTCGGTATTAAAGACCTGCTACCATCCCGTTACAAATGCCCAAAGTTGGCACTTCTCTTAGAATGTTGACTTTTTCAAATATTTCAAAAATTTTTAACTCAATATTGAGTGACTGAAAGAAATGAGTTCTAGTGGTCGCTTAAACTTTTTTACTGGTGTTTTTAATCTACAAAATATCTAAACTTGTAGATGCATTCAGTAAAATTATGGAATTTAGTTATATTTTATTATTAAAGCTATGAGCGCTTGTATGCAGGACAGATGGAATCAATAATAATGAAATTCAAGTTCTTTTTAGAAATTTACATGTCTAAATGTCATAAATCAACCCAGACTTAAGAGCATTCGACAATGTATATTACAGAGATATCTGAATAAATCTATTTCGTATCATTGTACACAAAAGCATGTCGTTCACAAAAGCTTCCCTGATATACTATAGTCAGGAGTTTATGATGAGCGTATGAAACATTTCATTTACTCAATTGAAGACAAACTAAAAAAACCATTGCAATCAATTGGATTAGTAAGCAATCATAATTATCACTAACAAATAAATTTCCTTTTATTGAAAGTTAATAAGGATCAGAATAAACTGAATTTAGGGTTAATGTATTAATAGGTATATTGGACGTTTTATCTACCCATAATACCAAAATATAAGACCCTTACAACACCCAAGTACACCTAAACAATAACAAAATAGCCACTAATAAAACCCACAAGTAGCTAACAACTAAGGCAGTTCTAAAACATTAATAAAAAATTGAAGAAAATGTAAGAAAACAATAATTTCATCATTTTAAACTTTGACTTATCTGAAACTATATTCTAACAACATGCTCAATATCGGATAAATATCTTTTTAAATTAATTTCTTCTTCCAGAAGGATTTATTGATCCTATTTCATTTCAAAATTATAAATTTAGGAAGGTATAGCTATTACTGTCAGTTCGTTTATCATGATACATTTTTCGAACAACGCGTCGCCGTCTCCGCAAATAACGTCGACTGTGCAGAAGACTTTTTTCGAACGCGCGATTAGTCCAATTTTGGGCCGGCCGATATGCACACATAGACAAGTGCTGCCCCTTCGCTCGTGGAGTCGACTGTGAAGTGTGAAATCGTAACAATGATAATAACAGTCAACGGACAGAGACGAAGTTTTCGCCGACCTATATACGTAAATATCGTAAATGCAATCGAATCGTTATTGTTCGGAAAAAAGTGTTGTGCATCGGATTTAGCCTATCGAAGATCGTTGAAGGATCCAGAGTTATGAAGTCGCATTCGTTACTGGTATGTTTGTGTGCAGTTAATTGAGCAGACACGATCGAGAGCTGCAACTCGCATCCACGACGTTTTCAGGAAAACGAAACAATTTCCTCTCGATTAAAGAGAAACAATGATTCAAATCGATCGAACTAACCCCCCCCCCCCCCTGACTTGANCCCCCCCCTTGACTTGACTCGATGCATCGACGCCAACGTGTTGAACGCGGGAATAAAAAAAAAGACAATCGAGCATCGACTCGTGACTTCGAGTTTTCAGCGTTTGTCGTATAAGAAAACCCCAATTGCACGTTCTTAAATAGATATCAGTTTAGAACAGTAAATTTAAATTAAAAATGTTGTCGAGAATGTGTTCCTTCAAAAGTTTCAAGGCAGCATATTTTGTAATATCGTTACGTTACGCGTGTCTGTGCGTGTTCGGCGCTTGTCTCGACGCGTCAGTGCGTAACGCGACTTTTCTACTGATGGGCGCGGCAACGGATTATCGTCGTTTTCTTTTTGATAAATCCTTGTGACGACCAGTCAGGACGAATTTTCCGAGATAACGAATTTAACGTTGCTCGTCGTCGGTTGAGTTCTCGATCGTGTGCTGCCTTTTGTTTTGGTTCAATTTTTTTACATGACTTTCGAGCATGCCCAAACGAAGTCTCTTTTATAAAAATACCTTTCTCAGATCGATGACAATTTCAATAATGTTTTCAAATGCAACGTAACCCAACGTTTGAAAAAAAAACTATTTGAATCAAAGTTGAAAACCACTAAGAACGCAAACCAACCAAGTTTGGAATTGTTTCAATTTTTCAAAACAGGCAAGTTATCTTCAACCGAGAATTTTTCCGTTTCATGCTTCCATTTCAAAATGTTAAAAGAAAATCAAAATTTATTTTATAAGAATACTGTTAGTTAATACAAATTATTCTCCTTAAATAAATTCAATGCCCTTGGGCAATATTGCTAGTGCGCTTGAGAAGTTTTCTTGTTACTTATTGATTTTAAATTTATGTCGTGCATTTTTTTCAGCGTACATAAACAAATAGCTTAGTTTTCCATTTCTTTTCCAAATTATTATTATTATTATTTTAACAAATTGAGAAATGTACAGACGTCTTCTACGCGAAAATTGTTTTTTTATTTCACGAAAAATGTATAGTGATTTATAGGTTTTACTTAATTATCTTGGAGTGGCTGTGGACGCGCGTTCTCATAAATCGCAAGAGCTCTCTCGCACGCTTCTCTAAAGGCTAACGATCGAGCTTGATCCGGATCGTGGGTCACGGCTTTAACGGCTGCCATCCTTATTTTATTCGTAATGCTTCTCAATGTGCAATCGTAAAAATGCCGCTCCGCTTCGAGAGGTCCTCGGCGCTCGTGTCGCTCCGTTTCCGAGTCGTTCTCTATCTCCGATTCGCTTCCTCGCTCTACTACGTGCCGAATAAAATAGTCGAGCACATTTTCGCCGTCTCTCGGTTCGTCGCCTAGAAGACCCCAATCTATAGCGTTCGCTGGGATCGGTCTTGGCTGAACGAGCTGAGGATCGTTCAAATTGTTCAAGTCGCCGTTTACTCGCGGTTCGTTTTCAAGCGGTGGCAAGGCGGGTTGTAAACGCCTCTCAATGTCCGCCAACATTCTGTACACGTCGTACAAGTTCGCGTCCGACGAGTCTTCGTCGAGCATCGGGTTATAGGCTGGATCGTTTTTCTCGAGATCGATCTCTTCGATGGTCAACGGTTGATAGCCGTCGCTTTCTGGTTCGACGTCTTCGATCAGTACCAGGCCGCTATTATTACGGCTTTGAGCAGGTTCGTTCGTTTGAAAGGATCGTCGGCGGCGCTCGGGTGGTGGATTATCCCTCGCGGGATAGTCATCCTTTTCCGCATCCTTATCCTCGATCAATAATCTACCGCTACGTATTTGAATACTTGGATTATTTGTCGCGGCATCGCCGCCGTCCGTTTCCGATTCGCCTTCTTGAATCGATCGTCGGGCCCGGGGTAAATCATTCGTCTCGTCATTGACAAGGGAAGCATCTTCGAAGAATTACATAATTGTTTTAGATCTCGCGATGTAATTAGGAATAACGTGAAATTTACCTGAGTACCGTTCTTCGTTGGCCTCTTGCATTCCCCGGCGTTTTGCGGCCATTTTTATACCAAAAAAAAAAATTGAGCGAGCTTGAGGCTCTCGGTGAGAATAGATCAACGAGAGGAGAGCTACTGACTTTCGAATCGATGTAAACATCGATTCGAGCACTGGTCAAACGCGCGCGCGCGACTGTAAAATCGTAAACAATTTCCAACGTACTGGTATATATAGCGAGGAAAAAATATCGTTCGTTGTTCGCCGGCGTATCGACAATAGAGTTATATCAATTCTAGAGCGACAAACTTTTTTTTATTGCAATTTATTTCCGAAATGTCATTCGTTACTATTTGTATTTTTGAAAAACTTCAACTTTTTCATAACAAGAAAAAGAGACCAATTTTTTATACAGGATAACTTTTCAATGGTACGTGTCATGCTTATGTATTAGAGAACATGTTGTACTTATTTTAATAATGAAATAAACTGTAATGCAAATAGGTGTTGTTTATGATTATCAATTATTAGATAGTAGTGTTTTCAAAAAAAAATTTGATATAGATTCCATAAGATTTATGGAATAAAAAATTTAAAACAAATTTAGAGTTTTTTTCTACTGTGCAAAGACTGTGCAAGCGTCCAGCAATCATACAGCGCTTCGAAATTTGCCTGTACCTTAAAACATAATTTTTCGAATCATCTTAATCAATAATTTAAACAATCGTTATCCTATTGACTTCAAATTATAAGATATTATAAATTAAAATTCTAAAGTAGCATTAGTTCCTTCACGTGTATCTTAGAAATTTTAGTTTTCAAAACAGTTCATATTCTCAACACCAGATGTACCATTTGTATACCCACAAACGAAAAAAGATTGATTATAGGATATATTTCAGATTTCTGCAAACGATTTTTATAATTTCTACTCTTTTCTTATTTTAAATTATACTAAATTGTAATCGCCATAATTTTCAATGAAGTAATAACTATTATTTGAATAAAAAATCATTTGGCATTTGTTTGAACCAAAAACAAACTCTGTGAGTGTCATAATGATTAAACTCATTAACGAGTATGATATTGAAATTATGAAATTGACGATCGCAGCCTATCGATATACGCAGAGCAAGCAATTCATTCACTTATTCTCTCTAAAAAAATGTTTCCGTATGCTACGACTCCTTCGAAAATTCACAGCTATAACTGTACAATCGAGGCGCCGCGCGCAGCTTCGGCATCGTCGCGAGTTTCGGCCGCGCTACTCGTCGTCGTGAACGTAATTAATCGCCTCGGTAAAAATTACGACTAACTTAAGACGGTCACCCGAAGCTTCACTGTCAAATTTACCTGCCCTCGTCTTCGACGAATCATGATTTTTTACCGTAAAGCGACTCGATAATGTCTTGTTGGATCAGTAGTTTCGGATTAGGTATAGTCAGACGCGACGAAACTCGATCGATAAATTGGCCGTAATCGCGACGAGTAGTTTTCATCGGACGACGGTAATTTTTTTCGCCGATGATCGATGAATGAAATAAAAAAAAATTGGAATTCGCGAAGAGGTGTCGAACTCGTAGGTCGTCGCCGTCACAGCTCCCAAAAGGGAACGTAACTGAGCGTATCCGCAGTCATGTACACGGAATGTATATTTTGTGTTCACGAGCAGGTGCAACATCAGGTGTATCTCACTTTTAAGTACTAAATGAACACTTGTAGTAACAGGTATCGTTACGGTGATACAGACACTGGAGTTGAATTATTCAATTGCAAGAAATTTGAGTGTTGCAAATATTTTTTAATGGCTTATAAAATCTGTAAAACAGCATTATGAACGTATTTAGTGATATCATTGCTTTCAGCATTTAAAAATTGAAATTAAATCAATTATTTTCATAATATACTATTTAGTTAATTACTAAAATAAAGAAAAAACTATATCCTTAACAAAATCCACTGAACGAACAATCTATAACTTTACAAATTTAATGAATCACACTTGATTAAAATCTCGAGACGATCAATAATAACAAGTAATCAGTTGAAAATGATTGTTATAAATATCAAGGTTGGTAAAAAATTCATAAGCATCGTCGCGGAAACGTATCTTTCAACTAACGTGTTTAACTTTTAAACAAATGATGCAGCTGAGCCTCTAGTTATCATTTTTAATGCATTTATGAGGCATTTTAAATTCATTGTCAAAGTTTCATAGCGTGAATATCTTCTCCGAGTCAACAAAAAATACAACGCATCCACTTTGGTTCTACAACCACATCATAAATCATTTCTTGCACACATATACTCCACGTACTTATACGTGAAAATTTTGACATGATATCAATATACATCCCACCCTCGGAATCACGATGTTTCTTCCCCCTCTTTAATATAGAGCAGCCCACGCGCAAAAGCGTCGAAATTGACTCTCGTTGTATATACATTTCTATTCTCGTAAACTCGATTTATGACAATCTGTGGACCGGATGCGATCGCGCGAAAATTGACCTAGAGTAACCCCGCGTGGGCCCACACGCCAAAGTCGCAACGAAGCTAGAGGAGTCGCGAAGCAGTTCTTTTTTTCTCTTTACATCGTCGCTTACAGATGTCGTTTAATGTCGCGCGACGACTCCATCGCTGGAATCGATCGTTTTTCGTTCTTTTTGCAAAACTATTTGCAACAATCGCGAAATCGAAACCAACCGAGTAATATAGCGATTTGCACTCCTATAAGCTTTTAAGCGCGTCGAGTCTGCGTTGAAAGATTTTTTTCTACGCTTTTGCATTCCGCATCGGATATTCGAGGATCAAAATCATCGTAAAATTAAAGTACGGTAAAAGTAGCGTAACGTCGATCGTCGATCGACGGATTATTGAGGTTTTGCGATTTTTCCATCTTTAATCTTTTTACGAACTAAAAAAAAACATCGATGCATAAATCACCTCTCGATTTTCCTCCGTAAAAATAACGCGCGGCAGCAGCAGCAGCAGCAGCAGCAGTTGATGTATATTACGGACCTATTACACACATAAAAGCCTCGAATTCATTTATCTTGATTTTTTTTTCAAATTAACGCTTATATCTAGATTTTATGTGCGCGTGTGCGCGACGAAAGGCCACTCGCAGATTAGATACGAGGAATATATCTTGATTGTTCATATATCGCGCGGTTCGCGCATGGAACTGCCTCCGAAACGCCGATCGTTAACGACACACATACACGTAGAATTGTAATAAAGAATCGTGAAATTTTCGGTGTATACGGTAAAAGAATCAACACGGTCCGACAACGATAATAATGATAATCGCATTATTTTAATGTATTATTTAGGCTGAACGATTGGCGATATATCGAGTTCCGATATCAAATTTGCGCTGTTTGTTGAGCGAAAAATCGAATTTAGGATGAGAATCCGTCGAATTTTCCGAAAGTCGAGTCTCTCACTGGATTTTGTGTTAAAGACGCATCGATGTCATACACACACACGCATTTACCGTTACGCAAAAGTATTATATCTCTCTCTTTCTCTCGGACTCTCAACGATGATCTCGCATACACATACACGCATACACACATACATATAGAATTGAAAACGTGTAATGTATAAATGGCAGCGCAGGGCTGAGGCTCTTGATACGATACAAGCTGCTGCTGCTGCTGTGTGGCACTTTTGAGACCGTCACAGAACCTGCGGCTCTAGTGAGCGCATTACACGTACACATGTATATCATGCATGAATATGTGTGCGTGCGATAGACGTTGGCATTGGTGTACATATGCATAACGCACGAATGTACAGATGCGAAGAAAGTTTCGGGATTTTCTTTACTTATATACCGCCTGTTGGATCGTTGGATTTTGAATACGGTTGCAAGCCTACTTATGTACGTATTTATGCATGTAGTAGTGTCATGTTAGCAGCCACGAACCCACATGTTCGCCAGATGTATCTGTATGCGTAAAAACACACACATACACACATTCACCGTTAATCCTTTAGCTTCTCTGTTATGCTGATTCAGCGAGTAGCCCAGCTCGAGCTGCTGCTGCTACTAAGGGGTGAGATGTTGTAATCCTTTGAGTTTGTATATTATACACAAAAGTTCCAAATGTGTACATAGGCGAGTGCGATATATACAAGCAGACTCGAGCCTCTCTCGTATCTATATCTCTATGCTACATATGCAGCACACAGCCTCGAGGCAGGAAAATACATATCTCGCGATTTTCTCACGGAACCTATTATCGGAAAAGCCGATAGATTATAATGTAGCGATTGAGACAAACATATTATTATAAAAAGGAGCAAAAATCCCGCGTCATTTTTTTTATATACAGTCCAGAAAAATCATCGCTCCAAAGCATCGCACGATAAAAAAGCTTCGTTCATTACGTATCATATATAGCTGCTCGTGTGTTTCTCTCTTCTCTCAACCTCGAAGCTGCGCCTCGCGGATAATATACTTTTTTTTTACGAGCTACGCGAAATTCCGAGTGGGCCCATCTTATACAGCTATAAGAACGAGAGAGAGAGAACCATAATAATATAAATCGGAGAGGATATAGGTAGGTATATGTATATTGTAGGAAAGGCGCTGAGGGCATTGTTTCCTTTCTTTCTTTTCTTTTCTCTTCTCGCGATCGCGTCGTTTTTCGTGAATCTCTCTCTCTTTTTCCCTCTTCGTTATTATTATATATACGAGACTTGTATATAGCTGCAGAGCATATTACGCAATATAATAAATATTATATAGACCATCTATGTGTACGTGACACGCCGCACACACACACACACACACATACGTATAATACTGAACTAACGCTGAATTACATACACACGTATTATGCGCCTGTGTGTATGTGGGTGTGCGCGTGTGTGTGTACGAGCCAACAACAGCTCATGCATAGTTATGACGCATAGTCGTTACCAATTTTTCATTCGCAATCGCAGAGACTAAAAAAAACGCTAATATTGCGTATATTTTTTTCACGTATACGAGTGTGTGTGTGTGTGTGTGTGCATGGCTCGAGTCATACTTTCGAGACCCGCGCTGGTATTGTTTATTTCTTCCTAAACGAATATCTCAAATTCGTGTAACGAAAAATTTTTAAGTCCAATTGGCAATTGGCTTACTTCACGGGGCCCAAACTTGCACGAGCACCGTACACGCGATCT